TTAAGTATTCCATCGATTTGAGCAAGTTCTTCATCCTCAGCGTCCAATGCTCATAATACCAATCGAACTTTGGGGATACAAACATGTATAGCTGTCAATTGGCACACACAATACGACCAGTCGCTTCGCGCGGATTTTCATAACCCTGCTGTGCAAAAATGGGATACGCATTTGAAATGGGTGCTCGAGTTATTATATATATCATGAGCGATACGGAGATGGAACGAGTAATCTCTTCTTTTATCCAAGAAAAGGTATTTCTAGTTTGCATGGTCCAATTGTTGATCCCGAAAATTTCTACAATAAAATTGGGTAGGTAAATAGTTCCCTATCCACAATGCTGCTATTTATAGATAAGTGTATCAAAAAAAGTAAGATGTTGAGTGTTTTACTTATATCGAAACAGTCAAATTGGGTCAGTGGATCATTTTTCAGTCATTCAGTGAATGATAAATTACTACAAGCGACGGAGATACGCGATTTAAATAACGGAAAATACAATATTTAAAAATTGTATCTATAATGACTGGAAAGGTGGAAACAAGTTCCGATATAATTTGATCGTTATGAGCAAACCCAAAATCTTTGTAGACAGAACCAATCAGTAGTTCCCAACCATGGGGAGAATGGAATCCTATACATAAATCGGTTAATAAAAGAATAGAAAACGCTTTTAGTGTGTCGCTTAAGTTATATAGGAATTCTTGAACCCAAGAATTCAGAATAATAAGTTCGTTATTGCCTAGAATAGAATAAATACTTAGAATAATGAAAGAGAGTATATTTGTCGAAAAGTTCAAAATCGTATCCATACGATTTTCATTGTACATCTTGATTAATTGGATCATTTCTTTGTGTATTCCAAGACGAAACTCTTGTCGCAGTGTTTCTGGGTATTCTTTTATCATTTCATCCAATAAGAGGAGTTCCTCTAATTCTATGAATTTATCTAGAATACTGTTTTCTTGAATATCATTTAAAAAAGTTTTGGATTTATTAGTATTCCACCAATGAATAAGCCAAGATTCCAATCTTTTATTAAAAGAAAAAGAGATCCACCAGGGTAAAAATATTATCGATGTAAGATATAAAAGGGGAATCCAATTTTTTTTTTTCATTTTTTAGCCCGTAATTTTTTAATAAACCCATTCCAGACGTCGGCTTTCTCCGATCGACGATTTCTATCTTCTAGCAGGTATAGGGTCTATTCCTAGGTTTCAAACTTCTGAATCGAGTACCTATTTTTTATTTGTGAGTCAGTAGTTAGTTAAAAAGAATACATAAATAGCCTAAGAAAGAGTATCCGAATGAAGAAAAAATGTTGTTTCCAGATATTTAAATTATTCAAATTCGAAGTAATTTCCTCTTTTTAACGAATGCTCAAAAGAGCCCCTTCAAATCAAATTCAGATTTCAAGATGAAAGACTTCCTTTCTATCCAAATCACAAATAGTTCGAAAAAAAGTAAGCGACTGCCCATAGTCCACAAGAATAATTAATCGAAATTTCGGAAAAGAAAAAGAAAAATATATTTTCTATATGTTATTCCGGAATGTTTTGTTTTGATCTATACGATGAGTTTATATTATTTATATTTTGATTTGTTACTGAATTTGGTGACTTTCTATAATATAAGCATAAACTTTTGTGGACAAAGAAAGGTGCGTTTTCTATTTACAATTGTTTCATATATAATATACATCAAAAAGACTACTTTCCATCTTGCTAAGAAACCGTTCATTATTCAGTTCAATTCGATTGGTACACGCAAAAAATACGCCAATTCCGCTGCTTTTTGCTCAATTTCCCTTGGAGTCAAATTTTCATCAGTACGAATCAAAGGAATGGCCCCCTGTCCTCGGATTTCCATATAAAGGACACGCCAAATATAAATACCCTGTTTAACTTCGATTCTGATAGCCTGAATGTCTTTCATAAAGAATCGTAGTAAAATACGACGATTTTTCCCGGGAAATCCCCAACGAAAAATCTGCACTATTCCTTCTTTTCGATCGAATCGATCATAACCACTACCTACATTCCAAAAAATTGTGCACCACAAATAAGAGCTAAAAAATAGACCCGCGATCCCATAGAAAGACATCACGATTCCTTGTGGAAAAAAAAGGATTTGCTGAGAGGGAAATAAAGATATTAAATTTCTGCCAAGATAACTCGAAAAACCAACCCCCCAAAAACCTAATGAACCTAAAAAAAGTATAAAAGCCCAACAGAAATTACTTATTTTTCGCGACCCCACTATAAGTTCTATCCATATACCTTCTGATCGCCAACTCATACTAGATCCCGTTGCATTTTATTGGAAGTGGAAGACTAGCCCAAATGAAGTTGATATTTCCGAAGTAACTTTCGCCAACTCCCACTATTATAAAGTGAGTCGTTGGTAGCAATTCGGCGAATTCGTTACATCGAAAATACTGGGAACCTTTTCATATGATCTCCCATCTACACACATATAGATATACGGGCTTTTCTTTATTATTTCAGGTATCGGCCGGAATCTCGATTTTTCGCTAGTTCATTTACTCATATATCATTTTTATGCCCGCAGAAGAACCCCTTGCATTTAGGTTTGAGGGAAGCCGCTTCTTAGATTATATTATACTAAATAGATATCCAGGTTAGGATCCAAGCCTAAGTCTTGTTTGCCCCTATCGGATCTACAAATCTTGTTTTTTTGAACATGAAGAGATAAAGAAGCCATTGCAATTGCCGGAAATACTAAACCCACTAAAGGCACAAAAATGGAGGGTAAGATGTTGAGAATTGTCATAGAATGGGCACCTCGATTTAATATTTGTATCTGTTATTTAGTGTTATACTATATTTTTATTTTGAAGTTGTTATATTCGAATCATTCGAATTACTATATAATTATATTATACTAAGTATATTTAAGTGAGTATATAGAATATAGAATAAAGTGCAAGGAGTATGAAATTACCTAAATGGGCTTTTTTTCTTGTTTTCTAATTTTTGAAATTTAGGTTACTTGAATAAATTAATAAAAATAAAGAGCCCCCCCTTATAAATTCCCGAAAAATCAATTATCATTCGGCTGAATCAAAAAAGATTTGAGTATAGTAAAAAAGGGATTCTCGGGGGGGGGGGGGGGGGGGGGGGGGGGGGGGGGTATCCATATCTATATATATATGGATATATATAGCAATAGAACTAGGAAAGACTCTCTATTTTCGATATATAGAAAGAAAGGGGTGTGAAACTCCTTTATCTTATTTTCCTAATTAAGAATCATAAATATTGAGAAATAAATTATCCGCAAGGTTCTTTCGAGAATTTATTACTCTTCTGGTACTAAATTTTTGTTTATCGGAATCAAAGGAAGAATCCGACAAAAAAAATTCATAATTAATTTAAGACTCTGCGTAATTTCTGAGTCAAAGGAAAGAAACCGTGGAGCTGAAATAACTCAGTCAGAACACCCTTTAAAAGATTACGTGGTACGATTGGATCGAATAAGCCCTTATGGAATAAAAATTCGGCCGATTGTGAACCTTCAGGCACTGTCTTATTCAATGTTTGTTCAATTACTCTTTTACCCGCAAACGCAATATAGGCGTTGGGTTCCGCAATAATGATATCCCTCAACATACCAAAACTAGCCGTGACCCCTCCAGTCGTAGGAGATGTAAGGATTGATACAAAAAATAACTTTTTATTTAATTGATAATCATATAAAGCAGAAGATATTTTCGCCATTTGCATCAAGCTCAAACTTCCTTCTTGCATCCGTGCTCCTCCGGAAGCACACACTAGAATAAGAGGTAAAGATCTCTTGGCAGCATACTCGATCAAACGAGTGATTTTCTCGCCTACGACCGATCCCATACTACCCCCCATAAATTGAAAATCCATAACTCCAATTGCTACAGGAATGCCGTTTAGTTGACCTGTACCTGTTTGAACAGCTTCGGTTAATCCCGTCTTTCGTTGATAAGAATCAATACGATCTTTATAAGGGGATGTTGTGTAGTCATTTTCAAATGATATCCACATTGTTCACAAATATTCAGTCTTGACTTAAAAAATTTTTTATAATTTAATCCATAACAAATTTCGCATTGAATCCATAAATGTCTGTATTTTTCAGTTACATCGAGATCATTAGAACTTTCTCGCGGATCGTTCGAACTTTCTCGTATAGTTAAATCATTACCATTCGTGCTAATTCTTAAACGGGAAATCTCATTTTCACTACAAATCGAACTATAAATGTAACTTTCACTATAATTGTCACTATCAGTTAAAATATAGCTATCAATGCAGATTTGCGAACGAAGATAATTGTCAATGCAACTATTGATGTAATTATTCCATTTAGTATCATATAGAGAATGATCATCGTCACTCCTAGAATCATTATTCAGATAAGGGGAATTCCAATAACTAGAAAAGGAGCTCTCTAATTTACTCAGAAAAAGAAAAAAATGATCATTATCAATCTCAAAAACTTGATTTTCAATATCAAAATATATGGAATAATTGTCTCGATTACTATCCCTAACTAAAAAAGTGTCGTTTGCGCCGAAATCCCGAATGGTATTTACCCCGATTAAATGATCAACATTACTGTAACTAGAACTGTCACCATAACTCAAACTATAGATGTTTTTATCTGTATCATTTAAAATCCGGTTTTGACTTCCACCGATATTTTCAAGAGGACCAAGACTATCCATTGATTTACTTAGCCTACACTTGTATTCTAACCCGAAATTGAACATCGAATTGATCCACCCTTTTTCCATAGAGCTTTCTTGCCCTTGTCGCTATTTATATCAACATAAATAGATGAATAGTCATTCGATGAAAAAGAAGTTAACTATTTCAGTTCTTGTCAGAAAAAGGATATAGATCGAATCGCTAAGATTGGTAACTAATAAGAATAATAAGCGGATATTAAAAAATCAAATCTCTTTTGCTATTGTAAGAGCCCACAATTTACTATTACCTCTATATCATTACCATTATTCTTTATTCTTTTTATATTAATTATATTATATGCTTATGATATTTCTTTTATCTTAGGAATGTGAAAAGCACTTTTTTCGTAAAATCTCGTCTATTAATAAGTTTCTATTCCAACACGGCACCAAAGGGACAATGTACAGGATGGATGGAGCGAAATGTTGTGATACTTGGTCGCCCCCATATGTAGGATATAAAAGAATACACCTAGAGATACTTAGAATTAACTGTGAATCCAAGACAACCGCAGAAAGGGTTAAATCGCTTCGTTTTCTATTTTGTATTTAAGATCTTGTATATCTAGTTAAGTATGTATCTATAAAAAATATAGAATAGAACTAGAATCTTTGTATTCGGCTCAATCCTTTTAGTAAAAGATTGGGCCGAGTTTAATTGCAATTCATTCAATTAAGGGAACAAATGTCAATTAGTAGATTACAAGGTATCCATTGCAGCGTATTCAAATTTAATTTCCTTCCATACTTCACAAGCAGCAGCCAATTCAGGACTCCATTTGCTAGCCTCACGAATAATTTCATTACCCTCACGAGCAAGATCACGTCCCTCATTACGAGCTTGTACACATGCTTCTAGAGCTACTCGATTAGCTACGGCACCAGGTGCATTTCCCCAAGGGTGACCTAAAGTTCCACCGCCAAATTGTAATACGGAATCATCTCCAAAGATCTCTGTCAGAGCAGGCATATGCCAAACGTGAATACCCCCCGAAGCTACGGGTAGAATCTTGAGTGAAATAAATACCACGGCTTCTATCTTTTTCAACAAAATCATCACGCAGTAAATCAACAAAGCCCAAAGTGATATCTCTTTCCCCTTCAAGTTTACCTATTGTATACTTTTTCATATGTATAGCGCAACCCAATCTTTGTTTTTTCAAGTTTCTAATCTTTATTTGAATCGACTAAATAATCAGAAATTTCCTCTTGATAGTAATATATGTATGTTATATATCTAAATCCTAGATGTGAAAATATACCGAATTCGTCTCTGAAAAAATCAAAATAGAACTAAATAATATTAATATAATATTAATACAATAATAGCATAATAGCTAGGTGGAAATCGATCTGCAGAAAGGTCCCAAATAATAAATCGTAAATAGAGTTCAAGTTCGAATTTCATATATAATATAGATAATATTGTCTAGAATGATAGAAAATGAAAGGTTTCAAGAAGCCTTTTTATTCATCTACTTGATATTTTGAAAATGAGTCAATTTTCAAGTTAAATTGACTCATTGAAATTGAAAATAAAAGTAAACAATCGAATTGGATTCGCGTGATGGTCTCAACGAAATCGAAGACTAACTCGCATTTCTTTTTGAATTAATCGATCAATTTGCTTAGAGCATTAATATATTTTGGACTCAAAAATTTTCGAAAAAAAAATTTGACATAATTATTTTATTTATTATTATTTTCTTTATTATTATGAGAATCAATCCTACTACTTCCGGTCCTGGGGGTTCCGCAGTTGAGAAAGCAACCTCGGGACGTATCGCTCAAATCATCGGCCCGGTACTAGATGTAGCTTTTCCCCCGGGGAAGATGCCTAATATTTACAATGCTCTCCTAGTTAAGGGTCAAGACCCCGCCGGTCAAGAAATTAATGTGACTTGTGAAGTACAACAATTATTAGGAAATAATCAAGTTCGGGCTGTAGCTATGAGTGCTACAGATGGTTTAATGAGAGGAATGGAAGTGATTGACACGGGAACTGCCCTAAGTGTTCCTGTCGGCGGAGCAACTCTAGGACGAATTTTCAACGTGCTTGGAGAACCTATTGATAATTTAGGTCCGGTAGATACTTGCACAACATCCCCTATTCATAGATATGCAAGTGAAACAAGTTCTTGCTAATGGTAAAAAGGGAGCTTTGAATGTAGGGGCTGTTCTTATTTTACCCGAAGGATTTGAATTAGCCCCCCCTGATCGTATTTCGCCAGAGATGAAAGAAAAGATAGGGAATCTGTCTTTTCAGAGTTATCGTCCCAATAAAAAAAATATTCTTGTGATAGGCCCTGTTCCTGGACAGAAGTATAGTGAAATCACCTTTCCTATTCTTTCTCCGGACCCCGCTACTAACAAGGATGTTCACTTTTTAAAATATCCCATATATGTAGGTGGAAACAGGGGAAGGGGTCAGATTTATCCCGATGGGAGTAAGAGTAATAATACAGTTTATAATGCTCCAGCGGCGGGTATAGTAAGCAAAATTATACGAAAAGAAAAAGGGGGGTACGAACTAACTATAACCGATGCGCCAGAGGGACGTCAAGTAATTAATATTATACCTCCAGGACCAGAACTTCTTGTTTCAGAGGGCGAATCCATCAAACTTGATCAACCATTAACGAGCAATCCTAATGTGGGTGGATTTGGTCAGGGGGATGCGGAAATAGTACTTCAAGACTCATTACGCGTCCAAGGCCTTTTTTTCTTCTTGGCATCTGTTGTTTTGGCACAAATCTTTTTAGTTCTTAAAAAGAAACAATTTGAGAAGGTTCAATTGTCAGAAATGAATTTCTAGATCTGCAGATTTATCAACATTCAGTTTTGAAAAAGAATTTTTTTTTGTTGGAAATTCTGTATGATAAAAAAATTGTTAAGTTAATAAGGCTTTTGCTTTTCTTTCTATTCTTTTTCTATCTATATAAGATTTTTTGAATTACTTGTACCATAATTTTTCGTCATAGTATATATATTGGTAAGAAAAGTATTTGCCTTTACCCGAAAATTTTTTGGAGCAATGTGATTATAGGACCGTTGTCAGATTTAACTAGCATAGAATGTATCAATAGCTTTTTTACTCGAAGTATAAAATTACCATAGAAGATAAATAAGCGCAAAAATAAGGGCTGAATGGGGGGAATTCTAGGAGGTATTATTTTATTCGTCTTCCTAGTCTTCGACCCAAGAGGGGGTTGTGGAAAATTTATTTTCTTGGGTCGAAAGACTAATGATACCTGATCTTTTTTGTTAAAGATTCCTGTTCTTATCTTAATTTCTATTTTTTAATTCTTATTTTTTTCAAGGTTTATCATAACTTTCTCTTTATCTTTCGATTTTAGTGGACAAACAAAAACAAAAAAGAAAAGGAAATCTTTTGGGCAAATAGAACCTCTTCAATGAACTTCTAAAAAATTGAAACTTTGGTGATCTATTAAAAAAAAAGAGCGTAAGGTTCTATTAGTATAGAAAAATTGGTATGATATGGACTCGACAGAAATAGAGAAACGATGGATTATGATTATGTCATCTAGGAAAAATAAATCCAGTAATTTCTTCTTTCGTAGAATTCGAATTTTTAAAGTATCGATATAGACTATCGGGGGAAGAAATGTTCCGCCTGAAGTAATGAAGCGAGTTAAAAAAAAAAAAGAATCCTGCTGAAAAAAGGGTGTAATGGAATTTTTTTATATAGTTAAAATAGAAGAAAGGGATAATCCATTTTATTAGTTATCCGAATAAAGCTAAAGAATTTGGATTATTGAGAACCCAATGGTCCCCCTCAAGTTAGAAACATAGGGGGACCATTGAATTGAGTTCTTACACTTTCATCTCTACGTTCATCTGATTACTAAGGGGATGAACCCAATCCGGAATATGAACCATAAAAGAAAATTCCTATTAAACCGATCACAAGAATACCCGCTACAGTGCCTATTATCCAAAGAGGAATCCTTCCAGTAGTATCGGCCATTTATTCCACTTCCCTCCAAATTTAATCAAGCAGTCATGCTAGAGACATAAACAGTCATAGATAATGGTGAGATGATATCTTTCTGATGGGATAAGAAAATTCCTACTCTATCTATTTATTATTGTACTATTCTCTGGTCTTCCATTAATTGAAGAAATAATTAGAAAATAAAACAGCAAGTACAAAAATGAGTAATAACCCCCAGTAGAGGCTGGTACGATTCAATTCAACATTTTGCTCGTTCGGGTTTGATTGTGTCATAGTTCTATTATTAATGGTGATTGGGATTAGGTTTATCGTTGAATGAACTGCATTGCTGATATCGACCCCAAAAAGAAAATGGTAGGTACAGCTAATCCGTGAACAGCCAACCAGCGCACTGTAAAAATTGGATAGATTCGATCTATGGTCATTGGAGCCTCCTAAAAACATGGGATAGACACAATGCATTCTCATATGTGCTCCAGAACTTCGCCACAAAGTACCAATCAGACAACGTCCCTTTGAGGTAGAGCTGTCAAAATTGAACCCGACCCGACTAACCCGCCCAACCCACCCGACCCATAACCCGTCCGTAATTTGATTTGACAAAAAGTCAACCACCCAAAGCCCGCCTATAACCCGAAACCAATTGACCCGTAATCCGATCAACCCATAACTCTATGAACTCGTTATCCGATCCAACCCATAACTCGACCCATCTATAACCCGAATGATTCATAACCCAAATAACCCGTAACCGAACCAAACCAAACCAAACCAAACCCAACTCGAATAACCCTAATAACCCATTTGACCCGAGTGCTTGTACAAAAATTCAAAGTATACAATATTATATTTTTAAATTTACCAAGAAAGAACTGTTGTTCTCATAATAATTGAAAATTGTTTGTAGAATTGATGGTATAAATTGAGGTTTTTTAAATATATAATTTTTAAAATAATAATATGTGAAATATCTTTTCATTCATTTTTTATTTTATGAAACTCAAAGGATAAATTTTTGAAGATAATACGAAGAGTTAGACACAAATTCGTATCTTCGTCACCCATAACTATATTTAAAAAATCAACCCTTAAAAATCAATAAAATCCCCAAAATCAATGATCCCTATCAAGATATATAAGTGGATAGTTTACCCTTTTTTACTTTATTCTCAACTTTTTACTGATTTTATTTATTTATTATAAATTAATAAATCGATAATTCGAACTAGATGATAATATCATATTTGGGTGAACTGAAGAGACACATATAGTTCATACTATATTTAATTAAAACGATTCATTTTGAGATGTATAAGCATATAGTCTACCTTTTTTACTTCATTCTCAAATTTTTACTGATTATTTTTTTTATAAATTAATAAAATAAGTGAAGTTGCAATCTCTCACCATAAACAAAAAAATTATAACCAACAACAAAGCTTTTATCTACACTATTTTATTTATATTTAGTTGTATGTGTAAAATATTATCATATTATCATTTTCTTAAATTTTGTATCATTACCTACAATTTATATTCATATATTAATAGTTTGTAAAACATTATTTTCTATCAAGAAGTAAATGATCCAATGGGTTGACCCGAATAACCCATGATCCGACCTGACCGAACCCGAACTAACCCATAATCCAATAAACCTGTAATTTGATGCAACCGTAACCCGACACGATCCGTAACCCAATTGACCAATGACCTGATTGACTCGTAATCCAATTGACCTCCAACCCAATTAAACCCGATCCAAATTTAAACCGACCCGATTGAATTCGCAGCCCGATTTAACCCAACCCAGTTAGACCCAATCCGAACCCGACCCAACCCGCCTAATTGACACCTCTACTTTGAGGATCTTTTCTCTCTACGATAATACAGACAATGGCACGATGATAAGGAATCCCAGACAACTGCCAAACTCTACAAGAGCACTTTTCTAGCTACCACTTAAACTGCAAACCTTTCTCCCTTTCCATTTGACCTTATATGGCAGAATCCACTCTCTTCGACATTAACATCCAATTTCCTCAAAATCTTAGGACAATAAAGTGTTTTCCACTTCCTTGCCATTGCCCTCCTATTAGCTATCGGGTCCATACTCAACCCAGATATCTTCTACATGCTATTATTTTGAATCCTGCATTTATGGGTTTTCAAAGTCCAGTGAATTCAAAGCCCCTCATTCCCTTCATTTTGGATTCATTCCCAAACGAGCAATTTAGCCGAAATATGATAAAGCTAGTGATTGTGCCGCTGTAGATGAAATTCCATCCAAATTCCAAACGGCTGCTTTCATATTTTTCAGTTTTTGTTTCATTCACCCCCACCCACCCCTCTCTCTACGTATTCCTTTCGGGTCAATCGCAAGATGTCCTAATTACATGTACAACGTCACAGAAGACTAATGCCCGTCTCAAGATCATCAGCTAAGTTAACAGTTCCGCTGCATGTGAGCTCAGGCATAAACTTTTCTATGTTTCTCACGGGAGCATCAGAGCATTGTGTACTATGATACTTAGATTGTTTCTGAACCTGGGCTGCGTTTTCTAGTCAAAGCAGTGGACTTCCTCGGATACAACTTTAACAGCTTGATCAGCTCCAAAGTCCTCGTGTCCCGTCCTAGATGAAGGCAGAGCTCCAGCGGGGTTAAACCATCCTGATCAGCTCACAGTTAAACCAACAGAAATGCTCAATTAGCACGCACTTGAGAGATAAAAGGATGAAATTCATTTATCACAAAGATCATACCAAGTAAGACTGTAACCCAGAAAGGAAATCTGTACCTTGTCTGTTAAGGTTTTATCCGCGCCTTTGATGAGTAAGAGTTTCACAATGTCAGTCCTTCGAGCTTGAACAGCAAGATGCAACGGGGACCAACCATCCTAGTAACAATAACGTGGGTTATCAATTATAGCAGGGAGATGCTGAACCCCCCGGGAGATAAACATAAGAGAACACATCAAAATAAAAGCTTTACATTGTCCTGGAGGTTTATATCAACATTATATAGGAGAAGCAGCTTGATAGCCGGAATGGATGCTGTCTGGACAGCATAATGCATCAAGGTGCCTCCGTCCTACCACCAGCAAGGAGAGGGAGATGATTGTGTTATAGCTAATAAATCTAACCAGATTAGTGAAGCGAGTGGCATTGTACACAGAAACGTGAGCTTAATTGCTTACCGCATCTCGAATGAAGGGATTTGCTGACTCTCTCAAGAGGTAGCTGGTAATGGCCTGCTTTTTGCCTATTATCGCCTTGTGGAGCGCACTCACACCCTCCTGGAAAATTCAAATACAAGGACAAACAGAAGTTAGGGTACCCTTTCTGATAAGGAAGGGAACCAGATGGGAGAAGAATTCAGAGGGATAAGGCAGCATACATACAGCATCCACGGAATTGATGTCAAGGTTATGTTTGAGCAAAGTGTTCATGAGGTAGAATTCTCCAGATGCAGCAAGCGTGTGAAGAGGTTGCCATTTCACCTGCAAAAAGCAGTTCACCGCGCAATTAACAACCACCCATTGCCTGATTCTGAGAACACAACCCACAATGCCGCTTTGGAGACGACTACCCACTTCATTTTTTGTAGGAAATAGATCACAGAAAGCAAATCAGTGATGAAAAGACCAACAACTCACACAGGTAACAGCTGCTAAATCCGGGATGCGTCTGTTCAGGAAAACCTTTTCCTCCTTTGTAAACAACTTCCGGCGGCCTAGTTGTTTCAAAAAATGGCGTATCAGGGTGAGTGCACTGGAGCCACCAATTTTGCAAAAAGGAAGCAAACAAATACCTCCCGGGTTCTTCTCTCCGAGCTGGTACTTCCCACTCCTGAAAAAATCGTTAACATCGTCGAAGCCCTTCCCGTAAACCGCCCACCTAGGGTTCCGGGGCGCAACTCGCTCACTTGGATTCTTCGTTTCATGCTCATACTCGTACTCATCCTCATCATCAAACTCTGCCTCTGCCTCGTCCGAATCCTCGTCATCTTCAGGAGATGCCGCGGGGTTATTGTCAAGAAACAGTGGCTTCAACTGAGCCAACTTAGACTCGCGAAAAGCCTTGTACTCGTCCAAATTCACGCTCCTCACAGGGGCCAATCCTCGGGTCTTCCTCTCCAGCCGGCTATTGAACTGCATCTCCTGAGCAATTCTGCGCCTCTCCTTCTTGGTAATGTTAATTTCCGCTTGTGTTTCTCGCCATTCGTCCGGGACCAAGTTCTCCGTCGGGATCTCCTGAGTGAGCTTCTTCTTCCTGCGCGGAATCTTGGTCGGGGTGGGAGAATCACGGCCATAGAGAGACGGGTCTTCGAAAATGCCTTCTTCGAAGACGAGACAGTCGCCGATGGCAGGGTCGTCCTCGGTATAGAACGAGGGGGATTGAAGAGACTGGGAGACAAAGCAGAAGCTTCTGGGAAATTTGAGGGTCCGAATTGAAGAAGACAGCTTGAGAGGAGCGAGGAAGGCAAGAGGAGAGGGCAAGTAGGGAGGCGCTACTGGAACTGCCATTGTTTTTTTTCTTCTTCTTCCTATTGCTTGCTCCGTGCTGCCGTTGCCCTTGCGTAGCGTGAGCTTACCTCTTAGCCACACACAGACCACAGTACGAACTACGAAGGCCGGGTTCGACGGACCGAATTAACCGACAACTCCGGCGAAAGCCCTAATGGGTTACAAAGGCTAAATACACTTGGATAGCAGTAACTTCATACTTTCTGAGAGTAATAGAAAAGTTTTGAAAAATGCACTAAATTAGTCATTCTGTCCTTAGGTAACCTAATTTGTTCCTCTTGAGTGGCCGCTCTCGCTTTGGAGCGTGGAAACGCTAATTGCAATGGGATCGCTCAAAATTCGTGAATCCATTTGTGGTAGAGCGCGAATCCACTATCAACGGAGCGTGAATTACCTTTAGCTCGATGTTAATTATGCTCAGTGCCAACTCTTGTGAGTCTTCGCCACGTTGTTTATGTTATATCGTTGTCGGTTGTGGTGGGGATTCGACGGAGGTGGTGGTGGCGACGTTGGGCGGCGGAGGCGGAGAGAGCCGAAATCCGTCCATAACTTTACCTATATAATGATACATGCTGATTGGACTAACGTCTTTTAATGATGTGGCAGCTTTTCGTCTTGACTTTGCCAAACTAGAAATGTCTCATTTTTATTGTAATTAAAAATAATTAAAAATAATGAAAAGAGATGAACTTCATATCACCACTACTTTACCTTACCTACCATCCCATCTCTTCCCCACTGTCGCTTCATCCTTCATCTTCGTCCTGTTGAGATCGAAAGGAGCATATAGCTTGGGAGAGGATGCTTCAAGAAACACTCATCTCAAATTAAACTCAAGTTGGAGAAGGAAAGTGATGAAGACTGGAACTTCATCTTGGAGAAGAAGCATCTTCTATAGCATCTTCCACATCAGCCATGATGGGAGAGGAGCAAAGAATCATGGTCCCGCCCACTCTATATGAGTATTGAAGACCAAGAGCTTCCAATATTAATTTGAGCATTGTTGTGCTACCAACAACTATGGACATCCACACATCATTGATGTAGATGGTGCAACAAGATAGGAGATTCGCAAGAAGGAGTTATGACGATCCGATGCAGCATCTAAAGGTCCTCTTGGATATCATATATTTCATTATAGGAGATGAAGCAACCAAAGGTGCCATTCGAATGAGAGTGTTCCCTTTCTCACTGGCGAGAAAGGCAAAGAAGAAGTGTCTAGACCATCATCCGTCCAACACCTTTACCAATTGGGAGATCTTGTCGCAAGCATTAATCAAGGAGTTTTCCCACCTTGGTGGGTGAAGGAGCATAAAGAAGATATCATGCAATTCCTGAAGAAGGAGAGACGTTTGATGACGTTTGGAGGAGATTCTAGGAGCATCTGAAAGCACAACCCCATCATGGATTCACCCAAGAGCAAGTGGCAAAGTACTTCGCTGAAGGTCTAGATTGAGATACACAATGATGATGAACCTGTCAGTCGATGGTGATTTCATACAGATGATAGGAGTCTAATGCCATGAGCACTTTTCCCACACTTGCAAGGAAGTAGGGGTGGCAGTTCGGTTATTTTGGTTATAACCGGTAATCGATTGGCCGGTTATCGGTTAATCGAAATAATAACTGGTAACCGATTGGCCGGTTATCGGTTAACCGAAATAATCACTCCCCCTACTGAAAATTGCCCGAAATAGGCTTCGGTGTCTCGGTTATCGGTTAACCGAACCACTTTTAAGACCAAAAACCATTTCGTCCAGCCTCCGATAACCGACCGAAGTTCGGTTAGTTCGGTTACTGGTTAGTGGATAACCGGACGATTATCGGTTTAACCGGATGGTTAACCAATAACCGGACGGTTATCGGTTTAACCGGATGGTTAACCGATAACCGGTAACCGAACGACCACCCCTACAAGGAAGTCAAAAAATTGGTCCAAGAGATTGATGATGAAGGCATTGAAGGTGACCCAACGAATCAAGGAGGTGAATATAATCCTACATTGACAGATGAAAGAGCTTTCACAACAATTGAAAGATGTTGTGATGGAGCCAAATGACTATCCAAGGATGACTCGCTTCTACCGTCACACTAGAAAGTGGCCAAGTGTAACCACCTACTAATGCGTAGTATAGCGGGTTTAGTTCTAATTGTCAACCCGGGTCCTAGGTGTGATGACTACTCCGTGAGAGTCTTGTTATCTAGCGGTTCAAGTGTAGTGGAGGTTCAATTAAACTAGCAAGCAAAGTAGTGAAAGTTGTGTTCAAGTTGAGAGAAGTCACCCGGATATGGTTCCCCCTAGACTGCAGTTAAGCCAGGTTGTAATTTACCAAGTTCAAGTTCAATGATAGTTATACTGCAGGAGGTTCTTAAACAGTTTGCAGTCTCGACTAAAGGTCTCCAGACCCTCTCAATCTGAGTCCCCAGCGGGCGACTAACCTCCTCCGGAGTAAACAGATTGAGGCCCTAACAAACCAAACCTCCTCTACCGAAGTAAATCCGGTACATAATAGTGAATTGACTCCTCGACTAAAGTCTTCAATTCACTACCTTCAATCAAGGGTGATCTATCAACCTAGGCAGATAATCTCTTTCTAGGTCAAAGCAAAAATAACAGGAATTTGATCAAGATTCATGCCATTCAAAAAATCAAACCTCAATTGAACGTAATCATATAACTGAATTCATACTTGGGTTCATTCAATCATACCTAACATACAAATCTAGGGTTCTTCATACCCAGGTGAATGAGAAAGTTACTCCATAGAGAGAGAAGCAAAATCTAGCTCAGAAGCAGAAAACATGCTGTGAAGGATGGGGTTCTGCTTCTGGTCGTCAATCGGCACTTCTCCAAGCATTATCTGGGCTCCACAGATGATGGAGATCGATCTAAGGCGCTTGGGAACTCTGGTTCGTCGCTTTCTCTCTCTAGGTATCACTTTATTTCTCTAAAACTCGGAACCCCTTCAAAATTGGACTTCTTTCCCTTAAGAATCAGCAGGCCGCGATCCCCGGTCGTAATCCTCGGTCGGGTATTTCAGGTGCCCGGCCGGGGATTTTGAAACGCAGCGCAGCGATGAAGGGCATAATACCCGATCGGGTGTTTTTGCTCTCTGGCCGGGACCCCTTCTGGACTTCAGACGTCCCAAACTGATTTTTCCCGGCCTCGCCTTGCATATTACGCGGCCGGGTATTTTAACTTCTGGCCGGGTATTTTCCTCTTCCAACGCCCTTCACTCCCATGCCCTCCTTTTTACCCGAAACTCGTTCCCTCGCCTTCACGTAAACGTCAAGTCCTGAAATATGATATAAACACACAACCTAGCGTGAAATCGGCTTAAAACACGAGAATCGACTCTCAAACGGCTCAAGAATGGAGGTAAAAACATGTGCAATCAATGGTCCATCAAAGGACCACCTTAACAAATGTCCCTTATGTTTATGATCAACAATGGAGCAAGAAGCCCAATCCACTCGAATAGGGGAGCCAGCCACATATAAGGAGCAAGGAGGAGGTTCTTCCACTCAACAACCTAATTATTTCGAGAAGATAGAAGCACCAACTCATGGTTTGAAAGCCAACTTTCAACATATTAAAAATCAACTTGCAATTCTTATTGATGTGAGACACTAGAAGCCTCAAGGGAATCTTCTCAGCAATGCAGAGAATAATCCAATGAGCAAGATATAATATGGGTAGGCGAAGTAGTTCAAGCTCCACCAGCCCCGAATGGGAGTTCGTGCAAATGGCTCGTTGACCGGTTGTGAACCTAATTTAGCCCGTTGACCGGTTGAGCAAGTGGGCTAAAGGTTTATGGTCAGATCGTTTTAGTCCGGTTTAGCCCTATTGTTGAAAAACATATATTGTAGTGATATGACAATATGATGAATGAAAATTAATTTATTTATAAGTACCATATGATAATTTTATATTAACCCTACAACTATTATTAAAAATAAGCCTACAGCTGCCCCCGACTAAATTCCCTACAACTGCCTTTCTTCTCTTTTCCTTTAAATGGAGTTGGCCTCTATTTCTTTTAATTTTACAGGCGGCGGCGGAAACAAAAGGGCAGATTATATATGAAGATTGTAAGAATAATCCTTCAACTGGGTTGCAAATTATGGCTAGATTTGTTCAAGCACAACAGGTTCAGTTGAGCATCCGCGACGATAAATATTTGATTCCTCTTCTGCCAATATCTTGTATACATCCTCTTCTATAACCGCTGCCTCATACCCTTCCTCAATATTGTAGCGGACGATGTTATCTTTTAACATCAAGCGCAGTTTCATTCTTCTGCATGTGAGTTTGCGAGGCGAAGAAGGGTTCACGTGAAAGGGAAAGGGTAGTTGAATCGTATCTCCTTTGCTGAAACAATGGCGTGAAGATGGGCACCCAGAAACTATACTGCCAGTCAACCCAACCACTTTTCACCCAGGATGTATTGCAGGAAAAGGATAATCTGAAATTTCAAGGTGTCAATTACATACTATCTATATACCGATAGATCGATTCACGTGTCTGCGGAGACTCTACAAAGAACTAGCTAAGCTAGCAACATTAATAAGTTTTGTAAGAACTTTATAAGACTACGACTGTGTGTTGTGACTTTCTATTTTGGCAAAGTTATGGTCGTCCAAAGTTTGACGAAATCAAAAAAATTGCTCATTTGCGGTAACAATGACGTTATTTCGGGACGAAGGCTGGTTCAAACCTCCTTCGAAACTTCTGCTCATGCTTCTTAAGATCCAGCCTCCCTTGCACACTTGGAGACTATCGTGAGGAACCATCAAAGAGCGGCCGAGTGGAGGAGGCACATGCTTGACTGCACTCACGAGCCTATTAGGTTTCACAATATCGATCCAGCTGCAGTCACCCACACCTACGTGCGCACTCCTTCCGCACCGCGTTTCAGCTACATTGGCGAGAAGGAAGAGGTTGAGACAGAAGAGGATGAGGACTAGACCTTAGAGTAATTGATGGCATCTCATGGCCATTCTCTATCTTTTATATTCATAGTTTGAACTCCTGACAATTTCAGTTTCCGTAGTTTTATCTCTTATTTTGAAGGCAAAATACAGATGTATATCCACAACTATCACGGTTGTGACAAATATATCCACAACTATCGAAATACACGAAATATCCATTTCCGTCCACTCCGTTAACTCCGTCAGTTAACTTGATGACTGGACAGATGGTGGATGCTTAGTTGGCGTGTTTCTGACCCCACTAAATGATGTGGATTGAAAGAGAAAATTAAAAAATGACACGTAGATTACACATCATATATACTTAAAAATATTTAATAATAAAATACTACCGAATTACAAAAAACTTTGCAGGGGAGACTCTACGCCTTCCCCCAACCCCCTCTGCTCACTCCCACCTCCGCCCTTCACCTTTCTGGCTAGACACTTCGCCTTCCTCCAACCTCCTCCGCCCACTTCCACTTCCGCCCTACCTTCCACCTCCGCCCTTCACCTTGCTCGCGAAATAGTACTTTGCCTTTCCCCAACCCCCTCCGACTAAAGCTGCATACCACAGAATCAGCGAAGCATCGGGGAGAAGTTTGGACAATTCTCTTGACCCTGTGCCGGGTAACGAAATATCTAGTCGGGGCTCTTCTCCCTCTCCTTCCAATCTCTCTACCTCATTCCCGCCGATTGACGACTGGGGATTAAGGATCTGGATCGGCGACTGGAGAAGAAGAAACAATCTCGTCCTTCTCTCACCAAGATCATGGGAACCCTATCTATCCATCCCCAAATCAAATCTTCAATAATAGGTAGCAGCTCCAGATCTCGCACGAATAGAGAGAGAAGGGAGCTTCTTATTTCTATTTCTTACTCACTCACTGCTGCTGTCGAACAGACTTACCCAAAAGGAACCCACTTTGTCTTCTCCTGGTTTCAAGTCCCGATTATCTATGACGTCTCGGCGCGTCCTCATCTGCTTCAAGTACTGAAAACAGCCAAAAACGGAGAGAAGGAACATTGGGTAAAGATCAGCACTAAATACAAAAGCTTAGATGACTCCATTTTGATTCAATTTTCTTGACAATAATGTGGGAAAAAAAGGCCACTAGCTCTACTTCCTTCTTCTCATCTTCATTCTTCTGGTTATCTCACATTTAGCCACTAGCTCTTTTCCTCTCTTTCTTTAATCGCATAGCTTCCGCCGTTGGCGGAACCATCGCCCAGCTTATTGCTGGAGATGAACGCAGAGAAGGTAAAAAAGAGAGAGGGGGGAAAGAGAGAGGCACGTTTCTCCAGGGTATAAGATAGAAAAAAATTATTTTTTTAATTTATTTGCTGACATGGCATCCACATGTGAAATTTTGCTGACCTGGAGCTTACTTGTGGGATGGGTATGGTTCTAGTCAGCGTTCCGTCACATTAACTGATGCCATAACAAATGGCGTTAAAGTTTGTAACGGAAATGGATAGATTTGTCACACAACCCTCCGATTTTTGGACATTTCGTGTATTTCGATAGTTGTGGATATATTTGTCACAAACGTGACAGTTGTGGATATACAACTTTATTTTGCCTATTTCGAATAGTACTTTTCTTTCTACTATCTTTTAGTTTTAATTTTCGTACTTTAAGTCTTTTAGTAATAGTCATTATCATTTCTATATTATATATCTATCGTACCTATAACTCTTAATCGTCTTCCTCTCTATCTTGTACGCTTTAGCGTTGTGAAAACCACCAGGAAGACAATGACCTACACTTGTACCTTGAATTGCTAGTATCCTCCCTTGTTTGTGAATGTAAGACTTTCTAAGAGATTACGACATTGTAACACTTTCACTAATACAATCTGAAAAAAAAACGACCTCATGTTTATCAATTACCGTCTCGGTATCAGTGATTGTAATTCTAACCATTAAAAAGGAAATTCACTTTTTAATGAAAATGTCATTTGAATCCATTCTTTTCATAAAAGGGGTTGTTTGTAAATAGGATTTAGCGGATGGATTCATTTAATCGATAGAGTAGTAGATAGTAATGTTTTCTTCTGATTTTTGTATAGTTGTTAATTTTAAAGAGTTCAAATCTCTAAAATATAAAGATATCAAATCTCTTATAATTAGGGTTTTTGAAATTTTTTCCTACTTTATTTTTATTATGAATAAAGAGGGGATTTGTTACCTTGAGAAGCTGGGAAGATTTTCCTACTTATCTCTGTCTATTTTATTTATATTATTAATTATCTTTTTTAATAAATTTTCGCTACTTCTAGAGCCCCTTTAACTCGATTAGTTAAGAATATAATGTTTAAATCTACAAAAAAAAATTCAATAATGAAAAACAAAAGTCATTTTAAAACAAAATTTACTTTTTAAATGATATAAAAAAAATAATAATCTCAAATAAAAGTTGAGATTTTCCATTACATCAATCAAACAAAACATGCATTGTGTCCATAAAAATATAATGAAGTTTTATAAAGAATTCAAAAATTGTAACACTTTTATTACAACAATCCGGGAAAACAAACAACCACATGTATTACGAATTACAACATTAAAAAAATCTCTTGTCACGTTAGGTGACAAAACACCTAATGTCAATTTATTCATATATTTTTGTGCTCATACACGCCATTTGGCGCTTATTCACGTAAGAAGGTCAGTTATTCACGTAAATGAAAATTCTGACTTTTTCCTCTAATAATTTGTATTGGCTATATTTTATGGAATTAAATTTGGATTCACAATTTATCTGTATATAGAAATATACAGAGTTCAAAAATACAGAGTTCAAAATTGACATCCATCTTGATATTTCAAAGTTCAAAATTTAATTTACAATGAAGTGCTAGTATCCTCCCTTGTTTGTGAATATAAGACTTTCTAAGGGATTACGACATTGTAACACTTTCACTAATACAATCTGAGGAAAAAACGACCTCATGTATATCAATTACCGTCTCGATATCAGTGATTGTACTTCTAACCATTAAAAAAGAAATTCACTTTTTAATGAAAATGTCACTTGAATCCATTCTTTTCATAAAAGGGGTTGTTTGTAATCAGGATTTAGCGGATGGATTCATTTAATCGATAGAGTAGTAGATAGTAATGTTTTCTTCTGATTTTTGTATAGTTGTTAATTTTAAAGAGTTCAAATCTCTAAAATATAAAGATATCAAATCTCTTATAATTAGGGTTTTTGAAATTTTTTCCTACTTTATTTTTATTATAAATAAAGAGGGGATTTGTTACCTTGAGAAGCTGGAAAGATTTTCCTATTTATCTCTGTCTATTTTATTTATATTATTAATTACCCTTTTTAATAAATTTTCGCTACTTCTAGAGCCCCTTTAATTCGATTAGTTAATATTATATAGTTTAAATCTGCAAAAAAAAAAAATCAATAATGAAAAACAAAAGTCATTTTAAAACAAAATTTACTTTTTAAATGATATAAAAAAATAATAATCTCAAATAAAAGTTGAGATTTTTCATTACATCAATCAAACAAAACATGGATTGTGTCCATAAAAATATAATGAAGTTTTATAAAGAATTCAAAAATTGTAACACTTTTATTACAACTATCCGGGAAAACAAACAACCACATGTATTACGAATTACAACATGAAAAAAATCTCTTGTCACGTTAGGTGACAAAACACCTAATGTCAATTTATTCATATATTTTTGTGCTCATACACGCCATTTGGCGCTTATTCACGTAAGAATGTCAGTTATTCACGGAAATGAAAATTCTGACTTTTTCCTCTAATAATTTGTATTGGCTATATTTTATGGAATTAAATTTGGATTCACAATTTATTTGTATATAGAAATATACAGAGTTCAAAATTGACATCCATCTTGATATTTCAAAGTTCAAAATTTAATTTACAATGAATTGCTAGTATCCTCCCTTGTTTGTGAATGTAAGACTTTCTAAGGGATTACGACATTGTAACACTTTCATTAATACAATCTGAGGAAAAAACGACCTCATGTATATCAATTACCGTCTCGATATCAGTGATTGTACTTCTAACCATTCAAAATGAAATTCACTTTTTAATGAAAATGTCATTTGAATCCATTCTTTTCATAAAAGGGGTTGTTTGTAATCAGGATTTAGCGGATGGATTCATTTAATCGATAGAGTAGTAGATATTAATGTTTCCTTCTGATTTTTGTATAGTTGTTAATTTTAAAGAGTTCAAATCTCTAAAATGTAAAGATATCAAATCTTTTATAATTAGGGTTTTTGAAATTTGTTCCTACTTTATTTTTATTATGAATAAAGAGTGGATTTGTTACCTTGAGAAGCTGGGAAGATTTTCCTACTTATCTCTGTCTATTTTATTTATATTATTAATTACCCTTTTTAATAAATTTTTGCTACTTCTAGAGCCCCTTTAATTCGATTAGTTAAGATTATATTGTTTAAATCTGCAAAAAAAAAAAAATCAATAATGAAAAACAAAAGTCATTTTAAAACAAAATTTACTTTTTAAATGATATAAAAAAATAATAATCTCAAATAAAAGTTGAGATTTTCCATTACATCAATCAAACAAAACATGCATTATGTCCATAAAAATATAATGAAGTTTTATAGAGAATTCGAAAATTGTAACACTTTTATTACAACAATCCGGGAAAACAAACAACCACATGTATTACGAATTACAATATGAAAAAAATCTCTTGTCACGTTAGGTGACAAAACACCTAATGTCAATTTATTCATATATTTTTGTGCTCATACACGCCATTTGGCGCTTATTCACGTAAGAATGTCAGTTATTCACGTAAATGAAAATTCTGACTTTTTCCTCTAATAATTTGTATTGGCTATATTTTATGGAATTAAATTTGGATTCACAATTTATCTGTATATAGCAATATACAGAGTTCAAAATTGACATCCATCTTGATATATTTCAAAGTTCAAAATTTAATTTACAATGGTGTGAATAAATAGCAATATGCGTGAATCAACACCAGGTTGTGTGACTAAACAATATTGGTTGCGTGAATAATCAACACTCTAACGTGACAAGAGACTTGATTCTTACAATATTCAATACTGTTATTGTACTTCTAACCATTAAATACGAAATTCAAATTTTAATGAAATTTTCATTTGAATCCATTATTTTCATAAAAGGGAGTCATTTGTAAACAAGATTTAGTGCATAGACTCATTGAATCGATAAATTTACTAGATAGTTATGTTTTCTTGTGTTTTTGTATAGTTGATTTTAATTTCAAAGAGTTCAAATTTCTAAATATAGAGATATCAAATATCTGGTATTCACGGTTATTAATTACAGTTATCAAACAATGAATATTTTAAAATCTTTTTTTAACAATCCTGAATATTAAAATATTTAGATAGTTTTGGAATCTAGAGATTTAAAGTCAAATTCTCCAAACGACACCAAAAGTACTCTTGGAATGGTAAACATGAGGAGAAGGAAAAAATTCCTAAAAAATTTGAATAATTTTTTTGGGTTAATACCTTATTTTGACCCGAACTATACCCAAATAATTATCTTTGGCCCGTGGGTTCAGAAATTGCTATCCTGGTCTCAACTATACATCATATAGTCTAGTTTGGTCGGATGCGTGTTTTGATCATCAATTAAGACGATCAACGCTCCAGACCCCAAGTGAATCATCCTACTTTTCTGACGTGGATGCCACGTAGAAAACAAAAATTAATAAAAATATCAATAACTCAATGAATTAAAAAGATAATATTTTTTTCATTATTTTTCAAAACACCAAACAAACAAAAACCTTCCTCCTTTGCCATCCAAATCCCTAATCATCTTCTCTTCTTCAGATCAGAGAGACAAAATTTTACTCTCCATCTTATTTGATAGGAAAGATCAACAACTAGAGCATCATTCTTCCTCCTCACTTTGCCCTCTTCCTCTTTCTCTCAAACAAAATGGCCTGACCAAAAACACACCACCTCTCATTCCCGATATGCACTCCTTCTTCTTCGACCTCAAAACCCAACCTGCAAAATCGCGACTCAACCAAAATTTTGGGGGTTTGCATCCTTGGAGCATGGCAGTGGATGAGTTTATGGGGATGAAGGTAGGGATGGCGGTGGGGTCGACATTGGGAAAGTTGTAGGGGAAGCAAAGGGAGCTTGAACTGCAGGGGAACCAGAAGAGGGAGCTTTGAGAGTCTGAGACTGAAACACAGGTTTCGGATCTCAGTTCCTGGTACTGTAGCGTTGACTGCAAGAATTTTGTCGGTGGCCGCAGGCAGCATCTCACTCCAATGATACCGATGATGGCAGAGTTCAGTGAGAGAGGGGAAGTGGGGGACAGGCCGAGTAATTAAGGGGTTTGGTTGGAATGGAGGTGGGCGGCTTGGTCGACGGATAGAAGATGACCAGGGATTTGAGATTTGCTCTAGTTGATTGGAGATTTGGATGGTAAAGGAGGAAGGTTTTTGCTGTGTCTTTCCAATCTGGATGGTAAAGGAGGAGTGAATATGACTAAGGATCCATGTAAGAAACAATAATGGATTTTAATTTGGTGGTTTGAAATAATAATAAATATATTATATAATAAAAATATTTTTTTAATTTCATTGAGTTATTGATTTTTTATTATTTTTTGTTGTCTATGTGGCATCCACGTCGAAAAAGTAGGATGATTCACTTGAGGTTTAGAGCATTGACTGTTAGTCAAAGTTGTTGACCGTCCAAATTGACGGTGAAAATGCGCATACGGCTAAACTAGACTATATGGTGGAGATTTAAGATGAAGGAAGAGAGGTTGAGGAGGAAGAAGAAGAAGAAGAAGAAGAAGAAGAAATTGGTGTCCAAGATGAGGACGAGGTCGAGGTGGATGAAGCATCCACAAGTTACAAGTGCTATGAAAGCTTTCCACCCGACCGCGATGCACTTTAAGAGAAGGACCCATTTGCGGCTGTTTTCCAAGCCAAGGCTAAACCATCTGCGATCCCTCTTGGTAGATGCGATGGACGTCAATCGATGATGGACAACATGGTGTGGGGCAAAGAGGGAAAAAAAAAAGAAGGGGTCTCGTGGGTGGAGCCTCAAAGCCGATCAAGTTAACGAGCCCTCAATCATGGACTCATCCAAAGCTCGTGACTTGAGACATCACCTCACCGACGAGAACCTCAATTTCAAGGAGGTTCTTGGACGTACCGAAGCTTGTGGAGCAACAGTCTAGCTTAGAAAGTAAAAGTAGCGCTTGTTAGGAGGCAACCCAATGAAGGTTTATGTTTATTTTTACGTTAAGTAATATTATTATGGAATAACCTCGCCTTGTGCGAGAATATATTTGTTTGTTCTCATGAGAAGCTCTCTCCTCTTCATCTCCGGCCAAATTTGGTCCTGACTTTCACTCGCCAAGTTATGCGGTAACATCATTCTACCCCTTATTTTACGCCATTGAGGGCAATGTCGAGCTTAAGTGTGGGGGTAGTCTTTCTATTATGCTTATGCGTGTGATTGATGCTTGGAGCCTTGATGTATGCCCAAATTTTTAAAATTTGAAGGCTCCAAGCATTGCATGTTCATTGTGGCCGGTAGATGGAGGATCTCTTGTTTATTGGCATTGATCTTGGATTGTCTACTTGTGATCGAGTACATCCTATTATGATGATTGAGAATTGCATTAAGTTGGTGCGAATGTTTAGTTCTCATGCGTGCGGAAATGAATGGATGTCTTGACTTGATTACTCTTCGATTACAATTGTCATGCATTGAAATTTGAGAAATAAGAATAGATGATTGGGTGATTAGGTAGCCATGTGAGATTTGTGCTGATCGTCTTTTCTTGTGTGATAGATCCCTCATGCCATGGCGAGTAACATTCACCATTTTCGTTAGTGACTAGTGAGTATGATGGAGGCATATGATTAGTCCACGTCCAAAAGTTGATAATCCCGAAATATTTTATCCCCTAATAAACCCCTTTGAGCCGTGTGACTTCGGGGTCGTTCTCATGTTAGGATCTTGTTTCATTTTGCCACGTTATTAAATAATAATATTTTTTAATTCTTTCTCCCAATTAATAATAAAAAATTAAAAAAAAATCCCCAAACCTTCAACCCTCATATTTTCCTCCGATCGCCTTCGCCCGGTCTGGTTCATCCCCTTCTTCCTCTCCACTGAGGCTCTGATATAAGCGACCGGTGGCTGAACACCCCCCCCCCCCCCCCCACCCGGCTAGAAACGAAGAGACTCCAAAGTCTGAAGCATCTGCCGCCTCCACTACAAAATCGGGTCTTTGAACCACCAACAAGACTGTGTCCGAAGAGACTCTGAACCACCCTTCTTCCTCTCCACCAGCAAAGCAACCGAAGTAAGAACTGGTATTGGCCATGGCTAATCAGATGCACTCGCTGTCACAGACTTGTTCAGAGACCGCACCGATTCGTTGAAGAGAGTGAATCTCAAGAAGGAAGCTCATCGTGGAAAGGTGCATCACCACCAGATCTAGATTCTTTCAATCTTGGGTTGGTGGGTGGAACGAATGCCTACAACTCTCCTCTCCTTGCTTAGGGCGGTGACATTAGCCTGGCGCTCTCTCACTCGAGTTCTCAGTCTCGCTGGCGATTTCGTTGTGTGCTATATATACTGATCCTCCAAAATATGTTCAACCCGATAGATCTCATAAAGCAAAGGGTAAAAGCAAAAGGATTTTTTAGAACTCCGAAGGAAATGGTATAGTCCACATCCTCTACCCCAAGCGGGACTCTTTTCTATTGATTAGTTTACGGCATCACCCGAATCCCAATTGCAAGATGAAGTCGGAATCCCCACAGTCGTACCTGTGGGATGACATTGGGTGTGGCGGAGCCGCAACTGAATTGAAAAATCACCACCACTGTCGTAGTCTTGTGGCAGGGCTTCGCAAAATCCTGATGGTACATTGTAGCTTGGATCGATCAGAGGTTGCGGCGGCTGGGGGTGTCCAAATCTAACCTGATGGCGACGCCGATTGCGGTTGGCAAGGGGCAAATTTAACGATGAGGGTCTGTTCGACGATGGCGTTTGCGAAAGAGGCGGGGTTTCCGAGGGGCGGTACATCAACGACGGCTGATGAAAATAGTTTTGCTTTGTTGTCGACGACGGGGGGTGGAGGAAGCGACGGTGGAGAGAAACGGATCATTGCGGAGAAGCTGGATCCGGTCATGGACAGAGACTTTGTGGGTTGGAACCGCCGTCGGGTGGCAAGGGAGGATAGATCGTTTACTCCAAGTGGAGTCTGGAGCTCCAATTTTATTCTGGGCGGAGCACATTTCAACCTCCAGGTGCTGGTAGCAGAGGAATTGGAGATGGAAGAGAACAATGGAGCTTTTTTGAATTCGAGAAGAATGGAGGAAGTGGATGAATTCAAGAAGAATGGAGGAGGGATCGTGGTTAGATGCTCGTGGTGGGTAATTTTGGAGGAGATCAAGATTTTGAGGCAATGTTTTCTCCAATCTAGTGTTTGTTTTGTTGGACGTGCGCGTAATAGGGTGGCCCATATGGTGGTCAGAAAAGCCCTTTCATTGTTCCCTAGTTTGATAGGGTTCGATTTTCGTTCATGGCTTTGATCAGCTAATTGACTTTAGTGTATCTTGATTATCTCATTCAATACGAAGTATCTTTTGGCAAAAAAAAAGGATTTAGGCCGAAACAAAGAGGAGGAAGTGGAGTCGTGATAAGATCCATATTTTAATATGTTAATTTTAATTAAATTACAAAATTAAAATAATATTATTTAATAACATGGCACTATGTATAACCACATCAGTAGTTTTTTCTGTGTCACTAATAGAATAAGTGTTTGACCGTTAATATTATTGGTTAACACAAGTTTCGGTCCAAATCTGTCCAATAATTTCAAAAGTAGGCGGCAAATGTCTTATTTGAAAAATGGGGTTAAAGCTGTCACTCACTCTAAACTTTGGGTCAAACTAGGGTATTAACCATTTTAGTAACATATGTTTGAACTAATAACAAAAAGGTAATTCCGTCCATATCCATTCAAAAAACCATTACTATCGTCGAATCAAGACGCCACATTATTTAAAATATTAAAAAAAATTAGTTACCAAACGAACAATTAAGTAATTAACTCATTCACCTAAGGTTGACCTTCCCATATGAAAAGGCTTGGGATATGGCCAGTAACCATTGGTTACTGACCTATGAGTAACTAAATATGGACCTTTAGATTTAAGTGGGCCCTGGAAATCCAGATCTAAGGGTTGTGAATTAAAGACATTTTATTTTTCCTAGTTTTCTTAATCGGCTCTTATCTTCATCATTTTAACTCGGATTTCAATTTTTTTTTTTTGCACATATTGAACGAGTTCGTTGTGCTCTACAAAATTAGATCAATTTTCAATATATTTCGAGAAACTTTTTTTCATACCTCCCATTACCAACTACATACCATATGGTAACTTCTTCGTTTTTAAGTCGTTTTTGAAAATGTTTGCTCAGAAGGAACGAGTTCATCATGATCTATTGAATCTATAAATTTCTGGGTGAAAAAAATACAGGACCAAAAATACTATACTTTACCACTTTGGTATGTGGGTGGTAACTTGTGGTAAACAATGATGAAAAGCGTAAATGACAGTTAGTATACTCCTACTATCATGTATTCAATCTTCCTACAGTATTGGTATGTTCATACCATCATGGTATGCTTTCTTACCATATGGTATTAAATAGGAGCATATCATATGATATTGACTGGTAAAAAATGTCTTAATTTTTTTTTGTTCTAAAAATATATCAAAGTGGAGATCATTTTAAAGAGCACAATTAATCTGATTTATCTGTGAAAAATAATATAAAATCCAACTTAAAACGAGAGAGAAATTGTCCGTTAAAGATTAAAGAGGAAAAGATAAAAGGCTTTTTATGAGAGGGAGGGATGCTGATGTCATGCTGATATGGACGGGTACTCATTGTTAGTCACCCTAATGTTACTGACATGACAACGCTCTCATATGAAAACCCTTCTCCCATCTCCTATGCATCTTCTCATTCCTAATCGCTGCAAATGTTGTATTCTCCTCTGCCGTTGTTGCCGACGGCGAAACGATGGTGATTCTGCCATCAGCAGCAGCTCCACTGTGGGCAGTAGACTTTACTCATCGGTCTCCTGCTGGCTGCTCTCTCAGATCCTTCTCCTCGTGAGCCCAATTTTATAGATACCTAAAGAAAAATTCAACTGCTTTTTTTCACTTTCTATGTTTACAGCTGTTATGATTCAAATTTCCAGATTATGTTCAATTCACCTTGTGCATGCAATCAGAGGATGATTCTTCTTCTCCGACTGAATTAGTTGCTCTGCTTAACGACACTATTTGTCTCGAAGATCCTATCTCTGGGAAGTTTCTATGGTCCTTCTGGCAAAGTGCCAATCTGTACCTGATCTTCTTATTTCAATATATTACCATTTTCGGCATGTACTTTCTTTTTCTCTATGTTTTGTCTTCTTTCTTGAATTGTAAGCTACTGCTGAACTCTGTACTATTCTACTCAGCTATATAAGCTGAAGAGTGAAATGAAAAGAACCCAGGGGTTTAGGGTTTTCCAAACAAAGTGTTGTTATGGTATCAGAGCCCTTCTAAACCCTAGCCGCCTCAAACATGGCCGACAATGTTCAAGCAGATCCAGCTGCTGCAAATGCACAGCCTCAGCTTGCTGTTGATCCTATGGCAGATCCCTACTATTTGCATGGTTCTGAGCAGCCAGGTCTGATCTTGGTGGGTGAGAAACTTACCACCACCAACTACAATGACTGGAGCCAAGCCATGCTCAATGCATTGGGAGCCAAGAACAAGCTTGGCTTCATCAATGGTTCCATTCCACACCCAGGTGAAGATCACCAAAATGCTTGGGCCTGGAATAGGAACAATGTCATGGTCCTTTCCTGGATTCAGCAAGCAGTTGAAGCCAGCATCCGCAAGACCATTATGTCCTGCAAGACATCTCTTGAAGCCTGGAGAATTTTGAGATCTCGCTATGGTCAAGGAGATGTGGTCAGAATTGCGGAGCTCACTGAAAACCTCAGCAATCTCAAACAAGGTAGTAAATCTATCACAGAATACTATGGTAATTTCATTGCAATTCGAGATGAGTTAGATAATTATCAGCCCCTTGAACACTACACTTGTACACCCACCAGTAGGGAAACATGTGCAGCTATGAGGCTAGTTTTTCAATACAAAGACACAAACTTTGTTATCCAATTTCTAAGAGGCTTGAATGAGAATTTCTCCACTGTGAGATCTCAAGTTCTCTTTGGAGATGCATTGCCAAACATTGATCGTGTGTTACAAAGGATGCTTCAACATGAGAGACAACAATATGGAACACAGCTCAACAGGGTTCTTGCATTAGACACAATGAGTTTAGCAGCACAAAGCTCCAACACTTCTCAGATTAGAAGACCTAGACCTTACTGCACTCATTGCAAGTTGCTTGGTCACACAGAAGAAACTTGCTACCATAAACATGGGTGGCCACCAGGGATGAGTACCAAACCAGCAAATCCTTCTAATAGGACACTTGAGTGTACCTATTGCAAGAAACCAGGACATACGGAAGAGAAGTGTTACAGCAAACATGGATATCCAAATCCTAGGGCTCCAACGAGAGCCAAACCTCAAGCTCATTCAGTTACTTCAGAGGATCTAAACCAAGAAGTCAAGCTTACAAAAGCTGGCTACCTGAAGCTAATGTCCCTCATGAATGACAAAGGCAACTCCAAACCTTCCACAAGTTCAGGTTCCTCTTTTTCAGCTGCCAGTTTCACCAACAGGCCACCAGATTCCTCAGGTAAATTCCTGCTCAATGTGGGTGATAAATCACCACATCATCAAACCTGGATATTGGATACAGGTGCTTCTGACCATATTGTGTGTTCTCTCAATCATCTATCCAACTCCAGACCCCTACACAATATCTATATCACCCTTCCCACAGGAGACAAAGTTCAAGCAACACATTCACGCACAGTTACTTGTGTTGCAGGCCTAGTATTGCATGAAGCTCTATTTGTTCCACAATTTAGCTTCAACCTTATCTCTGTCAGTCAACTAACCAAAAACATATCCATTTGATTGACCTTCTTCTCTGATGTCTGCTTGATTCAGGATATGCAGCTGAGGAGGATGACTGGTTCTGATAAGCTATCCTATGGCCTTTACCACCTAGAGATCACTATAGATACAAATCCATCCCAACACATCACAACAGCCACCACAAAGACATTTGATGTTTGGCACCATAGACTAGGACATGTCTCCCATTCTAAAGTGCCCATTTTGCAAACTTTTTATCCACAGATAGATACAAACAGTTATATACCCTGTGATGTCTGTCATTTTGCTAGACAGAAGAGACTTCCTTTCCCTTCCAGTACTTCTGTAACTACACATGCTTTTGAACTTTTGCATGTTGACATATGGGGGCCTAATCCAATTCCAAGTTATGATGGTTTCAAGTATTTCTTAACAATCGTTGATGACTTTAGTAGAATGACTTGGATAATTCTTTTACAAGCTGAGTCTGAAGCTAGACCTAAGCTACAAGCATTTTGTTCCTATGTTGAGAGATAATTCCAAACCAACATCAGGAAGATTAGAAGTGACCAGGGTAGAGAGTTTGCCATGACAGATTTTTTCAATCACACTGGCATTCTTCATGAACAATCTTGTGCTGAGACTCCGCAACAAAATAGCAAAGTGGAAAGGAAGCATCAACACATTCTCTCTCTAGCTAGGGCCCTCAAATTCCAATCCAACCTTCCTCCTGCCTTTTGGGCAGTTTGTGTCAGGCATTCAGTTTATTTGATCAACAAGGTTCCCACAATTGTTCTCGGGAACCTCACTCCTTATGAGAAGCTATACAAACAGAAACCAGACCTTTCTGACCTCAAGGTCTTTGGTTGTTTATGCTTTGCTTCTACACTTTCTAACAATAGAGCAAAGTTTGATTCAAGATCTAGAAAGGGAGTTTTCATTGGCTATCAACGTGGCATTAAAGGTTACAAAATTTATGACTTTTCCACACATGATGTTTTTGTCTCCAGAGATGTTCAATTTCATGAAAATGTGTTTCCATTTCATAACCAAAACCCAGACCATTCCCCACCCTATTCTACTCCATCTGATCCTGCTCTCTATGATGATCCAAGTCCAAATTATAGTCCAACATCACAACCACCTATCACTCCCCAACCACTCACATCGGATCAGGACACCTCCTTTGACACAGATGATGAACCAGACTCCCCACCCACATCATCTAATTCACCATCCCCACCACCTCCCCCACCACCAGTACCACAACAACCTCTAAGAAAGTCAACTAGAGTTCCCAAAAGACCTACCCACCTTCAGCAATACCATTGTAACCTGCTTCAACAGTGTTCTTCTACCAGTCATTCTACTCAACTGCCACATACAGGTATGACATCAGATCTTTCCTCCCTACTTGATTACTCCACTCTCTCACCTACTCACAAAAACTTTGTCTCAAGCATCTCTTCTATTAAGGAACCTGAAACATATAAGGAGGCAATTCAATTTCCAGAATGTAATGATGCCATGACAGCTGAAACTCAAGCTCTAGAAGCCAACCATACTTGGGATGTGGTTGAACTACCCCCTAGTAAAAAACAAGTTGGCAACAAGTGGGTTTACAAGAACAAACACCTTTCATATGGCAGTTTAGAGAGACAAAAAGCCAGATTAGTGGCCAAAGGTTACAGTCAACAAGAGGGTGTTGACTACCAGGATACCTTTGCTCCTGTAGTCAAAATGTCAACAATCAGGCTATTTCTAGCCATTGTTGCATCACAGAACTGGCACATCCAACAATTGGATGTCAACAATGCATTTCTGCATGGAGACTTAGACCAAGAAGTTTATATGATGCTACCACCTGGATATGTTCCTCCACCTGGTCTCAAAAACCCTGTTTGCAGACTAAAGAAATCAATCTATGGTCTCAAGCAAGCATCAAGACAATGGTTCACCAAGCTTGCTGAAAAATTACAGTCACAAGGCTACATTGCCAGTAAGGTAGACCATTCTCTTTTCTACAAACAATCAGGTTCTTCCTACACCTGCATCCTAGTCTATGTTGACGATTTAGTCATTGGAGGAACTGACATTGGAGAAATTGAGCATCTCAAGTCATTTCTACATCAAACATTCAGCATTAAGGATATGGGAGATTTGAAATTTTTCATGGGAATAGAAGTGGCAAGAAGCAAAAAGGGCATTCACATTTCTCAAAGGAAGTATACATTAGAGATCCTGGAGGAGGCAGATCTCCTCAATTGCAAACCTGTTACTACTCTTATGGACTACAAACTTCATCTATCAGCAGAGCATAGTGATCCCTTTCCTAATCCGGAAGCATACAGGAGATTGGTGGGCAAATTGATTTATCTCACAACTACCCGCCTAGATATAAGCTATGCAACACAACAGGTCAGTCAATACATGTCCAACCTCAGTAATTCTCATTACAAAGCAGTGCCAAGGATCCTGCGTTACCTTAAATCAGCTCCCACAAGTGGATTGTTCTTCTCTTCCAATTCAAATCTCCATTTGAAGGCATTCAGTGACTCAGACTGGGCTGCATGTGTCGATACCAGACGCTCAGTAACTGGATACTGTGTTTACTTGGGCGACTCACTGGTCTCATGCAAGTGCAAGAAGTAGACAACAATCTCCCGCTCTTCTTGCGAAGCAGAGTATCGAGCATTGGCTTACACTGCTTGTGAGGTTCAGTGGCTACTTTATTTACTCCATGATTTTCAGATTGCTCATCCCCAGCCTGCCACCATCTACTGCGACAATCAATCAGCGATTTACATCGCCGAGAATCCCACCTTCCACGAACGAACGAAGCATATAGAAATTGATTGCCATTTCGTCCGTGAGAAGTTGCTTTCCAAAACCATCAAAGTCCTCCATGTCTCCTCAGTTCACCAGCTCGCAGATCTCTTCACAAAGCCCCTTCCTCCTGCTCCATTCCATTTACTCCTCTCCAGTCTCCAAGCTTGGTGTCCTCAACCTGTGCCCACCAGCTTGCGGGGGGTATCAGGGAAAAATGGAAGATTTTCACCGCTGCCGCTGCAATTCAAATCTCCAACGGTCAACAATGGAGCAGAGTCGTCTACAAGAGGGAAGGAGAGGATTCAAAGCGACGTCGTTCCACCATCAGCAAAGTTAAAGAAACGTTTGTGGAGTGACGTCGTTTCTGGCAAAGTGCCAATCAGTACCTAATCTTCTTATTTCAACATTTTACCATTTTCGGCCTGTACTTTCTTTTCCCCTACGTTTTGTCTTCTTTCTTGAATTGTAAGCTACAGCTGAACTATGTATTGTTCTACTCGGCTATATAAGCTGAAGAGTGAAATGAGAAGAACCCAGGGGTTTAGGGTTTTCCAAACAAAGCGTTGTTACCTTCTCATCTGGCTCCCCGATCTACTCTTCCTATTAATCCCCCTTTCTAAACGAAGGTGCTGGCGGTCAAGACGACAACATTTTTTGGACTAGGTATTGCTTTCTTCCTCGAGAAATCTGTTCCCGACGTAAGTAACGGCGACCCAATTACAGGGTATAAAATTAGGGTTTTTATATCTTAATTAATATCTTAACTAACATGGCGTGTTGACTGGAATGGAGATGGACGGAATTACCATTTCATTATTAGTCCGAATATATGTTAGTGAAACGTGCAAAATTAAAAATTTGTAATCGTTTTGTATAAAGTGTTTTTGTGACCATTTATGATAATTAGGCCCCTAACTTATTGTTGATGTTTGTATCTCATCTACCGACTCCAAGGTCTCCAATGGATTTCCCCAGTACGAGGGGTTCATTCTTCAATTACATATTTCTTGAAAACCTTCCTTTTGACAATCGAATTGAAGACTAAACCTATTCTTATGGATTACGTAACTATCAACACAAAACTTCCAGTTTCAAAACTTATGGATTACGTAACTATCAACACAAAAATCACCCAGTCAGTTATGCTTTCGAACTGTGAAATCGTCTCCAATCTGTTCTGCTCCAAACTCTAATAAAGCGCATTAAACCTATTCTTATGGCCACAGTGTGAAAGGGGCTCCCAATCGTGGGATGTCATGTTCGACAGCAGGAACAGGTCTGCTGCATATTGTAAGATTGCAGGTTCTCTTCAAAACTTATCAACCTTCAAGCTTTCAACCCGCAGGCCAGAAGACATGATTTTACACCGTTCCCTGTGACAATAAAAGAACTACCATAGAGTTAAAGCAGTGAAATGATCACAATGCCTACGGTTCTCATTGATAAGAGGAAATAGCAGCAACAAGGCAAGAGTTAAGAAGACAGGGCTGGCTTTACCTTTATCATCTCACATTTCAAACATTGTACTCATTCACTCGCATCCACTTGGTTGATGACCATTTATTCCCTTTAATCACGGCACAACCACCTGAAGAGAAGAAACAAATATGAACGAATCATTTTGGAGAGTGTACTTTTCATGGAGTCGCCCTGCAATCATGCTCAACTATAAGGCGATGGCCAGGTCCAAGTGATCACGCTAACCATGCAAACTTGAAGGGTCCAGACTGGCATCAGGTTTCATACTCCAGAAAAGCAATGCGTCGCCCATCTTAGGTTTGACTGAAAGCCCTTTCTTCCCACATTCGGACAACTCGTTCCACCATGGGACAGCACTGTAGTTACCTTTTGCAGAAGGGAAAACTGTCTCCCCACCTTCTTCAACATCGGACCTGTGCACAACAAGGATTATTGAAAGCCAAACTTTTAGCAAGAGGTTTAAGTAAGAAATACCCCGAACATAGAAAATGAAGAGACCGTCTCACTTACAGATACATAAGAACAGTAGCTATGCGTTGTCCCCCATTCTTGGTGTTGTAAGCATCCATGAAGTAGTCAAAGTGAGGCTCGTATTTCTGCCCAACTTCATAGTGAAGGATTTGAAGCCCTTCCCCATGTTCTGCATATTTGCTTTCACTTGAGTAATCAAAATTATTCCAATTGCCATTATCAATCACTAGTTTCTAACCTTATATCGTCCTCTCTAGTCAGTTCAGCATTCCAGATTCAAATCACAAACATAGCCATAGCATTCGTAAACATAAACAAGACAGGCTCAACTCAACCAGACTAGCATGCATATTGGTACATTCCAATAAGACCAAGAATCAACGAAAGAGAACAAAATCCACAGAGCAAAATGATAGGTGTCGTCCAATTGCCTTACCTACAGGTATGAATGTGAAGTCAGCAATCCGTTTCTCAATGTCCCTGATGACTTGGTCCCGTCCTCGAGCTAAGAATGTCCCTGAGCTTGTTCTAACTCTGAGGTCACAAATGCATAGCAACTTAAGGTAAGTAGCAGCACCAGCAGGCCAAAAGGAAGGGCCAGGAATTAGACCGTCAAAGCAAGCAAGCAAGAAAGAAAGAAAGTACACACTAAGTAAATGACTAAACCTGCTATCTCTGCTTTTTCCAGTATCGGAATCAACAACTGTCGACTTCACCATATGAGGCTTCGCAAGACTGATCAAGTACTCGCACTCCTCCTTGCTCTGAAACGAGGATTGATCAACCAAATCAGTGGCAACTAACAATAGATATTAGTATCACAGGGTTTGAGCACTCAAGTGAGAATGAAGCAAAAGAAAGAAGATGGGCAACACTCTAAATCCATCAAGGAACTAATTGCAGGTTGCAGATTTGGCAGACGGACATCAGAATTCAACGACGGAGGCAAACCCAATTGAAATTCAGAACCCGAATGCAAAGACTCACGAGAAAATTGTGGTAGACGAAGGCACGAGGCTCCCAGGAGATGACTTCAGCCCAAGGTTCCGGTTTCCTTTCCTCCACGGCGCTGCTGCGAGCCGCACGAACAGAGGCAGATGCAAGAACGAAAAACAAACGCAAACAAGACGACTATATCAGGTCAGTCACGAAGAAGAGAAAATGGAAACGGAGGAGACGGAAGAAAACAAAGAGGAAAGTAGAAATGACCTATTCACTTGATTGTGGAGAATGGTGCTGAGATCGTGCGCTCTCCTGGAGTCGCCAGAATTGCTAGGAATCGAGAGAATTCCGAGGGCGAGGAGAATGAGAATCGCGAAGGTGAACATGAGGAGCATGGTGAAAATCATGGTGGATGATTTGGATTTTCGAGACGGGAACCGAGAGTATCTGCCTTTCGCCATTGGAGCTGAACGGTGGCGAATTCTTGAATCAGAGCAGGAAGATCGATTCGATTCGATTGGATGGGGATTGGGGGAGAAAAAGAGGTAGCAGCTAAAACCTCTGTTTTAGATGCAGGGAAATGAATGGAAGAGACAGAATAGAGAGTAGTACAGCTTGCTTTTCTTTTCTGTGCTCGTTACTGAAATTGGAATGGAATGGAGGGGACGCCGGTAGCTTAGGTTTCTGGTTTATTAATTGCGGAGCTGAGAGTAACGCGGTGACTCTGTCTCCGGCGACTTTTACAGCTCTCTGCAACACTAAAACTATAGACCAGTATGGAGAGATCCACGGCATCATATCGTACCACGTGAGAATGGGATTGCACGCGAAGAGCATCTCCATTCTCCAAGTTTCAGGCCAGGAAAATATCTATTTTATTATTTTCTGAGAATTGTATTTTCAAAGGGTTAATAAAGACTAAATTATACGTTTGTTCACTCAAATATATAAATTTTTCACGTTTGCCATTTGAAATTTTTACTAGTCACTAACTTTACGAATTGTTTCGTCGCTAATTGTGATTGGTTATGGAGATGGGGTTATGGATTGGTATTCCGGATCCGAAATTAGTATTTTTGTTTGTTTGTTGTAGGCCACCGCTCCAACAACGACAGTGGAGGAATCATCCCTTACGAAGATCCAGCGAAGCCCCTGTTTCCATTGACAGTGGAACGGTGGAGATTCGATCAATCGTAGCTTCTATCTCTCGGTCGTCCATTCCTCTTCTATTCTACGCTCGGTCAACGCCACTAAAAGCACATAGTTTAAAAAGTTCAAGTGGATTTGTGGGCGATCAGTGGAGGCGGTTATAGCAAGACGTAAGGGGGGGAGGGCACCATCGCGACGGTTACCGCCGGCGGTGGCTAGTTTTGTGCGATGGGGGTTCAACGAGCGAGGCCTAGTACAAGCGGAGATCTCATGTCTGATCAGAGAAGGAAAACCATTGTTAGAATTTAGAAAGTAACTGTCATGCTTCACCTAATTTTGCGGTGGCCGCTTTCTCGCCACTGTGCGACCCAACAGTTTCCTGCTGCAACGCCATTATGCGTCCCAGAGCCTGATTCTTCCTTTACTCATTGAATCCATCCCATCGGATTCCACCTAAACTTTTTGCAGGGGTTTCAAACAGGTTGTGGTGTCGGGCCTACTCACCGTTGCGGGAACCGCCACATCCATGGAATCCGATTATATGTTCTCTTCCACCGAGGTCCCCTCAGCGGCGGATTCAGGATACAGTAGAGCACTGGGCCGCATTTGCATAGAAAATTAGATACCGTAAACAAAATATAATAACCAAGGTTCAAGAAAGCGCTAAGCATAGACTACATTGGGTTCCTGCCTAACAGCTATCTTGTCTAGGGGTAGCCTAAGAGTGCCTAGACGTTGCAAGAAAAACTATCATTCTTTTAATAAACTATCAATGAAAAAACAATATTGCAACATTTTCGCACTTCCATTGAAATAATTAAAAACTTGGTTAAAATTAAACAACAAGAAATATGATGAATTATTTATGATAGATATATGATGAATGAAATAGCACTTAACAATTTTATTTGTGATCCTTCACGTATAAAATACATATACGCATGTTTAACACGTTGCATACACGTTTTAATAAGAACTAAATCGAGTAGCTTCTAAATAGAATTGGATATAAATTCTACACGAGATGATATACGAGAAAAGCCAAATCTGAATTTTTACATTAATGCACAAAATTACTCATTCATATCTCTTAAGAAACTAACTATTATCCAACTACAGAAGAGATAGGACGACAAATGGAAGGTTGGGTTCGTTGGGAGCTAGGTTGCTGGTCATCTTTTGTGTAGGGAAGCAGCGTCGCAGCAAGAGTATTTCGCCGGAGCAGCGAAAAGTGCGGATGGCGCGCAGACAAAGAATGAGATCCTTTTCCCTTTGATTTTTTGGCGGTAGGTAAAACGGATGGGGCAAAGAGGTTAATTGAAATTTGGGTTTTGGACTTTTGGTCTTTTGGAGTTGGGTTTTTTATTTAATGGGTAGAGAGGGCTAGGCCCAAAGTGTTGAGAATGCTGAAAGCAAAGCCTCTTTACCAGGCCAGGACTTCAGGAGGGCTGGGAGGGCTGGGCCCGGGCCCAGTGTGGCCCTCCTCTGGATCCGCCGATGGGTCCCCTCACCGACACAACCACAAATTAACCTAGGGATTTAACTCAATCTCGATGGTCCACAGTAGTCGGCGACCCCTTCCGGCAGATGGCAAAACTTTGGTTTAATTAATTGATTTAATTTTTGGTTTAATTATGTCAACTAGAGTTTTATTTAAACATTTGGTAAAATACATCTGTATAGCCAAAACTTTGACGATTTTGCCAATAATAGTCACTTTTGCGAAAATACACAAAATAGCCATTTCCGTCCAATTCCCATTTCCGTCCAATTCTTTGACGGTGTCAAGTAACGGACTAACTGGACTAACGGCATTGCTGAATTGGCGACAGTTAATTAATAAAAAATATGTTAAAAATATATAAATTAAATATTTTTATTTTATCTCTCCCGTCTCTCTACTCTATGCAATCTTCCATTCAATGTTGACCTTAAATCAATCGCCTCTTCACTCCTTCAACATATTCGGAAAGCCATCAAAAGCCATTGTTGCTTCCTTCAAGGAATTTCGTTTCAACTCCATTTCATATACCATCTTCTGTGCATCTCCCAAGCTGAGTCTCCCAAGAAGCAGAAAACCCCCAAAATCGAAAACCCTAAACCTACCTCCGATTCTCCAGATTTAGCGCACGATGGGAAGGTTCCCGACCCTGAACCCGCTCACGCCGGAGATTCTTCGGCTGACCAGAAATTGGAGCTGTCCAAGATGGAAGGTGCCCAGAAGTCACTGTCGTCTTCACTGTGGTCGGCGACAGAGCCGTTGGGTGCGAAGCCGATATGGACAGAGGTTGGATATGTCCGACGGCGGCTGCTCCAGCTCGGATGTTGACACCAGATCTCGCTGTTGGGTCGTGAGGTGATTCTCTATCCGGACCAAATCTCGCCGAGGGAGAAGGAAAGGAGCTTCTGTCTTCCACCTCCCAAACCACCATTGAAATAGATTCCCTCGACGAAGGTATCGACTTCTTGATGCCTCCTCCCCCAAGTCGCCATCGACTTCTTGGTGCGCCATCCTCCTCGTTTCAATATCCATCGCCGGCAACAGAGGCAAAGAAAAGGATGAGGCACGATGCGAGGCAGGGAGGCGAACATCGGGACAACATTGTCATCTTTAGCGTTCTTTCAAATCCCTAATATCCAATTGATAGCTTCATCCAATTCTTTATTCCCGATTGAGTGTGTGTGATTTTCATTTTTTTTTTTGTGGCCATAGCTGGTGTGAGTCTCGTCGCTGGTTGGTTCTCGTTCCGGGGAGAATTGGGGGAGAAGTTTGGTGAATAAGGATAAGGAGAAGAGATTCAATCGGAGAAGATGAAGTGAGGGGAAAAGAACATAAGAATTATATGAAAAAAATAATTTGTTAAAAAATTAAATTTTTAATATGACTTGGCATCCACCTGTTATCGGAGTTGAGGTGAAAATGAAAAAGAGGGTGAGTTGGCAGTCAGGTAAGCGTGCTGTTAATTTGACTAACGGTGTCACTGACGCAGTTAAAATATTTAACGGAAATGGCTACATTTGTCATGAAACTTTCAAAATTTTGGCTATTTTCTGTATTTCGCCAAAAGTGACTATTATTGTCACAAACGTGAAAGTTTTGGCTATACAGATGAATTTTGCCTAAACATTTTCTATTTATTTAACTCCATTGCGTGTTTACTATCCTTTGTAATTCTTATTTTTTAAAAATTTCTTGCATTATAACTCCTCTCACTTTTTGTGGTAGTTTGTCAGCAGTGGCGGAGGCAACGCCTTTTGGCCTTGTCCCGGGACAGGGGTAAATTTCGACGGAACAAAAATACGCTATATATATTTATATTGGTGATGGAACACAATACGTATAGGTAGTATTAGAGTACTTTGTCACTACAACACAACTCATTACTTGTCCAAAATTGACATAAATTTAATTTATTATACAATAAACGAAATTCCAATTGCAATAAAGAACTAACCGGGTCTCTTTTCTCCTTATGCCTATTCGATCTTTTCCCCAACAACCCTGAAATTGTCTAGCGACAACGACAATCCCACTAGTTTTGATCTACCAGTTGCAACTGCAAGTGTAAAAATAGCATTTTCAGCTTTGAGTTATATTAAGAACAAGTTTCCAAGTCGATTTGGCGACCAGTTTGCTAATACTTGTTTAGTAAGATACATTGAGAGAGACTTATATAATAGTGTAGACAACGAATGTTTTTGCGCTTCTTTCACTATATGAAATTCCTTCGTAGTTGTTTCTGAAAAATATGATAGTATAATTGGTTATTTTTAATTTATGAATGCATTATTTGGATATAGTTATTTTTATTAAATAATTCTTTTATTAGATACTTATATATTTAAGTTATGAAAAGAGGACAGTGGTGGTTTGAAATGCTCCCTCCGTCACTGTTTGTCAGTGGAGTCTTATATTGTTGTTTTATTTGAATTTTTATTAGATGAGTGTCAAATGATCCTTATTATAAGTTTGCACAAGAAATTGTGTTATTGTTTTAGTGTCGGAGTTTCTTAATAATTAGTCATGAGGCTAGTATTGTTAAAACTTTTTGGTTGTTTCTGTTGATTCTTGACGTATTTTTGTTGTCTTTCACTCTCCACTTTAGATGTACCGCTTCACTTTGTATCCTTCTTGATGAAGCACCAGAGGAGGACACATGGCTTTGTCTTATCCCCTCTTGCCATGACAGTCTGATGCTTGCTATGTTTAGCTAGGTTTGCTTAGCTGCTTTTTTCCCCGTCTTTCAGGTGGAGTAGTTCATATGGCTTGTAGAGCATTTCTGGTGGAGGCCCGATGGTACTTGAACATTGTTTTGTCCCTTTAGGGGTTTGTTTATGTGTTTTTTTTTTTTTTCTTCTGCGGGATAGCTTGAACATAAACTCTACTGTTGTCCAATTGGAACTCGATCTATTGGAGATGTGAGGTTTGTCCTCAACGATCTTGTTCTTCAAGAAAAAACAATTTGGTCCTTCAAGAAGTTTGTCGCATGAAGACTTCATTTGCATTATTCGTTTATTTATGCTCCTAGTCATACTAACAAGGCTACCCATTGCTGACTAAAACGGCCCTTGCATCGTTAGCTCAACACAAGGTTGACTACCGCTTTTACTTTTCAACAATTTGTAATGTCCTATCTATTAACAATCTATCTATGGCAAAAAAAACAAAGTGACAAGGAAGCCACATCACTCTTAGCTCAGCACTACATACAGGGTTGCTGACGGAATAAATGTTTGACTGTGATGTCGAGAACATCCTTCCTGGACCGTGAACATCCTTCCTGGATCGTGATGTCGAGCAAATCCGCACCATTTTCACTTAGTCTGTTCACGGTCTGGGGCATGATTTCGCGGTCTTACGACCGTGAACTGACTAGGATCCAGTGAGGTGTACATTTTGCTTCTAGACTCTTTGGCGCTTCACGGTCTTGCGACCGTGAACTGACTGGGATCCAGTGAGGTGTGCATTTTGCTTCTGGAACTTCAGCGCTTCACGGCTTGGGCGCCCTTTTCACGGTCCATAAGACCGTGAAAACTCATCATCCATCGTGATCCTCAACTGCTTCCACCCTTTGACTCATTTTCGCTCCTTTACGTCTCACTTTCGATTCCGAGGTCAGTTTCACCTACTAGGATCTGAAACATACTCAAACAAAGTGCAACTTGGCGTAAAATCACGCCTCAAAGAGTACAAATGCATCAAACGTCTAAGCAAAACGGGGATAAAATGTGTACAATTAGACCCGAATCAGGACTTTCCTTCACTTTTTGGCATTTTCGACCTCCAATCGCCCCGAAACTTGTCATCGACCTTCCCACACGTACTAGGACCTGAAATACAACAAAAAAAGCACAACCTAGCGTAAAATAGGTCGAGGGACGATGAAATGCAAAGTCAAACTATCAAGAAATGAGGGGTAAAAAATGTGTACAATTTGGACCGAATCAAGAACTCTAAAGTTAAACGTGCTCAATGTGGAGTACCACAATGATGGGTGACCTTATAGGAAGTCATCTGAATTACACCCCAATTCCAAAACCGTCAGGATCAAGGCCTAAAACGGACAATGTTTTCATCGGACAAAGATTCAGCGTGTTATAGAGACTGTAGATCTGTGAAGATATGGATGAGAGACAAGAGAAAAAGTCAATTTATTGTTATTATTTGAAGTTATTAGTTATCACTAGGTATCATCTAGAACCATAAGAATTGTTTAATTTTCCAAATAATAATAACGGTATACTATTTACGCCAAAATATTTGCTTACACATCCAAACAATAATACTAATTGTTTCTGAACTATTTATAATAATATTTGTTTTATAGCCATGCAAAATTTTAAAAATATTAAAAGACTTTCGATTTGATCCCATGTGACATGGGTTCTCATGAAATAATAATTTTATCTATGATAAAACTTTTCCTATGTAAGTTCTCACAATAAGCTACAACATAATTGCTATATCACAATTCTCGAATTTAGAAGAATAAAAAAACATCTCAATTATGAAGACATTGACACTTGCAATGTTAATTGCTTAATTTTTTTTTAAAATATAAATTTTAAATCTAGTTAAGAATAAATAAACATGTAAATAATCACTATTAAGATTCAAAATCACAACCAACAAGCTCCAAACAATAATTTGAAATATTTAATTAATTGAATAAAATCCATTTAACTACCCAATTTATATAAAATAATTTATGAAGGCCGACGAGGAGGTCTAGTTGTTGGTCGAGAGAGCGTCGTCACTGAGGAATCCGGGGTTTTCTCGCAGCCATCTTCATTCACTGATGAATTCGGTTCCATGGTTTTCTACGAACTAAAATTAGGGATTAGAGTTTTGGGCGCCATTCATGGCTTATGATTCGGGTCTAATTGTACAATTTTTATCCCCGTTTCTCTTAGACGGTTGTGGCAATTGAGCTCCAAAAAGATTGATTTTACGCTAGGTTTCTTGTGTTTCAATGTGTTTCAGAGTCTAACAGGTGAAACCAATCCCGGAGTCGAACGTTGGAAGAAAAGGAGCAAGGACCGGGCAAAGAGGAGTTTTCAGCCACAGTTCACGGTCGCCAGGACCGTGAAGCATGGCCCAGGAAACCGGATCGGACCGAGCGGTTGAACCGGTAAAACCGGAAATAGGGCCAAATCCGGAACGATACCTGAAGTGCAGAGAAATTGTCGTACCGGCCGGTATTTGTGGTCGAACCGGCTTCCAGAGAAATACCGGTCGGTTTTGATTCAACCGCCGATTCTTTAATTACAACGAAAAATCAACCCACTTAAACAGAACTCTGTCCTATTATTGGAAGAAAATTAAGAAGAGAAATTCAAAAATAACAGATTTTGGATTTCCAAAATCCTAACTCTTCATTCTCGTCGACAATCGGATATAGCCGCGCCCAACGAAAAAAGATTCCAAAGTCAAGCCCCTTCTTTTCACCTGCTCTTCGTCTTCCTCCCTGGAGATCTGGTCCACTATTATCATCGTTTGTCGATTCGTTGTTCCTTACCGTTCGTCGATTCGTTGTTTGTCTTCCCGGAGGAAGCAACGACAAGGATTCTCCGTTTTTCCTCTCCCGATTCATTCTTCTTGTTGTTTGTCGTTCAAGATCCATGTCGAGCTGATTCGAGAAGGTCGCGGCGGAGAGATGGAAGGTCGCGGCAGAGAGATGAAAGAACGTCGGGGGGGGGGGGGGGGGGGGGGTTGGGAGAGAGAGAGACGGAGCCTGATTATTTTTTGGGGAGAGTTTGATTAGAGAGAGGGAGGCGGAGCGGCGGGAACGGGGAGAGAATGAGATAGGGTCGGTTGTTAATTGTTAGGTTAAGGGTTAGTTTCTAATGTTTTAATTATTATAATTATATATACTAAAGGTAAATTATTATAATTTAATAAATAGAAAAATACAAATCAGTCTTCAAACTTTTTACTCTTAGCATTAAGTGTATATATTTGTTGAAGTGTGTATAATTGTAATGTTGCACGTTGTTGACGGTTGTAGGTATTTAATAATTTACAACTTGTTATCCGGTATATCTCGGTTTTATTCCGGTATTATTCCGGAACGGTACTATGATTTTTTCGGTACTGTATAATTATAAAAAATTATTTTTTTTATTTTAAAAACGGTATTTTAGCGTTACAAAACGGTTGAAACACGGTTGTACCACAAAATACCCTACCATAGACGAATCCGGTATGACTTCCGGTACTGTTTCATGGACCTTGCCGTGAAGTGGAACCACAAACCGTGAACCGCGAAGCGTCCAGAGGGGGTTCAGAGGTTACTAACGCCAAGGCAGTTCAAGATTGCTAAGACAGTGAACTGGGGCAATGGACCGTGAAGACCAGAAGTGAAGCGACGCGTTTTGCTCACAGTTCACGGACGCGTCCTGATATTCACAGCCGTGAACTGGGCGCGATCTCAGTACATAATGAGAGCTGAAAGGAAGAAGAGGGAGAGCCAAAAGTGAGTGAAAGCCTCTTCTTCTTGAAACACTAGAGAGAGAAAGTCACGAACCAAGGGGGAGAAGATGCTAGGGTTTGGTCCATGTGAAGATTTTGGAAGTTACTCTTCCAAGGAGGATCTCTACAAGCACAAGGATAGTTGGAGGCATCACAATGATGGTTTCTTTCTTCCTCTTTTGTGTTCTTCCATTGTCTAGCATGGAGTAGTTTCCCTTTTCACTTGAGTGTTGTAGAACCCTAACTTTTACCATGTAACGGATTGTGTGGATTGAATGATTATTTGATGGTAGTGTTTTATTTAAGTATTGAGGTATTTTTCATGGTGATTGTGCATTTTTTGTGCTTGGCAATCTATTGTGCCATTCTAACCAAGTTTAGAGAGAAGCCCCCTTATATTAAGAGGCTCAAATCAATCTGGGTTTTCTTAGGCATTCCGTGCCTACTAAGTCCTAACTAGGTTAATGAAGGGCAAACCTCTAACTTGGATTAGACACCTAGGTTAACTATGATTATGTCGTCCAAACCTTGGTTTGAGGGAGAAGGTAAGTCAACCTCAATTGATTGGGCCAAGAGGGCTACAATTGTAGCCCCTAATGTTTCCCTTGGCCTAGCAATTGAGAGATGGTTTCTAACCATTGTTGCACCTCCTACGGGTCGCAATTGCCTTGGTACACACCATTTCATTCGATCCCACGATTCATGGTAGTTGGTTAGGGGGAAGCAACACCCAAGAGAAGTTTCTCACCAATAGTTTTCCTCCACTTTACTTTTTAAGTCTTGCTTTTCAATAGTAGATTGTAGAGATTTTCTCAAAACAACAATCCGCTAGATAATGTTTCAAACAATCGAAGTAGGGGTACATGGGCCGGCCCGGATCGATATTTAAACATACTTGTCATATATTGCACCCATCTAAGGTTTATACTTGGCCCTTAGGTGAGATTTTAGTGTGATAGTCGGAGTGAGTCAGCTTACGAGCCACGAGTATATATATATATATATATATAGAGAGAGAGAGAGAGAGAGAGAGAGAGAGAGAGAGACGAACAAAGTGAGAATTCTTCGCCGAAGGAGGAATGGACCAGGCGACTAGCAAGTTGGGAACGTCTTGAGAAGATGCTTATTGGAGCTGGGAGCGCTGCCGGAGAAGACGACGTTGATTGTAGCGAGTTAGCCGGAGATTAATGAGGAAGTCTGAGGCTTACCAAGCTGCCGGAGATTGGTGAGAAAGTCTGAATTTCGTTCTCCGGCGGCAGAACCTGGAGAAGTTGGAGGTTGTCTTCCTCGGAATCGCCGTACGCATTTTTTTTAATTTCTTAATTTTAGTTTCTATTTAATTTTAAATTAAAAAAATTATGTGTCAATGACGTGGCATCTACGTGACTTTCATGTTTTTGCCACGTCAACAAAAATCAACATTAAGTTGACCACCGTCTTATCAACCGTAATTTATTACGGTCAACAAAATCATCAGAACACAAATGACACACAACTATCAATCTATCATACGTTGGGACATAAATGTCATATTGAATAGTTTGGTACACAAAATGATACTTTTTTAATAGTTTGGGTTTCCTAGTAGTATTAACCCTTAATATTATCATGTGATTAACACTTAATTTATGACTTTTTAGTTCATCGGTCGAGATTGAGTAAATATTAGAATAACTTGGTTTGAATTCTACGCTAGCAACACAAATTTGTAAATAAAAATTGATAGCTTGAACTTAAAATATTAATCAATTGAAAAATATGTAAATTATTATGTTAACTGAGTATTATTAATGTTAAAAGGAAAAGTCTGTTTTCGCGTATTATCATTCAAAATATTTGAGCCAAAAGCAATTACTCATATTAGCCAAACCGGCGTGTTCTATCAGAAAAAAAAGTTCCGAACTTGACATTCAATGTAGGCAAGGAATGTATGTAGGGGCTCTCTGTCCCGATATAAAAGAGGATAATATTCTCTTCTTCAACATTCAAGCAGTCAACAGAAATCTAACATCCGTCTATTAGTTTATTGATATTTATTACATTGAGAAACAGCTTTTTTTTTTATGAATAGAAACAGCATTGTTCGTTGAACCAACACCCCAAGCATGTCCATTCCACTATGGGGCCAAATGTAGAAGAAAACAGCTGACTTCAATGGACAACCAACAGCCCAAGCAAGCATGCAATGCTCACTCTCGCCACAGTAGCGAAATTAGCCTTCCATTTTGCTGTTGGAAATGACCATCCCATTCATTTCACTGATTGGAGCCAATCAAGTTCCTGATCACGTACTGCAGGATGCCTCCATGGTTGAAATATTCAAGTTCCACCTGCAGAGGGCAACAACAGGATGTGAGACCATCGGTCATTAAATAGTGCAGATCCTGGGCAGATGGGTTAATTTTCACTTACCTCTGTATCAAAACGCAATGTGCAGGTGAAAGACTTGCCATTATCTGTTGTCACCTTCACATCTTGACCAGGTCTGATCTCACTGATGCTGCTCGGGAGATCGATGGTGAAGCGTTCATGGCCAGTCAAGCCAAGTGTCTCTGTGTCCTCTCCCGTCTTGAAGCACATTGGGATGATACCCATCCCCACCAAGTTGCTGCGATGAATCCTCTCAAAGCTCTTTGCAATTACAGCTTTCACACCCTGTCAGAGCCAAGTCCAGAGACAAGAAATTGTCATGAAAGGAAGCTCTTCTACGAAGCAAGAAAGACATATGGTGGATGGAGAATGAACATACCAGAAGCATTGGACCCTTTGCCGCCCAATCACGAGAACTTCCACTTCCATACTCTGCACCAGCCAAAATGATCGTGTCCTGCCCTTCACTCTTGTACCTCTGATTATCAGACAATCCAAAGTTATCACATTGCACCCTCGGAAATCAGTAAAGAAAGACTGCCACCCATTTACAAACAAAAAAAAAATTTCAATCTGCTTGATTCAAACAGTTGGTGTGTCCCGTTGATCAAAAAGCCAATTTTTCCAATAAAAAAATCAGTCTAAGTCCTACATTTAAACCCAAAACATTCATATAACATGGAGCCCAATTTATTCCATTATTTCCAATATTATCTGTCTAAACTCCACAATTAATTTTATGGGGTCAATTTAGTTATTTCTTACATAATAAGTCAGTATTTCCATAGTTTCATCTATCCTTTGAAAAGTTGGCAAATTGAGGGACTACCTAATTGGTTCACATTCGTTCACTAAATTCACGTTCTTTTTTCACATGAGATTCCACTTTTACCATTAGCTCCAATTGGAAACTTCGAGCCCAAGATTTGAAGAAATTATTACCATGGCAGCATCAAAGACGGAAAGTTTCTCTGCAGAGGGAATATGGATGGTCTTGGGACCAACTTCTCCACCTAAGAATTTGTTGACGATGCGAATATTCGCGAATGTGCCCCTAGCCATCACCTCATCGTTACCACGTCGGCTGCCATAAGAATTGAAGTCTCTTCGATCAACCCCACGTTCCATAAGATACTTAGCTGCCGGGCTGTCTTTGTGAATGCTACCAGCAGGGGAAATGTGATCTGTGGTAATGCTGTCTCCAAAACTGAGCAAGCAGTAAGCATCTTTCACGCAGTAAGGACCAGGAGGAGACATGGTCATGCCCTTGAAGTAAGGTGGTTCGTGAATGTATGTTGATGTTGGTTCCCATGCATAGAGACTCTGTGCAGATACTGATAAGTCATTCCACATTGGGTTTCCTTTGGTGATTGCTTGGTAAGTAGCCTTAAACATATCAGGCAGCACGTTTGACTGTACAACCTGAAAATCCCATGCAAAGCGTCAGTCAAGAGAGGGTACAAAAGGAGAGATGAGAACTGAGTTTTAGTCCAACAGCAAAGCAAGAAGCCAAGCTGTGTGTTAGACCCAAACTTTTTCACGAGCTTATCTACTCTAAAGCAAAGGTTGAGCCAAACATATCCCCAAATATGAAGCTTCTGCAAATAGTTCCGAAGAAAGAGCTACGCCTATGACCTCTGATTTCTGTTTTAGGTTAAAAAATGTCTCTCATTTCACCATATTTCTAAATGTAGAAGAACTTCAACAAGATAGTATATTTTTCTAAATTTTAAGTTTCTTATTTTATATTTATGCTCACTTTCTATCCATATTAACATTTTGCACCACTTACAACAAGTTTATTTACAAATTATACTTCTTTGAAACCTCCAGCCAGAAAACTTTGTGTAAGAAACCTACAAAAGGGCCAAACAGAGCCATAGGAAAGAATGACTCACTTCAGCAACTTCTTCAGTAGAGGGCCATATTTCTCTGAAAAATATCTCTTTCCCATCTTTTCCTATGCCAATTGGTTCAGTTTCGAAGTCAATGTCAACCTGGAGTTTTCAATGTGCAATCATTGACAAGGAGGTAATGAGTAAAAAGAACCTGAAGATGGATAGAACCAGAGAAAGGTAGCCACACCGCCCCAAAATAAAACTTACTGTTCCAGCAAGAGCATATGCAACGACAAGCGGAGGGGAAGCTAAATAATTGGCCCTCGTTAATGGATGCACCCTACCCTCAAAATTCCTGTTCCCAGATAATACAGCAGCAGCCACCAAATCTGGAAAGATATACAGATCCAATGCTTTAGACATGTTGAGCTTCTTGGTATACATCAACATGTATGCAACTTTATATGAAGAAAGCAAACTTATACCATTTTCTGTAATAGCTGCTGCTACTGCTTCATGAATATCTCCTGAATTGCCAATGCAAGTTGTGCATCCATACCCAACAATGTGAAACCCAAGCTGATTCAAATACTTCTGCAAGCCACTGTAAAGGTACAGAAACTAAGAAAGCAGTTTTAACTGTAGTAATAATTTAATAAGTTAAAAGAATAACCTCTTCTGTAGGTACTTCGTGACAACACCAGATCCTGGAGCAAGACTTGTCTTAATCCATGGTTTAACCTGATCAATAGAAAGACCCCAAATCAAGTGAACTAAGTATGGTTGGCAATTCATCACAAGTTACCCAAAGAGTCTCATCTATGGAGAAGACTCATTACTATGTTATAAACAGACATATAAATGTCCATAATGGCAAGCTTTTGACAGGTCTGAGCCAATACAGCAGCGCGCAACAAATTAGTTTTATAATCAGGAGTGTAGGCACATTGGGAACAACTCAGGATAGAACAACCCATAGGCTATCTGATTGCACTGTGCTCTAATAGGGACCTATTTCTTATTCAACCATGTTCATTAATTTTATGGTATCCATTCTTTAAACACACTATCGACTCTTCCATGGAAACTAAGCGCAAGAAAAAATTTGAGACCTAACCTCCAATCCTAGCTCACAAGCTTTCTTTGCAACCAGTGCAGCTCCAAGCATTACACTAGGGTTCGAGGTGTTTGTGCAACTTGTAATAGCTGCTATAACAACATCCCCGTGTCTAAGTTGTGCACTGGTGCCAAGATAATCGAACTCTGCAACCTTGCTCTGAGCTTCCTTTGGTACAGCAAAACCCTGAATTGAAGAAAAGTAGTTGGGCATAATTCAAAAGAGGCAAAGAAGCTTGGGATGGGGGAACTACGGGGCAGTAGAAAGCTTGTCTTGCACTCAAGAGCAGGAACGAAAATTCTCACCTTAAATCCCACTCTACTGTCCAAGCACGAATGCCAATCAGATTTCATTTCTTTCAAAGGAACACGATCATGTGGCCTGCAAGGTATTTTCATTCTCAGCTAATGGACATTACACGATATTGCCAATTTGGAAAATCATAACTGTGGTGACACAGTCATATTGGTTACCTCTTAGGCCCGGATATGCAGGGCTCTACTTCCTCCAGCTGCAATTCTAGATAAGCAGAATAAACTCTCTCTGTCTGTGGCTGGCAAGAAACAATACCACATTGAAGAACCCTTTCATGGTATATGGTGGACGGTCAAACTGAAAAAAGGACTAAGAATCGATCAGCATGCATACCTCAGTGTAGTCCACAAACATTTTGTTCGCCCTCAAGTATGACTCAATCATAGCTACCTGCATTATTGAACCTACAAATCAGCAAAGCGCACATACAAACACCTGCGTAAGAGTACACATCTGAAGATCTCACAGTTTCATCACTTCTGCCAGTCAGTCTTAGGTATTGTAGTGTGACATGATCCACAGGAAAGAATCCCATTGTGGCACCATATTCAGGAGACATGTTGGCAATGGTGGCACGGTCAGCCAATGACAGTTCGCTCATGCCTTCACCTAAACACACAAGCAAAAGTGTGTACAATATATGGGACAGGAAATCATAGCATCCATTTTAACCCTGTTGATAATAGCAAAGGAATACAAGGGGATAGACTGTCCTCAATGGATATATACCATAGAACTCTACAAACTTGCCAACAACCCCGTGCCTCCTTAGCATCTGAGTCACTGTCAAAACCAAGTCAGTGGCTGTGACACCATTTCTTAGCTTTCCTGACAGCTTAAATCCAACAACACCCGGGAGGACCATGCTCATGGGCTGCATGCAGATACAAAAATGATACTTGATCAGATTATTGACAGAAGAAACAAATTTTTTATGAGCAGTTTCAACGTAGATAAGCCATAAGAAGTTATTGATTATTAACTCTGATCCAAGTACTGAACTGGTAATATTGAACAGTGACAGGGGCAGCGTGTAATAAGAAATTGTACCTGGCCAAGCATTGTGGCTTCAGCTTCAATCCCACCAACTCCCCAGCCAGCAACACCCAGACCATCTATCATTGTTGTATGTGAATCTGTCCCGACAACACTATCAGGGTAAAGCAAGCCATTGGTGTTGAACACAACTCTCCCAAGGTATTCCAAATTTACCTTAAATCACAAAGTCAAAAACAATATTACTTGCACACAAAGAAGCATCTCAAAGGGATACAATAGAGACAAACGGTTTTCTATGAGCTAAGCAAGCTGACAACTTCGACGCAGCCACAATTATGTTAAAAAAAATCCATTAGGACTAAATAAATGAACTGAGAAATCATACACCCCGCATGCACTATCAAGAAGAAGAGATGGAAGCTTTCCTCACCTGGTGGACTATACCAGATCCAGGAGGAACAACAAGCATGTTGTCAAATGCGCTTGAACCCCACTTGAGAAAAGCAAATCTTTCTTTGTTTCTTTGAAACTCGAGTTCCATGTTTGACTGCACTGCATTTTCCGACCTTGCCACATCCACCTGAACCGAGTGATCAATGACAAGATCAACTGGAACCTGGCAAAAGAAAGTTCACTAATTCAATCAAACCTTTGATTGAAATAATATAATACATGTCAATCTTATGAATCCTCTACCACATTAACATTGTCAAAGAAAACATATTGCATCTTGCAATGTAAGTCGACCCACAATGACACATAGTAATAAGACAATGATCTCACCAATGGGTTAATTTTGCTCGAATCTCCTCCAAGATTGTTCATGGCATCACGCATACATGCAAGATCAACAACAGCAGGAACACCAGTAAAATCCTGAACGCAAAACCAAAACTTTGATCATCAAAACTTCCCCGAACGAAAACACTTGGGAAAAAAATTACTTGAAAGGCCGAAGCTAGCCAGTCACCTGAAGCAGTACTCTAGCAGGCTTGAATGGTATTTCAACAAGTTTTGGGGCAGTGTTCTGCCAGTCAATGATTTTCTCCACATCATTACTCTTAACCTGGAACTCATCGCAGTTACGAATGGCTGATTCTAGAAGGATCCTGATCGAATATGGCAGCTTATCTGCATCACAGACAGTCACGACACCGTCCCCACAAGCCAAAAGCTCAATGATTTCCGCAAGAACTCACCAAATTTCGAAAGTTACGAATGTTAACAGAAAATACAAAAAGGGCGATTTTTTAAACTGAAAAGTGCTTTAAATCTAAAATCTTCCAGGTACAGCCATCAACAACAGTTGCCACCCCCACCACCATCGCCACAGGATTAAAGCCTAGAAAAAGCAGCTGCTGCATCTTTTCCAGAAATGGATCTTGTATACGTTTTGGCCAAAAGTTCAACGAGAATGTAATAGGGAAGGAGTTTCATTTCTAAACAAAGTTCAGATCTTTTTCGTCACATCACTCGGGAAAGATTCGTCACTTTTCCCAGTCCTCATCAAATCCAAAACTCTAATCACAGACTAGAAGAGGGAAAAGAAAGAAGAAAATAAAAACACTTGCCAATTCGAGGATCATCAAGAGCTGGCAAGCTGTAGTACATTCCGAATTGACCACCACCAGGCTTCTCGAGTGCCTTCAGTATCCGATTGAAAGGGTTTTCGCTCACTAGAATATCACAGATGGATCAAATGAATCAAACAACCAAAACCTACAAGCAGCAAGTAATCGTAATAAAGTCAAAAGAAACCAGGGAGCTTGATCTTTCAAGCGAGTTTACCCATTTCGAGAGATCGCACAGATGCAAGACGTCGGATCCAGAACCACGGAGAGCAACAATTTTGACCTTAGTGGGTTGGTGGGTACAGTTCTTTGCAGTCCCTTCCTTTTAGAAATTATATATACAAATGCTTGTCGATTTTTCTTATATTGTCATGTGATGCGAAGCCAGGGTGGTAATCAGTTAGGGCCCGGTTGTAGTGTTTTTTTTTTTTTTTTTTTTTTTTTTTACAAAAGATAATCATATATTGATATCGAAGAAAAGATCATTACATCACGTGCCGTAACCAGGCTACAAAATCAAAAAAACGACTCGCTATCGGGTACAAAGAAAGGATCTTTCAAGCCACCAAATGGGCTACCCTGTTGTTACGCCGACCAACGAACCGAACACTAAACCCCGCATTCTCAGCTAGATAGAGCAACACTTCTCGGAAAATAGTACCCGATCTACTATCACTCCCCTGAGCCGAGTTGAGCCTGTCAATAACCACCTTCGCATCCCCCTCAAAACAAACCCGCAACAGACCACGGTTTCTGCACCAAAGGATTGCCTCCCGGAGAACCAAAAGCTCCACGAGCAAAGGATCATCAATCTCCGGAAAGCACATCCCTGTTGCACCAACAACCACCCCATCCAAACCCATCATCACCACGCCGCCAGCCGAGTGGGACCCATGCCGAACCGCACCATCCCACCTACATATGAGAGAATCCTAAGTAGCATGGGACACCAAAGGGCTTCCAACCACGGGAGCACACCCCACCACATCTCTCGGCAGAGATGTCCACTACCCTAGCTGCTGGTGGTACTGACAGAGTAAAGCCAGAATCCCAAACTGTTTGCCTTCAAAGACAACCCAATTCCTCGACTTCCAGATCCGCCAGAGCACAGCCACCACTGCTGTGATCTGAGGAGGGTCTCTAACAATAGTAAGCAAATTTTTAAGAAAGAGAGGGAACGTGTGACGGGGAAACCCTTGGCCCACATGCTCTAACCCTGTATAGTCCCACAATGCGCGAGCCACACAACAATCTAAAAAGAGGTGTTCCATCGTTTCTGGAGCGGCCCAGCATACCGGGCATCAGGGATGAACAATCACCTTCCTTTCAATGAGAGCCTCTGTAGTGGGAAGGAAGCGATGCAGCACTTGCCATAAGAACACTTTTAACTTGGGCGGGATCCCCAGATTCCACACCCGCTTCCAACTTCCCCGATCCATCCAACTAACTGTTGGTCGCCAATCCCCAGCCTGCTGGTCCTTGAGAACAGCCAGATGGTAAGCTGATTTCACCGAAAAAACCTCGTCTCCCGTCATATGCCAGACAGGTCTATCCTCCATAGCCCTCCTAGGCAACGGGATACCGCGGATAGAATGACAAATATCTGGAGGAAACCACTCTCCCAGCTTATCCATCAACCAGCGACCCTCAACCGGGCAAATGAAATCAGCCACCTTGAGCTCCCCCTCATTTGGAACAATCCGAGGATTAAACGTAGGAGGGTCAGGGTGAATCGAGGGAATCCAACTCTCCGTTAAGGCAGCCACCCCCTTACCATCCCTAATCTGCCATCTAAGACCCTGGGTTAACAACCAACGCCCATACAGTATACTTTGCCACCCCCAGGAGGGGCGCGAGCAGGCAGTCGCGGTGAGGAAAGATCCACGAGGAAAATACTTCCCTTTATACACCTGAGCGAGAAGGGACGGTTAAGGGCCACTTGGATTTGTTTTGTATACGGAATCCATAACATAATTCAAATTGGAAATGACTGGGGATCCGTCAGAATACGCCAACCAACTTTAGCAAGGAGAGCTTGGTTGAAGTATTCAAACCGTTGGAAACCCATCCCTCCCTCATGCTTACTGCGACACATCCTCCGCCATGACATCCACCTGATACGGGAATGCCCATCCTCCACTCCCCACCAAAACCGCGCCACCAATCGATCCAGAAATCCTACACAGAGAAAGCGGCAGCTTAAAGCAAGACATCACGTGCAGTGGGAGCGCCGAAGCAACAAACTTAATCAGGGTCTGCATGGCTGCTGCAGATAAAGAGCGCTGAGCCCACCCTTGTAAACGAGCTATTAAACGCTCCTCCACGAACCGGAACGTGACCATCTTAGACTGGACAATGAGGGTACGCAGACCCAGGTATTTATTATGGACACCAACTGCCCCTACCCCCAGAACCTGGGCCAAAAACTCCTGCTCCGGGACTGCAATATTCTTACTAAAACACACCGCCGATTTCCCCAAATTGACTCTCTGCCCACTCAGTTCCTCATACTCATTAAGCACCTCAATCAGGTTCTCGCATTGTTGAAGCGATTCTCGTAAAAGTAAATACGAGTCATCCGCAAAAAAACAAGTGGAAGATTCTGGGCGCTCGAGGTGCCACCTTCACACCCTCCAATTTACCCTCATTAATTGCCCTACGGAGTAGAGCCGAGAACCCTTCCGTGCACAGCACAAACAAGAAAGGGGAAAGGGGATCACCCTGTCGCAACCCACGAGACGAACGAAAGAAACCTATCGGAGACCCATTCATAAGAATAGAGAAGGATACCGAACTAAGACACTCTAATCCAACCAATCCAGGTATGGCTAAAACCCAGTTTGGCGAGAATCGTAAGCAGAAAGGTCCATTCAACTCTATTATAGGCCTTTTCTATGTCAACCTTCAGAGCCATATAACCTTTCTTCCCCCGATTCTTAGTCTTCAGGTAGTGCATTAGTTCATGCCCTAGAAGCACATTCTCCACGATCTGCCTTTCACGAATAAACGCATTTTGTCCTTCTGAAATAATCTGAGGAAGGAACGGAGCCAGTCTCTCGGTCATAATCTTAGTAATCACCTTATACACAAACTGGCACAAACTAATGGGTCGCAACTGGCGAATGGTCTCCACATTGTCAACTTTAGGGATCAGTGTGAGCCAAATGTGGTTGAAACTGCGTAAGAGACGACTGGTTTGAAAAAAGGAGCAGACAGCCTCCACCACCGACTCTCCCACAATATCCCAAAAAGATTTAAAAAATTTCCCCGTGAAGCCATCGGAACCAAGAACTTGCTTAGAGCCCATCGAGAAGACCGTATTACGTACTTCCGCCGGCAGGACCACCGCGGTGAGCTGAGCATTCATCTCATCCGTGACTTTCCTAAGCAAAGGCAAGGCGTCAACCCTGGCACCCATATCGAGGACCTGGTTTTCCGAGGTAAAAAGGGTTTGATAAAATTCTGTGGCCAAATCCACCTTCCCCTTTTTCTCCGTAATCCATTCCCCTTCCTCATTCAGTAAGCCAACAACATAATTCCGTTTTCGTCTGGACCGAGTGACCGTATGAAAGTAGGAAGTATTTTGATCTCCTCGTCTCAACCAGCGAACCCTCCCTTTCTGCTGCCAGTAAACTTCCTCTGCTTCCCACTGTCGACTTAGATCACTCTCCAACACCCGTACTTCATCCCAATTAATCGCAGACACCTGTTTAATGCGATCAATCTCCAATTGGAGTGTTTTAATATTCCGAAGAGAATTGGTCGTGTCAGCTCTACTCCAGTCATATAACATATGGCGAAGCCGTTTCAAACGGGTCCAGAGTTTAAACATAGGGGAACCCTCCACCTCTTCTTTCCAAACATAGACAACCATCGCTCTCACCTCCGGATTATCTGCCCAACGAGCATCAAATCGAAACAGTGGTCGACAGAGCCGGGGGTAGGACTTGTCGGACAACAACAAGGCCCTATGATCCGACCCCTGGTACGTATAATGTTTGACAAGTGTTTCCGGGTACTGGTCCATCCAAGCCTGAGAGCAAAGGGCACGATCAAGCCTCTCTCGAATACAAGCTTGGCCCATCCTTTTATTCGTCCAAGTGAACTGATCACCCTGATAACCTGGGTCGTGAAGGCCCACATCATGGATAAAGGATTGAAGGGCAATCGATTGACCCACATTCCACGTGTTCCCCCCATCCTTTTCACCCGCGTGCAGAGTTGCATTAAAATCACCAATTACCACGAATGTCAATTGGATAGAGTCACAAACTTGTCTAAGTTGGGCGAGCTGGAAAGCTCTTTAGGACTCGATACAGCTCAAGTACACACCAACCACCACATAGGAAAGATCACCTTCATTAATACGAGTACAAATGGTAAAATTAGAATGAAAAAACACAGAAGCATCAACTTTAGGCGACCAAGCTACAACTAGACCACCAGATGCATCGACTGCATCTACAAAACAACAATGCGAAACTTGAAAACCTAACCCCCGCATACGACGGGAGACGACACGCCGACGAGATCGAGTTTCTGCAAAAAACACAAGATCCGGCTTATTCGACCGAACCAGACCCACGGCAGTTTGAAATGTGAGGGAGGGTCCGATTCCTCTCACATTCCATGCCAAAATCTTCATTTATCTTCATGGGGCCATTCTCGGCTGGCTTCCTCCACCGTTTTCAGCACTTCATCATCACCCTCTTCTACAAACAACTACTTTTTCACCGTGGGGTTCTCATCAACATCTGCCGCAACCTCACCCCATGAACGTTTCCGCCCTCCCATCCCAAGGATCTCGGCTTTCGAGCCATACTCATCCAGCTGGACCAACTCGCCCGCCCTATCAGCAGTATCAACAACAACACTGCCAGCCTCCAACGCCTGAACCACCTACCTGACTCGGCCCGACAGGATTGGTAAGCAGGCCGTTTCCACCAAAAGAGTATCCCGACTCCTAATCACAAACTGATCCTTAGCCCCATCCGATAGAGTAGCATCAGAATCTTCCACAGATCCCTTACCCATGAATGATAGCTCCCACTCCTCTGAATCCTCCTCTATCATCACCATTTTCCCCTTTCGCACCCGAGCATCTAGTTGCAAAGTACCAACCTCCTCTCTATCGACCCCTGGACCATTGACTGGGTTCCGAGCGAGTGGACGATCCCGCACAAGAGGGGCAGTGGGAGGGGCTATCCCCTTACCCGACGCAATGGTAGAGGCAACACTCCCCGTCTCCCCACCAACCATGCATCCCTTCTTAACAAAGGAGGGAGCCAGGGGGGAGTCTTCTTATGATTCCTCAATCAACAACTTGCGGCGCTGCGTGACGTGATTGAGCTGGGCTTGGGGCGACTCCTACCCTTTCCTCGACACTCGCCTGAATTTTTTTTCTTCCCCGCTAGCGGCACCTCATCCAGAAATTGATCGGCCCCCATCACCTGCTGTTTACGGCCGACTGGACTCGATGCCGCGTGTTTTCCCCCAGCCTTGTCATTCTGCTTCCTAGCCTATCGACGGGGTTGCTCCAGGCGCGCGACGTCCAGCTCCTTGCCACAGGGGCAGCTGCACGGCTCAGCCGCGGCATGCGCACAAACTTGGAGATCGCGAAGCCCGAGGGGCTAGAACGATGTCGGGTTGGGGAATCAACCTCCTCTCTCGGCGCAACAACTTTTCTCACTTCCCTCGGCTGCTCCTGTCCAGAGCTGCCACCTCCACGATGCCCGCCGCGAACTGGTCGATTAACCTGCATCTCAAATGCAGCTGCCTCCAACATACTCTTCACCTGCCCTCCCTCTTTGCTCGCCGTCTCTCGAGACGCAGGGCGGCGGGGCAGCTCTTCCCTTGCCATAATCGGTTGCCGAAGAGTTTTATTGACCCAAACTGTGGGTGGGTTCTCTTCATCCGCCGCGTAGATCTTCACCCCCTTCCTCCGTGTGGACATGTGCATGCCAAATTTCTCCTTTCGAGTAGGGGGATCGAAGACACACTCTCGTTGAAAGTGGCCGACCCGTCCACAGCGAAAGCAGAAACTTGGGAGCTGCTCATATTTAAGCGACACCCAAAAGCACCCAATTTCCTCATTAGCCGCCATGACCTGCGATCGTAGCGGCTTGGAAAAATTGATTAAGGCGCAAACCTTAACAAAACACTGGTCTGATTCTTGACAAGCAAAAACTCCAGTCTCTAGCACCTCTCTGATAGTATCGTTAGCCACTTTCCGGCCAAACTGTTGTGTGCAGCAATCCTCCTTGATATCCCATAGTTGGACATGAAACGGGGCCACTGCCAGCTCATCGAACACCTGTTTGGTGATCGTAGGGCTCCACGCTCGAACATGAAGGAGGCAATCATTGATCACCCAAGGGGAGCGCTTGAGGACCCAGTTTTTAGAAGCTTCATTGGGGAGCACAATTTCAAAGAGTCCGAACCGTGCCCCCATCACTTGGAGCCTGCTCTTCCCTTGCCATGGCGCATCAAGGGCCTCACGCAGGTCCCGGGTCGTGAACGGGTTGGCCGAGAACAGCCTACCAAGCACTGAACTTGAGCTCCGGTACTTGGTCGAATGAACTTCCTCCAGTGAAAATTGGACCACCTGGTCGTCGGACACGTGCGACATTCTTCGTTCTTCCTGTGAGACAGGCAAGATCAGTGGCTGCGTTAAGTCTTTTCCTTGGAACACAGGGAACGAAGCAGAACGATTAAAGAGAAGCAGGGACGAGAGTCCAGGGACTCGCTAGGTCTTACCCTGAATAAAACCTTCCCGTTGTAGACTATTCACCGAGGCGCTATTCTCTACCCAAGCTCCCGACTCTTTGCCGTTTGAGTGTGAGGTACTGGGAACAGGTTGGCTGGGCGACGTTTTAAAGAGACGGTGGAGCCTCCTCCCGGGGAAAGGAGTCCACATTAACATGGTTGGGTTAAGGGTTTCCTTGGTGGTTTTAATTTTTTGTTTCAACTAAAACTGATCTCCACTCGTGATCCCTGGGATTATCCCTGGGATTACCACCCGCTTCCGTTTACGCATCAACGAAGAGGCCAGCCAAAAAGCGGTCAGCATCATGTTGTTCTTAGACTTGGGGTGTCGGCAACTTCGTAGATCCAGAACACCCCATCTTACGGCGCGGCCGAACCTCGCCGCACCTCCACTCGGTTTTTGGGCATCGTCTCTCGCCCTCGAGTTCTTGAGCTTGGCCTCCCATCCATTATTTGCTAAGCTTGCCTCTAGAAATCCGGTGAGGATTATACCTAGGAGGCGACCGACGAACGCACAAAATAGGAAGAGAGAGGAGAGAGCACCTCTCATTGATTTTTTTTCACTCCACTATTTTCTTATGAAAGAATTAGTCGTGGAAAAATGACCTTAACCAACTGCCCGTTGAAAAGGATGATCAGATAATCATCACATTGGGCCCGGCTGTAGCTTGGTTGAATTTGACTGTAGCTTGGTTGAATTTTATGTGCTCCATTAATAGTGTTTATATGTTTAGTAGTCTCAATGAAAACATTTTTCTTTTTCAATTTTATACATTTTTCTTTTTTATCAATTCAATTTTTGGAGTTTTTTACTTGATTTCATATGAATATCATAACTCTTTAATCAATGAGCTATGATTAGATCTAGATTATGTTTTCATATCTTTTTATGCCTTTTTGGTATTGCTCTGTGCTTTCAAGGTAAAACTCACTTAGTTCTAATTACATTCTCAATCAAATGTCAACTGGTACCTTCAATCTGGGTAGTATAGAACAAGTTTTTTTTTAATTGTTGAACCTGAGCAGTCTATGTATCCTTACTTCAGCAAACCACAAATTATCTAGCGGTAGAATCGTTGTTTTAAGCTAATGACTAAACAAACAAGCAAATAAAATAAAGTTGACCTCAAGGGAGAAAGCTTCACTCAAAAGATTATCCTCCTGGTCCCGTGTTGAGTCGATGACGTGATACACTAGTGTGATTTGCATATTATATATAACGTTAGGATATCAAAGCTAGGTACGAGTCCCTATTCGAGTTGTCCTAACCTGTCTAATTGCTCTAACCGGAGAGGTGTACCAAACTGTCATATTAGAGAATTAGAGCAACCAAATCCAATCCCTCGGCGATGACCCGGAATGGCGTAAAGAAATCAATCACCCTCGTTCAAGGCACCCTTACGATGATTGAATTGTGGCCTAAATTATCCTAAGACGTTCTTTTCTCTCTTAGGTTAATTAGCCCCAAAATTGAGGTAATTGATCAAGGACTCTGAATTATCATGATAAAATACTCAAAATCATCACTACAACATCCTAGACTATGATTCACATCATCCAAGTGAATGGAATATCTACTTCATGCCAAGAGAAAGAACTACAACTAAAGAGAAGGGAAAACCCATGAAACAAAGTCATCAACATGGACGTGTAAGGTGCGTACCATCTCTTCAAAAAATTGCTTGCTATCTGGTGATAGCGAATTCCCCTCATCGAATCCCTGATGTGATCACAAATTGGTCCCTCTACGACTTGGAATTGCTTGCCATAGATTCAATCTCAACACAGGTGAAGAACACTAAATTTTGGCTAAGTATTTTGCCCGTTTCAGGTGGCACACTTTGCACGTCTGGAACTTTCAAATGGCTTGGTGGAAATTCGAGTTTAAGCACTTGTTTTGAACATGGAGTGATGTTCTTTGAGATGGGATGCTTGGAAGCTCAAGAAGAACCCAGGAAGGTCCTCGTCCAAGTCAATCAAAAACGGATCTGCGAAGTTGAAGTTTGCTAGAATTTGGCTAAGGGAGGAAGGCTGTTCGAGATAGCTACTTTGGGGCTTTATTACGGGAGCTTGAGGTGCAATCAATGGAAGGTGCGAGTGGGAGATGATATTCTTCAACCTTCTAAGCCACGAGAAGGAGTTGGCTGAGTTCGACGTGACCTAGAAAGTCATTTTCTACAAGCTCGTCTTGTTATCCGGGAGTGAAGTGCCACAATCCCATTCATATTTTTTTATCTACATAAGCCAAAGCCCATAGCACTGGCCTTCCATCCGCAATATTTTTTTTGTTTAACGAAGTGCTTATGCTTTCACTCGAAAAAGAAGTTCAGAATCATTTTTCAGATGCGAGAAGAGTACCAACTTCATCGACGATCAATTGCCATGTGCTCTATTTCTCCCTTCCCTCGGACTCCACGGAGTTAAGAAGGCGGAATAGGAGTCAAGTGATTCGCACTCCATTCATCATCTCGTGGATCCGTTGGCGGCTCAACAATCAACCATTGTGAGGGATGAAAGTCCGGGCGTTGCAATCAAGAATCGTAGTTAGACCGTTGATACCCTGCCGAGCTGAATAACTGAGCGACGGCGAATGGTAAGCTTCCTCGTTCACTCGTGCGGGTCGGCACACACATAAAAATGAGATTGTCATAAATTGACAAGGTAATATTTCCAATTTTTAATTAGAAATGGCATACCCTTTGAAGCTAGAATGTATTTTCCTTGATATCTAGCATAATGCATGAACGGATCCTTAAACAACCATAGGCTGGTCCGAAAACAATTATCAAACACTTCTGCAAATTGTTCTATTTTTCCATAGAAATACTTTCGCTCAAGAAGGAACTGATAAAAAGTGGATCATAAATGAAAAGATTGGTTAAGAAGAAAAAAGAAGATGGATTCGTCGCAGCTCTCCGCTCAAGCAAGCCGGAGCCCTTCTATTGCTCCATTGAGCTCAACTTTTATGACTGAGCAAGACCCAATGGGCGATGAAGGTTTTAAGTCTCATCCCTTCGGATGGCGCTTATGATCAATCAAATCCGATCGAGAGGTTGGTTAGAATGGGCCGTAAGAGGTTATACTCTTATTATCTGTCCTCTACGACCGATCGATTCCCAGTTTCTTTTTCTTTTCGGCTTCGCCCCTTTTTTTCGAAGTACCCATAGCGAGGGTTGATCCCACGACCATAAATTCTAAATAATGCTTCTTTTTCTTTTACTTTGTTTTTTCATGTTCAACGTGAACCTCTGGCAAGAGGTTTTTCACTATCATTTCCAGTTGCCCCCCTCGAGGGGTCTGGTTGTCATTTGGGATGCCCTTTTCCTCCATCTGGTAATGTACTCAGACTTTTTATGGCGGTTCTTCCTTCTAATGACCGGCATATCTATGATTCTTTTCTTCCATATGAAGCAGCAGGCATCGGTTCGTAGAACCTATAAAAAAAGATGTCTGTGGCTCGAAGGTACGGTTGAGCAATCGACATGATATATTTGCTCACATTCCAGGCGAAGGTCATAATTTGCAGGAACATTCTATGGTCTTAATAAGAGGAGGTGAAACTAAGTGGAGGTCCGAACCGGCTGATGTTGAAGAATCATCGGATGAGTTGTGGTTAGGGGTGAAATGCCACGCGAACTTAGAGCTAGCTAGTTCTCCCCGAAATGCGTTGAGGCGCAGCATTTGACTGGACATCTAGGGGTAAAGCACTGTTTCGGTGAGGGCCGCGAGAGCGGTACCAAATCGAGCTCTCTTTGGAAGGGTTGATACCCTAGTTCAACCCGATCGCTCACGGCTAGAGAAGCTTGTAACCAAGCATGAAGCTGAGGAAGACGTGGAACGGTTGTGTGGTGAGGTGACTAGTGAGGATGTTTGGCAAGCTATCTTCTCTATGGATCCTCATCGAGAGTTGGGTAAAGGCTGGTTGCGAGACGTGAGCAGGAAGACAGATTTCCTTGTGCAAGTAGGATTACTTGAGCTAGAAGAATTCCTTATTATAGTAGATTTCTTTTACCAATTTTGTACCAAATTGTTTCCTTGTTTAAATAGGTTAGTTTTTTGTTCGTTTGGCTATAAAAGCCTTGCTCGATTCATTGTAGAGACACATTGAAGTTTAATCGAAAATTACTCTGGGGAGTTTTCCCCAAGCTTGCGAGTTAGGTTTGTTCTTGGTTTTGTTCAGGAATTGAAGATCAATCAAGCCAAGTATTCACCTTGGTTGATTGGTGAATCTACCCACGTTAGCCTCCTCCCCCTTGTGTTGAGGTTGTTGACTTGGTACCCTTTACTTTTCCATCGATCACACTCTCTGATTACTACGAAACCACCATCACCACAACCTCCTTTGCATCAAGCTACGGATTCTGATTCGAGTTCCATCCTGGGGCTCATCAAGTGGCATCATCGTCTGGTTCAAACACAGTGGCAATGACGAAAAAGGTACATGAAATTAGGCCTGTTGCGGCAAGAACAAGGAAGAAAGATCACATCGCATTGTGGAAGGAACCAAAGGAAACAGAGCTTGATTCTGAGTATGACGAGGAAGTTCAGCTTCAAGAAACAACCATGACAGGGCATCATTTTAACATGACGGAGATGTTTCACACAATTATGGCACAAATCAACGCGACATTCCATACACAATTTGATCACATCAACCAGCAATTGGCCAAATTGAAGTAGACGACGATAGAGCCGAAAACGGCGGCAGGGGATGACGTGGACACTAGGGCAGACAGGATACAAAATGCTCGAACAGTCGATGAAAGAATTCACAATTTGGAAAGGCGAGTAATAATACCTTGGGACGATCCCCGTGACCATGGGTTCCACGATCATGATCATCGACACCAAAAGCCTGAGCCAGCCGAGGAATTGATGGGAATCAAGCTCACCCTACCCTCGTTTCAGAGGAGCCTTAATCCGGCAGAATATCTCGACTAGGAACGTAAAGTAACTCTATTTTTTTACTGTCAGATTTACTCGGAGCGACAGAAGGTTACACTGGCAAAGTTTGAATTTGGAGGATACGTCGCTGCCTGATGGGAACAGCTCCGTATCAAGCATCGCCGAATCGGTTTACCTCTAGTGGCAACTTGGTTGGAGTTGAGAAGTGTGATGTGAGAACGATTTGTGCCCGCTTATTATCAACGTGATCTTCACGAAAGGTTTCAATCGCTTCGTCAAGGAAGCAGAAGTGTCGAAGAGTATTATAGGGACTTAGATCTTCTCTTCATCCGAGCCGACATACGAGAGGATAAGGAGGTTACGATCATCAATTTTTACACGGTCTCCAGCGTGAAATTAAAAATCCAGTAGAGCTCTTCCCATTCGTAGAAATTGAAGAGGTCGTTCACTTGGCAGTGAAGGTAGAAAAGCAATTGTAACAGCAGGGTGTGATAATCGGCTTTGACATATTGAATTTTTGGACTTTATATGATTATTCATGGTATGTTTTAGCCGATTGGTGCTATTTTAGGGCTCGCTAACCCGAGAATGGTTGAAAAACCATTACTGCCTAGTGCCATGAGTTTGATGTGTTACAGGTGGAGAAAGCACGAAAAAGAAGCGAGTGCACGAACAATTGATTGGTCCCAAATCACCCCACCTCGGGAAGAATTAATTTGGGCCGGGGACTTTGGAAAAGGCAGGTGGCGGACATAATCTCTTGGGCCAGCAAATTGCATAGCTGGCGGTGGACAAGGCTAAGAGGATGGAGGAGGACGAAATTGCTGGGGGGGGAGATTTCTTTTGGGAAAAGAAAGCAAAAGGCGGCTGAGATTTATTATTGAGAGAGGGCGGAATTCCATAGCCAGAGGGGAAAAAGACAGCAGCGCGCAGCAGCTGAGGGAAAAGAGGGAATTATTTTTCTCTGGGCGATTTTTCTTGGAGAGAAAGAAAGCGAAGGGCAGCAGGTAATTATTGTTGGGGGAACGAAATTCTCTTGGAAAATAAAGAAAGAGGCGAGAATTCTTTGGGAGAGAAGAAAAAGCAGACGTAGCGCAGCGAGGGTTTTTGGGGGACGAGGGAATTAGTGAGAAAAGCAGCGCAGCGAAGCATCGGGCGATTGAGCAATTGACGATCAGTTTTTCCAAGGTTTGAGCTGAATTCAACGAGAGCGATTAGTTGGTTGGATTTTCTAAACCGAATTAGTTGTTATTTGTTGATTTAGAACATGATGAACAATACCCTATCGATTTATCTCAATTTCATCATGAACTAAACCCCAATTTCTGGGGGAAACACCATAGGATGTAGCTATTTCTTGATTTGATGGATTGATTTATGATTCTTTTCTTCCAATCTCTATTGCATGGAATTGCTTAATGCTTTGTGTTGACTGGCCACCAATACAACGATTTGTAGTTAATTAGGTTATTAGCGACAGTGAAATCCTATTAACTGAACATATTTCATGTGACATAGTAACTTATCGAAGCGACAGTGGATTAAATAAGGTGCTATGCGGTCTTAAATAGGATATCGATCTTCAGGCTAAATAATTAGGTCATTGAGCTACGACAGTAGGATTTGATTTAATTGTTTAGTACGTAGTAATTCCCGACAGGGATAGCTAGCACATTCGTGATATCCTGGCTGTAGAGATATGGATTAAATTGATTGGAATATGTGAATTAATCTGGATAGGATAGGTAGTGAATCCCAGTGTTTCTCCCAGAGCTTCTCCCATTGAATTTCTCCCGACAAGTTTACTTTGCTTAATTAGTTTAATTATTTTGCTTTTAGAAATTAGTTTATATCTCAAACCATTTTCACTTATAGTTTGCTCATAAATTTGATAGAATATAAGGTTGTACCAGTCCCTGAGAGACGATACCCGGACTTTCCGGTTTACTACGAGATAGGAATTGAAGCTATACGCTTTTGCCCTATCAAGTTTTTGGCGCCGTTGCCGGGGACTGCCATACCTTATTTTTTGTTGATTTTTGTGAGTGAACTATTTTGATCTGTGTGCAGGTGAATTTCAGGTTAATCCTTTTTGTGCATGCCTAGGAGGACAACCAGGGATTTATTGCCACTAGACCTGGAGATCGAGAAGACCTGTCGACTGAACAGGAAGCAGGTCAAGTTAGGGAAGCAGCCAACCACAACTCCTAGGCCTTCCCTAACCCAGAGAGGGCAGGCTTCATCACCTGTCGTCCCTACACCACCACCACCACCTCATGACATTGAGCCAGTCATCATGGCAGACGAGGATCGTTCGATCAGGGCTCGTTTAAATCGACGGACTGGAGCCCGGGCTTCATGTGTTTTCATTCCGGCTGGGGATGCAACCATGGAGATTACCCCAGCATTTATCAACATGATCACCAATGGGTATACTTTCTCTGGGGCTAGCAATGAGGATCCTCACGAGCATCTCCGCCGGTTCGCGAGTATATGTGATACAATGAAGAGCCCCACAGTATCTGATGATGCAATCCGTCTTCGGATGTTCTCATTTTCTCTGCTAGGGAATGCATCACACTGGTTCCAAAACTTAACACCCCGTTCCATCACGACATGGAGTCAGCTTGAGAAGGTATTTCTGGATAAATACTTCCCACCTGCCTTGGCAATGAAGAGGCAAGAAGAGATTGTTACTTTTAAGCAGGCTGATGATGAGAGTCTGACTGAGGCATGGGAGCGCTACAAAGGGCTGTTGATGAGATGCCCAAGCCATGGTCTTGAAGATTGGAACGTGATCATTATTTTCTTCAATGGAATCAGAAGGGAGTTTCGGGATGCTCTGAATAATGCTTCCCGAAATGGTTTCACAAGAATGGAAGCACCAGAAGCATATGAACTGGTGGAGAAGATATGCTCTGAAGATACTGAATGGGGTAGTGAGACCGGCATTTGAAGGAGAGGAGGCTTGCATGAGATAGACAGAGTGGCAAGCTTAGAAGCAAAGATTGATGCTAAGTTGGATTCCAAGTTCGATGCACTCGAACGAAGGCTGGCTAAGATGGATCTTGGTAGACAGGAGGAGGTTGCTTTTTGTGAATTATGTGAATGTGTTCATCATAGGGATCTATGTCCACTGGTGGCTGATCAGTTGGAAGATGTGCACTATATCAACAATCAGCGAAATCAAGGCCAGGGTGGTATGTATTCAAATACCTACAACCCGCAATGGAGAAAGCATCCTAACTTTTCCTGGGCGAACAACAACCCAACTGGTGTTCGAAACATCCCACCTCATGGTTTTCAACAGCAGAAGCCTCAACCAGAGAAGAAGCCCCAGCTGGAGGAGTTGATTTTGGCTCATATGCAGAAAACAGACAATAATTTCAAGGGCCTGGATCAATTTGTCACTCAACAGCTAGCCATCAACAATAATTTACAATAATCTATGCTAGCTATGGAGAGGCAGATGGGACAGATGGCTCAAACTTTGGCAGATATGAAAGCCAGGATTCCTGGGACATTACCAGCAAATACTGAGAGGAATCCGAAGGATGCCATGGTTGTAGCAGTGACATTGAGGAGTGGAAAGGCCTTGGAAGACCCTAGCAGCTCGAAAAAGGCACCAGAGGCAGAAGAGGAAGCACCGGGAGAAAGATCTTGTGCAGAAAATGAAGAATCAGCCTTGCACAGGCAAAATGAAAGCAGTTTGCCTGTGCAAAAGCATGTTGCCCGTGTACCTCAAAAAGTGGAATAATTGAAGAATGAAGAGGTAAAGCCTTATGAACCTCCCGCACCATTCCCTCAAAGGTTAATGAAGCCCATGGAAGACCCAAACTTCAAGAAATTTGTGAATATCTTCAAGCAACTTCAGATTAACATACCCTTGGCGGAGGCACTTGAACAGATGCCTACATATGCTAAATTCTTAAGGGAGTTGCTGACAAAGAAGCGGAAATGGGCTGATCTGGAGAAGGTAACCCTTACTTCTGAATGTAGTGATGTGATTCAGAATAAATTACCAGAAAAGAGGGATGATCCGGGCAGCTTCACCATTCCATGTGTCATTGGAGGTACAGAATTCAATAAATCACTTTGTGATCTTGGAGCAGGAATTAATTTGATGCCATACTCAGTCTACAAGAAATTGGGATTGGGAGATGTTCTAAAGCCTACTCGGATCACTCTCCAATTGGCTGATCGATCAGTGAAAATTCCAAAAGGAGTGGTGGAGAATGTATTGGTGAAGGTGGGAAAGTTTATTCTCCCAACAGATTTTGTAATCCTGGAGATGGAAGATGATCGGGGAGTGCCTCTAATCCTCGGCAGACCTTTTCTAGCAACCGGTGATGCACTCATCGATGTTGGGAGAGGCAAGTTGACATTCCGAGTAGGTAAGGAGGAGGAAATTTTTAATGTCTTTCAAGTTGACCATAATCATGATGAATTTGAAAGTGAAGCTCGAGAAAGGAAAAATCCCTCTTCCTGTGATAGTGGACCATCCGAAGAACTATCACCTATCATATCTGCTCAGATTCTGAAATCAAAGCAAGGGCAGAAATCCTTGCCAGGTCACCTCAAGTATAGATATTTGGGTAAGGATTTCAATATTCCTGTTATTATTCCTTCTTCACTGACATTGAAACAGGAAGAGTACTTGCTCGAGGCGCTGCAATACCACCTACGCCTCACTAAAGGGTCCAACATGTCAGCTAAGAAGGTCATACCCAATTTTTGCACACCTGGCCCTGCAGAGGTGACTCATATGCTGGATGGAGGTTATGCGTTCTATCATTGCTCGGGAGGGTATGCTGGATACCTTTCCATACCCATTGGTTGAAAGCTCCATGAACGTCAGGCTGAGGACGTTAAACAAGCGCTTCTTGGGAGGCAACCCAAGGTAAGTTTTCTTTTCTTTATTTTTCTTTTTAGTTGTGTCAAACCCGTGCATGTTTAGAGTAGGAGTTGAACATTAGGGACAATGTTCCATCCTGAGTGTGGGGTGGCGAGTCTTAGTGTTGTTTGTCCCTGTTGCATGTGGTAAAAAAAAAATTCCAAAAATCCAAAAAAAAAAAATCAAATTTTTTTTGTTCCTTTTGTCATGTGGTCGGTAAAAAAAAAACAAAAAAAAAATTGCCATTAGGTTGAGCACAGCCAAACTGCATGCAGTTTGCCTGTGTAAAAAGCAGTCTGCCTGTGCAAAGCTAATGGCTTAAAAACACCTAAAAATCAGAAAAATTAAAAACAAAACCTTGTACTCTTGTGGTAATATGATGTAAATTACTGTGATGCGTGTGAAATGAGTTTGTGCTTGAATGAAATCATCAAAATCACCCCACTAGGGTTGAATTGGATAGTTATTCACAATGAGCTTGAATGTTTTGACTGACTTGATATGCTTTGAATGAGCAAACTCTTTTAGCAACATTCTCTTTTGTGAGGATAGTGTAATGACTTTTGGTGAAGTAGTTAGGTGGAGAACATTGACCATTCGACATGTTTGGATACCGTGCTTACTTGCATCAATTGTGAGCTTTTGATTTTGCAATGAGTCTCTCTGTTTTGAATGTTTTATGATGGGGTGAACTGTATCTTTATAAAAAGAAAACACTACCTGACAAGTAAAATATAAGAAAGTTGTCATAACAATTAAAGCGTGGGTAAAAATGCCAAAATCGTGTGAGGCAATCACTCATTGCACATGAGGATGAGGAAAGATTCAATTGAGAATCGGTTCGCGACCGTACGATGTTGCTTATCAAGTACGATCCCCAGTTGAGTGAAGTGCCATTAGAGGATGTGCAATGACCCTCCACACGGACCGAGGAAAAGGAGTTAAAAGAAGCCCTTATGCGAGTGCTAAGAAGCAGAAATTGCTCTTGCTCGGTCACCGGTAGTAAGAAACAAATCCCACTTGTACTAAATACGACCTCTCGGCAAGCAAAAGCAGAAAGAGAGAAAGTCTCTCCTTGTCATAAAAGGTAGTGATGTGCTTAAAATTAAAATCTTGTTTGCGAAAGGCTTCCCCCATTAGTTTTTGAGACTCATGCTTTGTTAATTGCTTATGATTGGTGTGAGTAAGCCAGATTGTCCTCACGAGATATGCACCTCACTGATGTGGTTAGATTCTCCTAATAACTGTTGCACCATAAGTTGTTAACCACCCGCTACCGATGATCGAATTTGAGTGTTGCTATTTGAGTTTTTGGTGGGTTTCAGTCAATGGTAATGGTTGCAAAGAACTTGAGTGTGGGGTGAAAGGTATGACCATTAGAGCACAACTTGTCTGTTGAGAAAGAAACTACTGATTACAACAAGAGTACAAGGAAATTTTGTGTTTTGCTTTGAGCCATGAGTCTGTAATGTGTCATTGTTTTGGATGGTTATTTGTTTGTGTCTTTTGAGTCGTTGCTTAGGGACAAGCAACAATTGAGTGTGGGGTTGTGATAATCGGCTTTGACATATTGAATTTTTGGACTTTATATGATTATTCATGGTATGTTTTAGCCGATTGGTGCTATTTTAGGGCTCGCTAACCCGAGAATGGTTGAAAAACCATTACTGCCTAGTGCCATGAGTTTGATGTGTTACAGGTGGAGAAAGCACGAAAAAGAAGCGAGTGCACGAACAATTGATTGGGCCCAAATCACCCCACCTCGGGAAGAATTAATTTGGGCCGGGGACTTTGGAAAAGGCAGGTGGCGGACATAATCTCTTGGGCCAGCAAATTGCATAGCTGGCGGTGGACAAGGCTAAGAGGATGGAGGAGGACGAAATTGCTGGGGGAGGGGGGGGGGAGATTTCTTTTGGGAAAAGAAAGCAAAAGGCGGCTGAGATTTATTATTGAGAGAGGGCGGAATTCCATAGCCAGAGGGGAAAAAGACAGCAGCGCGCAGCAGCTGAGGGAAAAGAGGGAATTATTTTTCTCTGGGCGATTTTTCTTGGAGAGAAAGAAAGCGAAGGGCAGCAGGTAATTATTGTTGGGGGAACGAAATTCTCTTGGAAAATAAAGAAAGAGGCGAGAATTCTTTGGGAGAGAAGAAAAAGCAGACGTAGCGCAGCGAGGGTTTTTGGGGGACGAGGGAATTAGTGAGAAAAGCAGCGCAGCGAAGCATCGGGCGATTGAGCAATTGACGATCAGTTTTTCCAAGGTTTGAGATGAATTCAACGAGAGCGATTAGTTGGTTGGATTTTCTAAACCGAATTAGTTGTTATTTGTTGATTTAGAACATGATGAACAATACCCTATCGATTTATCTCAATTTCATCATGAACTAAACCCCAATTTCTGGGGGAAACACCATAGGATGTAGCTATTTCTTGATTTGATGGATTGATTTATGATTCTTTTCTTCCAATCTCTATTGCATGGAATTGCTTAATGCTTTGTGTTGACTGGCCACCAATACAACGATTTGTAGTTAATTAGGTTATTAGCGACAGTGAAATCCTATTAACTGAACATATTTCATGTGACATAGTAACTTATCGAAGCGACAGTGGATTAAATAAGGTGCTATGCGGTCTTAAATAGGATATCGATCTTCAGGCTAAATAATTAGGTCATTGAGCTACGACAGTAGGATTTGATTTAATTGTTTAGTACGTAGTAATTCCCGACAGGGATAGCTAGCACATTCGTGATATCCTGGCTGTAGAGATATGGATTAAATTGATTGGAATATGTGAATTAATCTGGATAGGATAGGTAGTGAATCCCGGTGTTTCTCCCAGAGCTTCTCCCATTGAATTTCTCCCGACAAGTTTACTTTGCTTAATTAGTTTAATTATTTTGCTTTTAGAAATTAGTTTATATCTCAAACCATTTTCACTTATAGTTTGCTCATAAATTTGATAGAATATAAGGTTGTACCAGTCCCTGAGAGACGATACCCGGACTTTCCGGTTTACTACGAGATAGGAATTGAAGCTATACGCTTTTGCCCTATCAGGGTGCGGGCAGGAGGTTCACTACGACGAGCAATGCCCCTAAGCCTGTTTCTGAATCCAAATTGAAGTCGGAAATGCCAAAGGGTATGACTCAGAATTATTAATACCAATGAATTGGACATATAAGGGGTCGTTTGGAAGTTGCGATAGTTTTCTTGAGATTGTCATTATGCATGTATTGTTTACAATGCATCGTTTTTTTTGTTTTTTTAGCAGAAACAATACATGGATTGTTTCTGTGATGTGACAGAAACTATCACTCATTTTGAGTGATTGTTATATCTCAACTTTTAGTTGTGATTGTTGAGATAGTTGAGTTGAGATTGTTTTGTCTAAACTTTTAGCTGATGCGACATACACAATCACACATACCAAAATCGTTGTATTCTACAATGCATCAAATTCGACAATACATGTATAATATATTAATATTATACATGCATTCTCAACAATACATCTATTTAACAATCGCAACTTCCAAACGACCCTAATTTTTTTTTTCAAATAATTTATCTATAATCTACATCAATATATGTAAATAAAATATTACATTAAAAAATGACAAATCTTCAATCTAAACATAATATTTAACGTCAGAACCCAAACATTTATACTTTAATTCAACAAATAACATCAATATCTAAATTTTTGTACTTAAATCCAATAAATTAATTTTGTGAATTAATTCCACCAAATCATTTCCATCAAACTTCTGTTTTTCTCGATGTTGACTATCACTTTCACTTCACACCGATGATCTTCCTATCGATTTGGTGTGCGATACTGGTTAAACCATATTGCACTACCCGGTATGCTAATGGCTTGACAACCATGGTTGGGGCCTTTTTATTTTTGAATAATTTACGGTGACCGTATATAAATGTGGAGCCCATTGCAGGCCATATGCATTGCTGGCTTTCAGCCATCGATTTGTACTGTTGGGCGTTCTCTCTTCCTTTTCAGAAAAAAGCCCTTTTTATTTAGCGAGTCTGCTAGGAAAGACGAGAGAGAGACGCCCTCTGCACCCCCGCCCCCTCCATAAAACCAAAAGAAAAGAAAAAAAAAAAAGAGGAAATTTTGTTTCTGTGTACTTCCTTGAATCTCTCTTTCGTTAGTGATCGAAGAGCTGCAGCCTGCAAGGGAATCCAGCCCCCTTTCTCGTGCTCTCTATTAAAAGTTTTCTTCTTCTGATTCTCCGTCTTATTGTTTATTTCTCTGCGTTTACTGAGCTTGGATTGGAGCTTTTAAGCAGCCTTTGTATCTGCAGCCGCCGTAGCAGCAGAAGTTGGTTCTAAATTCGTGAAAAGTAGGAAGATTCGCCATCTGGGTTCTATTGGGTTTAGCTTGTTGGATCTGTAGATCTAACCCTTTTGCTTTCGCCCACTCTATTTTGCTGTTTCTTGTTCTTAGATCTCCCGGTAATTTTTTCCTGTTTGGAAATTTGCGGCTGCCGCCTGAGCCCCGAGCCAGGGGAACTCCGCATATATCGCGTAAACAGGAAGAAGAAAACCCCCAGTGAGTATCCGCCTCCTTATTTAGTTTTGGTTAATTTCGTGGCGTTTTGAATAACTTGGAATTTGATGTTTTTTTTGCGACTTCGCTTAGTGAAGAGCTGAACTCTGTAAAAGTGGTGGGGTTTAAATTTGACCGTCCTATATTTTTATGAACTCCAAACCTCTGGATCGAGGAGGTTTGTTGAGTCAAGTAGATTGTTGACTAGGGAAAAGTTAGTTCTCTTGTTACTACCGAAATACCAGATAATCTGATATGTGAATTGTCTGGTGTTTTGCAGAAATTAGATTGGAGGCTGGGATTTATCGATCTGGTGAGTTCTGTTATTGGGAAACTGAAGAACCAAGGGGAAACATTTTGCATCCAAGATTTTGGATGTGGAGGAAATTGAGGCTGCCTCGGCTGAGATGAGGCATGTTATCAAGGTTGATGAACTTATTGAGGGCCTGCTGGGGCCCATCCTTGGATGGTTGTGGCAACACAGGTTCGGATTCAGCCGGCCGGCAAGAGGGACTGCTTTGGTACAAAGACTTGGGCCACCACTTAACTGGTGAATTCTCCATGGCCGTAGTGCAAGCTAATAACTTGCTGGAGGACCAGAGCCAGCTTGAGTCAGGCCCTTTGAGCACCCTCGAGTCTGGTCCTCATGGAACTTTCATTGGTGTTTATGATGGCCACGGAGGGCCTGAAACTTCACGGTTCGTGAATGATCATCTCTTCCAGCACTTGAAGAGTAAGCAAGAGTTGCTCTCTTAGATCAACCTCTGAGATTGAAGCTTGTGATTGGTTATTGGGTAAATTTGACTGAGCTAGTGACTTTTTTTTATGTTTGTGATTTTTCTTGGTTTATGTTCTTTTAGCAGATTTCACTTCAGAGCAACAGTGCATGTCTGTGGACGTGATAAAGAAAGCATACCTAGCAACTGAGGAAGGGTTCCATTCTGTGGTGACCAAACAGTGGCCCATGAAGCCTCAGATTGCAGCTGTTGGGTCTTGTTGTTTAGTGGGTGTGATCTGTGGGAGTACCCTTTACATTGCTAATGCTGGAGATTCCAGAGCTGTGCTTGGCAAGTCTGTCAGGGCAACTGGGGAGGTTCTGGCTGTCCAGCTGTCATCAGAGCATAACGTCAGCATAGAATCTGTTAGACAGGAGATGCACTCTTTACACCCTGATGATAAGCAGATTGTTGTCTTGAAGCATAATGTATGGCGAGTGAAAGGCCTCATTCAGGTAACTTGTCTTTACTCCCTCATTTCTCCTATTATTTATGGGTATTCGTGGTGTACAGCTTGTGACTTCATCCATGGCAATTGATATTTTGTCTTTTTGGCTTGCATTTAACTATGTATGGTCTTCACCTACTCTTTTGCAGACTGGCACCTTATTTGCATTAATACTATTCCCTAGACGATAATATATGCTTCTTTCTGCAAAACCACCAGATTGCTCCTGCATACCCTTTTAGCTACTATCTACTAGATATGTTTGATATGGCTGGAGGGAAAAGGATGTTACTTTTCGATTGTCTGCATAATAAAGACTCATATCCGATTAGCCAATTATTTATGTATATTAGCTATGGTAACTATGCTTGAGGTGATATTGTGAAAAGTGTAGTTGTAAGCCATAAAAGCCTCACTGCATGACTGAATTTTCTTTTGTTGGAGTAGGCCCTAGCATAAACATGTTGCTTCCCAGAGTGGACTTGAGCAACTGAAATAACTCTTGTTTGTTGGAGTTGCTCAGTGACTTCTAGTTTGACTGTCAAGTATACTCGAGGCAAATTGCTATCGTAAACAAAACACAAGACAGCCTTGTAACTATGCTTGAGGTGATATTGTGAAAAGTGTAGTTGTAAGCCATAAAAGCCTCACCGCATGACTGAGTTTTCTTTTGTCGGAGTAGGCCCTAGCATAAACCTGTTGCTTCCCAGAGTGGACTTGAGCAACTGAAATAACTCTTGTTTGTTGGAGTTGCTCAGTGACTTCTAGTTTGACTGTCAAGTATACTCGAGGCAAATTGCTATCGTAAACAAAACACAAGACAGCCTTATAACATCATTACGCTATTACTTGGTTTAGCTGTAAAAGAAAATAGGAATCGATACTGATGCTGTTGCATGATATATTGTTATAGGCCATAGTGGCGGACTAATAATAAAAGCAACCAAGGAAACTTTGCAGGATAATCAACTTATCAAAGTTGCTATGATCATCATGTTATGAATTTGATTGGCAACCATTGTTGTTTTTTACATGATTTTATGGAGGTTAAATCCTTCCATTGTTGTATGTTCCCTAAATTCCTTTCCCTTATGCAGTAGAAAGTTCAGATAAAATACTCAAGAGGCATCTAACTCTTGGCATACATACAGGTTTCTAGATCCATTGGAGATGTATATCTGAAGAAGGCTGAATTTAACAGAGAGCCCTTATATTCCAAATTCCGGCTTCGGGAACCTATCAGGAGACCAATATTAAGTGCTGAGCCGGCAATCTCTGTGCATGAACTCGAGCCTCATGACCAATTCCTCATCTTTGCATCTGATGGGCTGTGGGAGCATCTTAGCAATCAAGATGCTGTTGATGTAGTACAAAACCACCCACGCCATGTATGCAATCTATCTAATATAATTCACAACTTAGCTGTTATTTCATCTTTTGCATGCGTGGTTCCAATATTGATGGCTGACCAATGAATCTGTCTATTGCTCAATTAATGATTAGCAGGGAATCGCCAGGAGACTGGTGAAGGTGGCACTGCAGGAGGCCGCCAAGAAGAGAGAAATGAGGTACTCGGATCTGAAGAAGATTGACCGTGGGGTCCGTCGCCATTTCCACGATGACATTACCGTCGTGGTTGTGTTCCTCGACTCGAATCTCGTGAGTAGAGCTAGCACAGCTAAAGGGCCTACAGTATCAGTCCGAGGGGGAGGGATTCACCTGCCTGCGAAAACACTAGCCCCATGCACACCTCCCTCGGAAATAATGAATCCCAACTAGTGAATGAAGCTCGCATTTCTCTACCCTCCCATCATCATAGCTCTCATCTCTCTACCCTCCCATCATCATCTCCTGTTCCAGGAGTACGATGTTCCCCTCTAATAACAAGAGCTCAGACGGAGAGGTGCTGCTGGCTCCTATTGATATTTTTTCTACTATATATTTTGTTAGTGTAAAATGTAACATTTTAACCCCTCCAGGATATAATGTATGGGTTCTCTTTAAGCTTCGTTGTGCTGAAAGGAAGAGGGGAAAAACAAAGGAGCTACCAAGGTGACCCACGGACAGACACTAGGAGTACAACATATTCTTCATCTAGGCAAATTTCGTTCAGTCTTTACAGTTCTTTTGCCTCTTTTTGTTCTTGTAAATTATGCGAGACAGGCATCTCTTTCCTCAATTCATGAATTTATGCATCCACTTTGTTTGAGTACTGTGTTTTCCCCGTCTTGAAATACCAATGTTCTCCCTTGTTGACCTTGTTCCCTAACTGACTTTAGCATAACTGTTGACAAGTCTCAAGTTGATTTGGTTGGAATAAGGAAAGTGTAGGTGCGTGATTCTTTCACCATGATAAGTGGCTTGTTCATTTTTATACTAGGACAATTTTGGAAGGATGGTTGGATCGAAGTGCTTAGAGCTCATAACTCATAAGATACCATCGTCACAATATACGGCATTGAACTATTAGTTGTGTTGTGGTATGTAATGTGTTGCATCATATAACATTGACAAAGTGCTCATCTAACAGTCCTGGCATTGAACTATTAGTTGTGTTGTGGTATGTAATGTGTTGCATCATATAACATTGACAAAGTGCTCATCTAACAGTCCTATCCCGGGAAGGATTTAATGTTTCTTAACACTAAAATGTTTTCCAAATATATATGCTTTAGCATGTGATCCCTATGTTGAGTCAAAAGCTTGACTTAGCCAGATCAATATCGTAGGTTGATTTATCGTAGGTTGATTTGAATGGAATATATGTTATTATGTTGAACTAACAATTCTTGCAGACAAATCGCAATCAAGATTAAGGTGATAGTTAAGGTAAGAAGAGAATCCCAAGTGATTGATTGCCTACAACAGAGTTGCCATATCAAACAAGAGAATATCAAATCAAGGAGATACTTTCCACAAGAATACAAATGAAAGGAAATGAAGCTTCACATCCACTATATATAGTAGAGTCATTTGTAGGCTAGAGTACCTTTTGCAAAGTTCTCTTCTCCCTTGAAATAGCGAAATAATGTGATCATATTTCTTGGGGTGAATAGTTTGATATCTTGGAGTTTGAGATAGTCAAGCTAGGTAAGGTTTTAGGGTATGAAGGGTATTTGTAATTGGGGCTAGTGCAAGAGCAAGATTGGATTCTTGCTTGGAAGTTGCACTAGGTTGATTACTCTTCGATCAAGCTAAACGGAAAGTGTTGGCTTGATTGAGTGAGTGAGTAGTTTAGCTTGGGTTTAGCTGAGGGTTGAATAGGTGTGGAGTTGCAGCTATTTGGTTCTTGACATGTGGTGTCAAGGGTGTCTTCTTTTCATAGGATAGAGTCTTTTATTTTAATAAAAGTTAGAGTCTCTCGGAAGATAGTGGTGACTATCTCCGAGATGTGGATGTAAAGCCATATTGATCGAACCACGTTAAAATCATGTGTCCCGACTTATCTCTCTACTCTTCCTCTAATATTGTTCCATCCATTATTACAAAGAAGTGAAAACTTATATCATAGTTGGAACAAGTTCGCCATAGCAAATTAATCGTTTCAAGAGAGATTCTTGGCAAACCAATATGGGTTGCTCAATCAAGCTAGTGCTAATATCTTACTATTGAAATCTGATTGAATTTGCCCATTGAGCCATTGACAACGTCACAAGTATTCAATATTGAATCCGCTTGGTCTAACAAGTGGTATCAGAGCCTGGTTCCTTTGAAAAGATTAAAGGATCGTGAAGGAAACTGAGATCCAAATATACCAAGCATGGCTAGTGGGTCACTTACAAACCATGGTCCTAACTCCATCAATATGGAGGGTTATTCACACAATAAACCACCTTGGTTTGATGGATACAACTATCCTTTTGGAAAACACGTATGATTGTTTCTTCAAAGGAATGGGTTTTGACGTTTGGAATGTGGTTGAGAAAGGTGTGGGTGATATTAAAGATGATCCCGACACATGGTCAAAAGATGACCTAAAAAAGATGCAATTAGATGCTAAAGCAACGAATGTCTTATATTGTGCAATATGTACATATGAGTTCGATAAGGCGAATCGGTGTAAAACATCACATCTATTATGGAAAACCTTGGAAGTATCATGAATCGCTGCGACACAACATCAAACTACGACCAAGTGTAATCCTAGAATGGAAATGCAGAATAGTGGGTAAGTTTTACTTATCAACCCGAGGCCTGGATGTACTACCTACTCCATGATTATCAATTATCTAGCGGGGAAAGTTGAGTGAAGTGTTCAAAGCAAATTAAACAGAAAGCAGTAAATGTTTTGGTTTTCAAAGTCAAGAAGGAACCACTCAGGTAATGATCCCCCCAAGCCTGCAGTGAAGTCGAGTTATAATTCACCCAGTCTAATTCAATTCAAATTTGTACCGTGGAAAATCCGAACCTAGCTTGGAATCTCTTAAGATGACCAAGCCCTCTCAGACACGTTACCTGGCATGCGACTAACCTTCACTAAGATAAAGTTCTAAGGCAATAAAAACATATATCCTCTATTGGAATGAATCCCAGTACAGATCAATGAATTGATTGACTCTCGCACAATCGATTCATCACTTCCAAATCAAGATGCTCTATTGACCTATTCAGATTCTATCATTCTAGGTCAAAGCTGGAAACATACAAGTGTGATCAAGAGTCATAGATTTCTGAATAAAACTTCAATTGGATATATAATCATCAATGCATTGAAAATGGGCTCATTCAACTATTACTAACATGCAAAACTAGGGTTCTTCATACCCAAGTGGTGGAGGGATTACTGCATAAAGAGAGAGGGAGATGAAAGCCATGCTGGATGTAGAAATCATCGTGTAGACGGAAGAAATCTGCTCCGGGCGTCAATCGTCACTCCTTGAGGCTTGAATCGAGCTCCAATGATGGGAAAACTTGATCTAGGGCACTCAAGGGTCTTTGTTCGTCACTTTCTCTCTCTAAACCTCTGTTTTCTACTCCAAAACTCCAAATGAGAGACCAAAACCCGTGTTCTGCTTGTAACAACCCGAGCTAGGCATAACCCGATCCAAATACCTGGCCAGGTTATTGAGGATTAGGCTGGGTATTACTGAAATGGTGCGCAACAACTTCTCACACAAGGGGGGAAATACCCGACCTCGGGTAAAAATACTCGGTCGGGTATTTATGGTTCACGACCGGGGGCATTCTGGTTCTCCTTATGGAAATACCCGACCTCTACTGACTATACCCAGTCGGGTATTTGGGTGATCGGATATGGTATTTTGCCCTTCCAGCTCCACTTTCCGGCTTTCCGCCAACTCTCCATTTTTTACCCGAAACTCGCTTCCAAGCCTCCAATTCTGCTCCAGGTCCTAAAATATGACATAAAATCACAACCTAGCATGAAATCAGATTACAACACAATAATCGGCCCTCATACAATGCAAGAATAGTGGGCAAAACATGTGCAAATATCGGGTTATCAAATTCCCCCACACTTAACCGTTTGCTTGTCCCCAAGCAAACCAAGTCAGACACAAGGTAGCTCAAAATGTTTCAACCATGCAAACTTTGGGGACATATCATAGAGGCACAAAACACGTGAATCAGACTTGCTTTTAGACTTCCAACACATGAACAAAAGCAGCAGCAACCTAGACAACCACCAACATAGACTTGACTCAACTACTCACTCCAAAAAGTCACTTCATGCATAAATTCAAGACATCATAATCTAGAACGAGCAATCTAGGTCCTCACCAGGGTATATGATATGAAAATTGAACCACTCACTCTCGACCAGTGGGGTCAGGACAAACATTTGATGCAAGATGTGTGCATCCTCTTACTCTCAATCCCTAGGGTCTTGGACATGGGGAAAAAGGCCTTTTAAGTGGTGGAAGAATTCATAACACAAGGTTCCCCAATTGCAAAACCAAACACAACGACATCTATTCGACCCAATTACTTCATTTATGATATTCTACATTAGTCAAGTTCTTTAGAACACAAGAGTGAAGGAGGTAACAACATGTAAGTGTTTCCAAGTCAGTCTGCCAAGAAACACTATTTTATGAGCATGATCAAAATTTTTGTGGTGTCTCTCTTTTGCTTTCATTTTTTTCTTAAGAGAACCACCACTTCTGCACATTATTTTATCCTTGCAAGCAAACACCCAATTTTTGAGAACTACCTCCGACCCTCATCTTATTTCCAGCAGAAAACATGCAAAAACCACTCTGTGGAACCTCTAAGAGATGCATAGGGGTGATTTTTCATTGTAGACACAAAGAAAGAAAGTTACATGACTCAAAGGGGCCGACTAGAGGGCATGACACACTAGGATAGTCGATTTGGTCATGGGCTAATCATGTGTCTCCATCATCCTAACTAGTGGCAACGTGAATGCTACACATCATGAAAGAGGGATCTATCACACAAGAAAGAAATGAGTAGGCTCAAATCTCACATGGCTACCTATATCCTCTACCTCTCATTCTGATTCCCTAAATTAGATGCACAAATGACTGTAGAAAAGAGTGATCAATCCAAGTCGCAGTTGTTAAGCAAACAGTTGAAAAACTGAACCCCTACACAACTCTAATGCTGATGAACCGTAACCCACGATTCAAGGGTTTTGCTTGTAACTCACAAGCGAGAGAAAGACGTTGGTGTCTATAAACCTTTGATTTATTTGATTGATACGGAACTAATGCCAAAGGTACATATTTATAGACATAGAAAAGTCTAATACTTAACCTAACCCTAACCGAAATCCTTCCCTACTCGGCCACCCCAACCCCAAACTCAAAGGAAACCTACAACGAAAAGGAAAAAACACCCAAGCCCAACAATCAAAAGCCCAAACCGAAAATACTCTCATCCACTGCACGTCTTAGTCATTATTATAGGTTGTCTTAGTCACAAACAAGTTATCATGCATCAATGCTAACATCCAATCGATTCAACACATAAAACCACATTGTTAATATGATCATGCAAACATACGTACTTGGAGCCCTCAAATCGAAGATTTGGACAGTGGACTAGGCTCCAAACACACAAACATATCTTAGCAGTCAAATATAAACACCACCCACACTTAAGTTCGACATTGCCCTCAATGGCAAAGAGGGAAATATAAGGGGAACGATGTTGCCAGGAAAAATAGACTACATCAGGATAGGAGAATGGACCAGTCGACGAGGATACTGGAAGTGGGACCATTGTGACAAGAACACGGGCTAAGACAAAAACAACCACTCGAACACAGAACCGTTAGGAAGAGTTTTCAGCCCAATGGCACAATATCCAAAAGAAAAAGAAGAAAAAAATCAAACACAAATAATCTAGAGAGGTGGAGCCCACGAGTACATCCTACTCGAGGCGGTCGAAGTCGATGTTTTTCATGATGTCATCAATATCCTTTGGCGGAGGAGGTGGTGGGTTGGGTGAATGCACCTACGGATTCGTACAGTGGTACTCCGGGTGGTAGGACTAAAGTAGGTGATCCTGGTACTCCATCATCCGACGGTTGCGGACCAGCTCATGCTCAATATGAGAGAGGGTGATGCCCTACTGAGTCTCGATGCAGTCAAGACGCTTGTCATAAGCAGCCATATACTCAGCCTGATGGGTCGCGTACTGTTGCTGGAACTAGCGCTGGTGATCCATGAGCTGCTGGTTCTGTAGACCCAGCTTCTAAAACTGGAGACCCATATGCTCGAATTGGTCGGTGAAAAAGTTCATCGACGAAACAGAAGGACCGGAGGCAGACTCGCCTTGTTCGGGTCTTCGTCGTGGAGGAAGATCCTCATACGTGATAGTGGAGGCTCCATCTCGTCAGCATCCATAGCCCCACCACTATCACCATCATCGTCCTCGGCTTCCTCCTCCTCCTCCTCCTCCTCCTCCTCCTCCTCCTCCTCATAGTCCTCATCATCCTCGTCGTCCTCATCAGTAGTAGAGGGAAGGGAGAGTCCGTCGACCCACTCCCAATCATCGACAAAGGCTAACAACAAAGCGTTATGAAGCACGTCCTTGCTGAAGGGATGAGAGAACCAAAAAAAGGTAGGTGGGCTTTGTCTCCTCCTGATTGTTACAATAAAAATCCCAATCTTACGACCGTGAACTGACTCAGTGTTAGTAACCTCTGGAAACTCTCTGGACCCTTTTCAGTTTGCAGTTTGTGGCTCCAGTTCACGGTCTTGATGATCGTGAACTCACTGCTTGGACCGTGAACTGGGGCTGCTTCCTCCTCTTTTCCCGATCCTCGCGCCTTTTCCTCCAACTTTCGACTCTGGGGTTGGTTCCACTTGTTAGACTCCCGAAAACATTGAAACACAACGAACCTAGCGTAAAACCACCCTTTTTGGAGCTCAAATGGCACAAACGCCTAAGAGAAACGGGGATAAAAAGTGTACATTTAGGCCCAAATCAGTATTTTGTCTAAGAGGGCTTGGTCAGCTTAAGAGATTCCAAGCTGTTTTCGGATCTTCCACAGTCTAATCAAGAGTGAATCAATCAATGGGAATTGCAACTTGAACCTAACTAAGGAGCTAGGGAGATTCATTCTCGAGTGATTCTTCTCTTGATTCATAAAACAGGACAATTTACTACTTTCTTTCTGTTTTAATTTAAACTCATTTTCACTAGACTTTCCCCGCTAGATAATAGATAATCACGGAGTAAGCAGTACATCTAGGCCTCAGGTTGACATTTATTACTTGATTCCACTATACTGCATTTCCATTCTATGATTATACTTGGTCGCAGTTTGGTGTTGTGTCTTATCGAGTCAACAATCACAATCATAGATTTGTCACAAGTAACAACAATCAATCCAAGACCTAGAACTAGGGATGGCAATGGGTCGGATTGGGTCGGGTTTTGCCAAACCCAAACCCATGGGTTTATTCGTGAAAAAAACCCGGGGTAAAACCCACTGGGTTTGAAAAACTCAAACCCAACCCAACCCGCTGGGTATCCGCGGGTTCATGGGTAACCACGGGTTTTTGTCGTAAAAAATTTACAATAACATGTTCCTATCAAAATTAAAGTCAAATATCAATCTCTCAATACAAATTATCCATATTTAAAACACCATTCTAGAAAATTCAAGCAAATCACAAATTAACTATACTAATTGTTCAACACCAATCTAGAAAACTCAAGAAAATTGAAGTAAATCATAAATTATCCATAAATAACATATTAATTGAAGGCTTCTTCCTTTCAATTAAGTTTCTTCACTCTCCACTCGATAACACAAACTTCATTCTACACAATTAGAAAGAAAAAATTAGACATGTCTCCACAAACATAAATAAGATTAGTTGTTTAAAATATTAAATATACCGAGAAAATTAATTATATGTGTGGGCGGGTACCCACGGGTCGGGTTTACCTAAACCCAAACCCAACCCAACCCGATGAATAGTGAACGGGTTTAAACCCAAACCCGACCTAAAACCCGTCAACACGGATTTTACCCGCGTTGACCGGGTTGGGTCGGGTGGGTACCCGTGGGTTCGGGTTTGGTTGCCATCCCTACCTAGAACTAGGGTTCATCAACCTAAGTAAAGAGGTCTAGTTCATAGAGAGGAGAGAGATTACTATACCAAGCTCAAATTCTTTCATCTTCTTCTAATAAGGGATGATCTTCAAGCTCCAACGGGGATTGGCACCTCAAAATTAGCTCCAACTACCCTCCTATACCTCTCTTTCTCTCTATCTAGAAACTCATCTTTGGTGTTTTGGGTCAAAACCCTAAGGAAAACCAAACTCTCCCTCTCAAAACCCGCAACTGCCTATTTATATGCTCGACAGTGAATACTTCACTGTCAAACTTCACGGTCGTGATATAAATAAGAAAACCATGATCTTAGCTGAAAATGCACTTTTTTTTGCATACGTCACGGTTATGTTGTTATTATCATGATCTAGGACCGTGATCCTTGTAATGCCCGCGAGGCATGCAAAGGCTACTAGAAATTGCACACTTCACGGTTTTGGTGTGATTTCCATTCCCTTAGGGCGTGATCCTAACACCCAACTCGTGAACCTTGCACATACTCCACCTTTTGGCTTGTTTTGACCTCTGAATGTCTCGAAACTCATCACTAACCTTCCTACACATGCTAGGACCTTAAATGTGATAAAAGAGGCACAACCTAGCGTAAACTGGGTTGAGGAACAAAAAATACCAATTCAAACAATCAAGATATGAAGAGATAAAACATTTATAAATACGCTCGAATCAAGTACGGCAAAAATAGACAAGGAAACCATGGTGTCATATCCCTCTTCAATATTCTTTTTTCCCCCTCTATTTATAGATACTTAAGTTCTTTGATTGTTCAGATTATGTAGAACTTTAGGACTGATGGATTGATTTTGTTCATGTGGTGTTGTGTTGATCTTTGTGGATGGATTCATGTCAATACTATTGATCTTTAAATACAACCCTTTACCATGAATAATCGTAATGTAGTAGAACTTGAGTTTTGAGTACCAAAATTAGTCATTACTGAAATCTTCAAACATTATCTTACATAATATAACAAAGATAATTTCTTAGGGCGCGCATATGATTAGATGCTATTATTATAAAACACATAGCATCTATCCATTCTTTTAACCACAATCAGGAGCAACATTCATATTGAATATATAAATACAATTGGATCCGAAATCGTTATCTTACTTAGGGTGCTCAACAATTCCATACAAATTATCCTTAATAAGATCAATGTCCACACTAGTAGCCTCAAAGAACCTAAAGCTTGTGGCTTCAAAAGAATCACTTTCCATATCATCCACCTTAAATTTCTCAAGACTAACTCCATGATCTCCATTAGTAACAATGCTTTGTGACGATTCTCCGAGTTTCTCGATAGACCGAGTAGAGCAGCGCAATGATCCCCCAGGAGCCACTCTGGTAGTTAGGAACAAACCCTCTTGCAACTCGTAACACACCTCGGCCATCGTAGGCCGATTTTTGGGGGTCTTCACTACACATCTTAGCCCAAGTTGCCCCATCTTCAACATCATCTCCATGTTGCAGGGTTGTATCAATAAGTTAGCATCCAATATATCTTCAACATGTCCCTTCTCTAAGTATGGTCTTGCCTGCATACGTATGTATTCATTCCAACCCCAAATTTGTACTTAACTTTAGCCAAGCTAACATAATGAGTTTTTAAATGGGGCCAGTTTGAAGCAATAATAGTTAAATTCATAAGAACATGCTTACGGTCTTAAAGTAAAAAATATATTTAAAAAATTCATTAAGAAACAGAAGTTTCATATCTGAAAAAATTGCAAGCATGTGCCATAAGCAATGCTACCCAGCTGGTTGATTATGAAATGTGCATAAATAAAGTTAATCAATTAAGCTTAGCTTACCCAGTCAATGACATGGTAATTGGAGTTCCTTCTGGATGCGTCGACTGCAGGCCGAGCGCTGACAAGCTGCAGAAGGATCACCCCGAAACTGTACACATCACTGAAATGGCTCAAGTGGCAACTGGAACAATATGCAGGATCAAGGTATCCAGCAGTGCCTTTGATCTGGGTGCTGACGTGGGTCTGGTCCCCTGTCGGCCCTGATTTTACCAGCCCGAAATCCGAAACCTTGCTCTCAAAGTCCTCCCCGATCAGGATGTTGCTAGGTTTGATATCACGGTGGATTATGCTTGGCTGGATTCCGTCGTGCAAGTGAGCTATTCCTGCAACCAAGCAAGCAAAAGTTATATCTAATTTCTCAGTTGGTTCACAGTGTATGCATCTGACTGGCAGCTATCTTTCAAGTATGATCAAAGACACAAACTTGGTGCGGCTATATTAATTGGATAGTACCTTTAGCTGCACCAATGGCTATATTCACTCTTTGCTGCCAAGTTAGGCACTGCCTTCCTCTTTTACCTGTCATGTACTCGAGCAAAGAACCATTGGGTGCATACTCATAGACCAGTATTGTGGCTCCTCCTGTTGTTGACCCAGAAAAAAACCAGTACTTAGCTTGCAGTCTTGAATTAGATTGCATATATAAAGCCATTATATACGCATTCGATTGTTGGGGATTCACTGAAACCTTCACCTGTTTCTTTACAGAATCCCACCAAGGAAACCAAGTTCCTGTGCCTGACTTTGGAGAGTAGAATCACTTCTGTTTCATGAAGAAAAAAGGAAAAAACAGAATGAAATAAATGCCTGATTCATAATTCACATGATCTACATCCTTCTTCTTACCGTTCAGTAACTCCTCATCACTCAGGAAAGAATTTGGATGAGCTTTCTTGACAGCCAGAGTAATCCCTTCGTCGTCGAAGAACCCTTTATAAACATTGCCGAAAGCTCCAGAACCCAACAAACGCTCCTCACTGAAGTTGTTTGTAGCCTTGTCCAGCTCCTCCAGCTGAAACCTCCTCAGGTTCAGTCTCTCGGCTTTTAAGCTTCCTAAGGCAATCAACTATTCCATCCATCAATTCGAAGATGAATTGAATCGTACGAATCAATTGTAAGAAAGTTACCTTTTCTAGTCCATCTCCGCTTCACAATTCCATCCCCGAAAAGCCTCTTCCTGCAAGCTACAGCGAGTGCGACAACCACCAACAGAGCTGCTATCCCGACCACGAGACCCAACCACAAGTATCTCATCGCGTGCCTCGAATCACCGCCGCCTGATCTATGGGCCGGATTATCGCGCCGGAAATGTTCCCCCGACGGCTGTTCTGCCGCGAACAACCCATTGGTCCGCTGTTTGACTGGAGAACTTGTGAAAACAGGGAAGGAAGATAGAATGCCCGTATCGACTGGTGGAAGACTAGGCGAACTTGCAGGTCGCTCCGCCATTAGAATAACGGACCTGGATGACATAAAGTCATACTCGGCAGAGATCTCGGCTGCATATTCGGCAAGCTGGGTGATTTATTGCCAGAATTGGAGGGAATAAGGAGAAGAAGATGATGAATGCAGTTTTGATTCATTCGAGAGGGAAAAGACAAGGATTGATTGCTCCTGCTGCAACGGAATGGCCAGCAGATGCGGGAAGAATGGGGTTTCACCGTCATGAGATGAGAAATAGTTGATTTGATTGGGATAAGAAAAAGGTGGGAAATTTACGATGATGACAACAAAATAGGTGTTGCTGCCGGCCTAACTACCTCTAATATGCAACCAAATTTGTGTTTTTGTTACCACGCGTTGTGTTGTTGACGATTTCTCCCAGTCTCTCACGGACACAGTAGAGTATAATACTAGTTGGAGACTGACAGAGTATTTGATCCCGAGTTAGAGACATGCACAAATTCAGCACATTCTGTCAAATGGGTTAAGTTGAAACTTAAAAAAGGCATGGTGGCATAGATCAATCTCTACCAAGTATAGAGGAGGCACTTCTCAACGGAAAATTGTTTGGAACCTAGGTGGTGAAGAGTGTCTTTATAGAGATGGATTGTCAAGGAGAGCTCCACTTTTTGGAAATTTGGCTTCGTCGATCTTGGGGTGAATGTCTATTTTGATTGATGTCTGGTTCACAAAGAAATACTTGGTGAGCGAGTTGCCAAAGGTGGCGACTACGTCCAATCATTGGTTGAGTTTGTTGCCGACTGTTTGTCTAGGGATGATATATGGAATATCTTGCCACGTGACCTTATTCGTAGTGGTGAGAAAGAGAGGTTGTAGCGTTTTGCCTTCTTAGATTCCAATCGAGAGACATGGGTGTCATCATCAGGACCTGCTACCCTATCATGCCCTGGTGAGAAGAACAACCAGTTTTCGGCTTGATCAGTCTTTCATAAAATGGTGAATGAGATCTTCTTCAACTTGGATGACTTTCCTTCTTTTAGAGAATTGGATTTAGATGGTTACAATGATTATTTGCTCTTTTGTTTGGAAGCATTCCACGGGAACATGCAAGCATCGAAAAGTTGAAGAAACAAGGGTTTCGGTGGCGTAATCAATATGTTCTTTGTCGTAACAAGGAGGAATCCATTGATCGCTTTTTTGTTTTTGTGTTGCAGTTCCACTATGCCTTTGTGCCTTGAGTTCTACTCCATTCTTTCTTTGTTTGCCCCACTTCAAAGATCTTTGGGGATGCTTATGCGGTTTTGGGAGGGATTGACAAGGTGGCATCCGCTCACCCTCCCCATTTTCTGTCTCATTATGCATGATTTGGTTTAATTTGGTGTATTGGATTGAGAGAAATTATCACATCATTAGGGAAGGTGAGAATTAGATGTTATTCTTTGGTATAAGATTGTTCATTTAAGTTTGGGGTTGGATTGGAGCTTTTTAGAGGACTATAGATAGAGAATATGGTGGCTCAATTAGGAGATTTAGCTTCTAGGAGGGTTGAGGTTTAGAATCAATCACTTTTCTTTTAGTTTTGTGCCTTGAAACTTGCTTCTGTATACAGACTAGCTAAGCATGTCTGGCTAGGGTTTTCATATTAGGTGCATGTAATATGCCTTCTTGGCTTATATGTTCAATTCATTGTGATTAGGGGTGGACATTCGGTAGGTTTGGTCAAACCTAACCCAAACAAAACCAAACTTGAATGACGCAATTTTTTGAAGCTGATTTTGTTCCAAACTCTTCCTTAGCTAGATTTGTTCATAAGAAAAAAAAATGTTGATTCAGTTCGAGTTTGACCAGACATTCTGAACCATAGAGTGTTGGCGATAAAGGGAGATGGAAAGTCATGCCGGCAGTGACTCGTTCCTAACTACACAATTCCCAACTATAGGCCAAGTGCATATAGTCGGGTGTAGGATAGAGAAGTGGTTTAATATCAACCAGAGGCGGTCTATGTACCCCTACTTCATTCTTTTATATATTATCTAGCAAAAGGTTTGTTGTGAGAGGTAAAGTAACTACAATTAAACAAGCAAGCGAAGTAAGTTATGGTGAATTCGATTTGAGAAATCTTCACCATTGTTGCCCCTAGTCTCATGTTACGATTTAACGAATGGAACTCTAGTGTGAAGAGTGATTATATACCGTGAGGAGGATGCAATTAGTTAGGAAACCCCAACTCTCTTAGTCGATCAACTAAGGATTATCACGATAAGCTAGAAAACCTAGCTCTCTCAATCAATCAACTAAGGATTGCAAAACCAATCCCTCGGAAGTTAATCTGGAATGTCGTAAAGCAACCAATCACGAAGAAATCACGTCATTAATCGGATGTTTGAGGTTTGTCCTGAATTGCCCTAGAAGGGGTTACCCGAATTACAAAGATGTAGCTATAATGGGATTTTCTCCTTCTAGGTCAATTGACCCAACACTAAGATATGATAATTGATAAACAACACCCAAGATTCATGAAAACTACCTCAAACATTATATTAATCACTAACCCAACACACTTAGAATTTAACTCTTACAATCTAACACATCCTAGACTAGTGTTTCCAATATCCAAGTGAAATGGGAAACTACTCCATAGCTAGGAAGGGAAATACAAACAAGATGGAAGAAAAACCCATGGTGAGATGATTCTCTGTTCCTTTTAGTTGCTTCATTCACCCTTTGGAAAAGAAATCTTTAACCCTCTAGCATTGGGTAAGTCCAATCCTTCTTTTTCCTTTTCTTAGCTCATCACTTTCTCTACTATCTTGCAGAAGAAGAAGAAGACGACGACCTAACTCTCGAAGAGTAAGCGTGTGGTAGTGCATGAATAGAAAGTTTCTTCAAACTAGTCGGCGGCGCCCGACGACATGGAAGCGTTGCTTGACAGGAGATGAATTGGAAGAGGATAGGAGAAAAGGCTAGTTCACAAGGATATTAGTTCTTACTACAATTTAGTATTAGGGGTTTGCTTTCGTATCAGGGAGAAAAACGATATCAATAGCAACGACGAGAGGTGGAAGAAGGGAAAGAGTATCTCAGGAGGGCGGAGGAGGATTGAGATAAGGGTTGGGCTTAGCTTTCATTGGGAAGAGCTGTGACATTGAATTCGAAACTCAATTCGAAATTCGATCATTCAGTTCGACCCATTTCAACCGATCTTCGACTGCAACCAAATCCACCACCAAATTTCAACCCATACACAACTATAATTTGGTTCGGTCGATTTCATATGTGATTCAATTTAGCTTGGGTTCGAACCGAATTATAATTCGGTTTGGTCAGTTTAAACCGATTTATAAATCGGTTTGGTTCGGTTTTTGACACAAAACCGAATTTATGAAGCTACTTATATGCTCTCACTTTTAAATTATTTTTCACCACTAATATAAACAATAAATATGAAATTATATGCATCAACAATGATAAAATCAAACTTTTCAACACATAAGTCATAAAACATTTCAAATATTTAAGTCTAAAAACAACTACAAACATAAAAATCCACCATTTGGAGCTTGCAATTACAGTATTTCAATTTTTTGGTCGGAAATAAGGTTCGGTTGAAAGAACCATAGTTTCCGAACTATCCATATTTTCCTTCCAAATTCCGAACCGATTAACATTAACTCCGTTTCGGTTCGGTTTCAATTCGGTTCCGTTCGAGTTTGCCGAACCGTTTGCCCACTCCTACTACTCATGACGAACCGCAATTGGTGAACGACTTTCCGTTTAATGTCATGTACCATTCATATAAAAATAAAACATAAGAAAACCTAAGCTAACATCAAAAGGGGACTCGAGGCCTGGTCAACTACCTTCTCTAACAGCCTGTTTGGATTGACAAAAAAAAGTAAGGAATTTAAATTCCATTTCCAATTCCATTTCCATATATATGTTTGGAATAATAAAAAGCTTGAGAATTGAATTCCATTGGATCTAAAATTTGGGAATTACAATTCCTTTCAAAAGTGATAGGAATTGAGAGAATGAAGATTGAATTAATGGGACCCATTTATACTTTTTATTATTTTATTGACCCAATATCATTTTACTCTCTTTCTTTCTCATTCATATTTCATTTCCCAAAATAAAAGTGCAATTCATTTCTTTAGTTGTAGGAATTATACCAAGGTTGTCAAACCGGTTTATACCGTTGTGCCGGTTTGTCAAGTGGAATGGTACGACCGGTGGTATAACCTGCTTGTGCCGGTTCATGCCGGTTTAAAAAAATGTGAAAACAATTAATATCCAATGTATTTAATCATATATAAAACATATTTGTGGGCAATTTAGTTACAATCCAACAAATATCATTAACTTTTAACTATTACATTCATAAAATGAATAATAAATTAATTTTTTTATTCATTAAATTCTTTAAAACGATATCATTTTGCTTAGAATGCATAAGTCGATCATACCGGTTTCATGACCGACACAGGTTGCACCAGGTGGCATGCCACCGACGTGACAACCCTGAATTATACCAAACACTACAATAGGAGATGAAATTCTATAAAAATAAAAAATGGAATTTCATTTCCATTTCCATTTGTTACGGAATTGTATCCAAACATGCTGTAAATGATTCTCCCACTAGTTAGTTTTTGTTATTTCTTGATTTGCGTAGGATAGTCCTCAAAGCCCTCTTATTTGATTGATAAAACAGTGATTTGAAGTTTGTTGTTTAGACTCTTGCCGCTTGTGAATACGATTATCCACATCCACAATTACTAATAGAATTGTCTTTTGTCCACCAGTAGAAATCAACCAAACAATCCCTACTTAAGATTAATACCACTTCTGAGAACAACAAAATGGCACAATACAATAAGATTACAGACTAATCGAAAGCACAAATTAAGAGGGAAAAAAGTCTACACAGCAGCCGTCGGGGTCACCAATGGGAGTTAGAAGCTGCTGGATGGCACCTGCAGCAAAACAGTGAACGGCTGGCTCAACAAATAGTCATCTTCATGCCAGACTGAGAAAGATTAACAAATGCCAACAAGACGTAGAAACAACACAGAAGTCACAGGATCTACAGCAGAAAAACATAAGAAATTAGCAACTTCAAAGGTGGCTAAGCCACGGACTGCAGACAGACCCCTCACCCCTTCGTGTACAGCAAAAAAAAATTGATTTCAATTAGCAGCCTGTAGATATGTACAACCCGAAAGATACTCGAAAATGGAGAACTGTCCCTCCCTTGCTTGGCGTACCAAACTAAGTTGGTGATTGCACATCCTGGCCTTGGTACTTATTTCATCTGGTCTGGTCTGAACTGAACTGACACATACCACAGCCATTTCAACTTCAACTACTACCCCTACCCTGCAAAGTTTAGAGGTATTGAGAAATAAGGCAAGGCTCTGCTGAGGAAGCAGTAACAGGTCGTGGGATGAAACCCAATCGGCAGATATTATTCGCCGACTGGCACCTCGACTGCTATAGTAAAGTGCGCGCATAGTAGAAAACACCAATGTTGCAGATATTATTCACTAACTGGCATCCTACACTATTAACATTTGGCTACTGTGTGTGGCAGGCCCAAACAGGTATACAGTTTGAAGTGTCTTGAGAATGATCAGGAAATTCTGAGATCCTGAAAAAGTGACTCTTAGACCCAATTTACTCGATCAGCGTGCTATAAATCGAGATGTGAATGGTCCACATTGTTGTCTTCATAATACTAGAAAATAAACGGCAGAACACCTTTTTGTGTACGAGTTCTGAAATCGACCCGTTGCATAGTAATATATGTTGACGAAGATATAAGATAAACAATTATTCCAAGTCCCCATACGTCCATTCATATTGAAAAATGGCCTGGTGTGCAACAAATAAATATAAAGCAATTCAACGAACGAACCAGACAGGGGAATTCAACTATCACCACTTGTATGCACACGGAAAACAAACCCCATATATCACTCATTGCGAGAAAGAAAGAATACCACTACCCAACGGTAAACGAGAACAAGGTATAAATAATTAGATGAATCAAATGAGACAAGTGTATAGCTGACCTCCATCAAGGCTCAAGACCAAGTGTTCCAGTTTCAGCCCACCGTCATATTTTGTTTGACATCATGCAGGTTTCAAAATCTGAAAGGAGCACATCAGGTCTTCATCGACACTCATCATCGCACCAGCATTATCGAATTCCCCACAATAATTGGGAGCTGAGAATATGGTCACAAGTTGCCTTTCAGCAAAGAACTCATATCCATCCTCTACAACCTAGACAAAAACTAGTCGTATTAGTTTCCACAACAAATGACCAGAATGTTCACGGAGAAAAAATAGAAGTAGCCAACTGAAGGTGAATCTCACCTGATGTGCACGGCAGACAAGGTCCAAATCATGCTTGTTCAAGAACTCAGATACCTTATCAGGGCCGAAGGTATATGAAACCCCTCTGTCATTCATTCCCCACCCTTTCACATCTCTAGCAGGGTCTGACCATAACAAATCACACAGCAAACCAGTGTCCGGAAGAGCAGTTGGGCGAGGCAAGATTCTGATTTGATCTAAATGTGTCAAATCAGGAGAAAGACCACCATGCATGCATAATATCTTGTCATCTATAAGAGCCGCGACGGGAAGGCAATTAAAAGCGTCAGTAAAAGATTTCCAAAGCCTCACATTGAAACGTCTTTTGCATTCATCATAGAACCCATATATGCGGTTTATAGAAGCACATTCATGATTTCCTCTCAGAAGGAAAAAGTTCTCTGGGTATTTAATCTTGTAGGCAAGCAAGAGGCATATAGTCTCCAAGCTTTGTTTGCCACGATCAACATAGTCTCCTAAGAATAAATAGTTGGCCTCAGGTGGAAAACCTCCATACTCGAAAAGCCGCAACAAATCACTGTATTGCCCATGAATATCACCTTCAACACCACACAGAAAATGTGCATACACGTCAACGCTAGGAAATCAAACATACCCAAAGTTGAATGAAAATTCACAAAACAAAAACACACACACATAAACTACAAAGACACAAGGCACACAAGATAAAAGTTGATAGACATAAACCACAAAGAACGGGCAGATAAAATATCTACAGAATAAATCTAAATAGGTCAAAGTGAATAGATTAATGAAGATGAACAACCATAGAAAAGAGGCATACAATTTAGCCCGAGAAACACGAGCACAATATTGTCATACTCAGACACATGAAAAACTACATTTGCCAGCCATATCATAACAGCTACAAAACCTCCATAATTACCCAATTCCCTCTTACCAACATACTTCATTTAATTGCTAAAGACAGAAAATTCCAGCATGAAATGCTGCTCAACTGATCTGAAGTTCATTTGCAGGTATCACAATGACATATCAAGAACAGATGCCAATAACTTAGGAAAGAAATGGATAAAAGGGATGTCTATCTACGGAACTCCCAAATTTCAGACATACAGTTACTCGACAATGTAACACTGCCTAGGTAACTCCAAGAACTGCTAAACCAAGTATCCATCTCCTAATAAGATCAGCAATGAACCAGCAGCTGCACGAAAGACAACTTCGTGTACAACCATTGGAACCCTATGGGTACAGCTACAGTGAATAGCTGACGACTACCAAAAGGATACTATCCCTAATAGTCAATTACAAGACCAAACCCAGCTCTCTTGACCAACAATCATAGAACTACAACAGCCCATCAATGGTAAAACAGACAGAACTCCATCGATACCCTCAAATTTCTAATACCGAGGCGAAAGGAAAAATACAAAATCGGAACCAAAAACCAAGAATCAGCGTACCGCAAATCTTAATGGGAGCCTCTAGCTCGAGCAAATTGGGCTGCTGAAGGAAGACCTCACGAGAGGCAAGACAGAGCTGCTTAATCTCAGCCTCGGAGAGCTGGACCCTCCTGCCAGGTCTGGCTGATCGGACCTCTGTCAACCGTTTAATTAAGTCGTCTAGCACCGCAGGGTCCATTACCGCCACTCCTTGACCTGCCATATCCAATTTGACCAAACCTTCCCAAGCTTCTATATTTCCCAATAGCAGGACGTCACCAGATTGATAAATCCCTCCTGGCCAATCTCTGCAAATACCAGAGCAATTCCAACATCAAACATTTCTGAATTTCGGTCATAAAAAATCTGATTGACTTAAACAAGCCTCAAGACACCATTTTCCCCGCTCCACCGCCCTCATTAAAACAAAAATAGAAAACAAGCCACAAGACACCCCCTGGGTATTGGAGTTAATTAGAATACAAGGAAGAAAATCAACTTCCAACCCCCGCACCACCACCAAGTTACACCTTTCAAAGCGTTCAATAAGTGAAAGCCAAAGCAATTAGATTCCCAGTGACGTAAACGGCCATGAAATTGATCAAAACTAAATGTGGAACCAGAAACTCACTGGGGTTTTTCTTGCTTCAGTTTAACCGATACAGGCGGAGTTCCCCTTGCTCAGGGCTCAGGAGGCAGCCGGAAATTACCAAACAGGAGTAAATAGACGGGAAGAAAGAGAACAAGCTAACCGAGGAAAATATAAGGTAAGGATAGAGAGCCAGCCAAGAGGAGGGGAAGTTCGGAATTAAAGAGGGGTTCGTTTCGATGGCTTTTAGAGGTCTCCCAGATAAGTCAATCACAGACAGTTCAATAAGACAAAGCTCAAAAGCAGCAATCTCAATACAGGACCTCGCCGATCGAGAATAAGCGCCAATGGACTGCAAGGATAATAGCAGGAGACAACTAAACTATGCAAGGAAAAGGAAGTTACCTCTGGGGTTCTGGATTGAAGGACTTCCAACTTACGCGTTCTTCACTTTATCTCCCCAGAAAGAAAGCAACAATCGAGATGGGCGGTGATGATTTATGAAACGATACTCTGGAAATGGCAAAGATGGAAGAAGATTAAGGGGCGTACGAACAGGAGGAAGCCGTCCCTGACGGAGCACGAAGACAACCCTTTGAATGATATGAAATGAAACCCTTACTAATTCTTTCCAACACTCGAACACTATCGCACTCCTGACCTAGGTCTTGACGACTCCTATATGGCTATATATCATCGCATATATCACCCCCGTTATTTTGTTTTATTTGTTTTTTTTTTACAAATATTAGGCAAAATACACTTTCAAATTTTCACGGTGTGACACTTGTAGCTATAATTTTCTAAATACACAAAATAGTCACTTCCATCGATCTCTTAAATGGTGTCACTTAACAGTATGACTGGACTGACGAAGATGTTGAGTTGGCGATCCACAACGATTAATAAAGAAAAAACAAAGTACTCTTTCATAGCCACAACTTTCACATTTTTTACAGTTATAGCCACAACTTTCAAAATACACAAAATAGCCACTTTCATCCATCTTTTTAATGGTGTCACTTAACAATATGATTGGAGAAGGGGGCCTTATTTCCCAAATTGCCAATTAAAATCCACAATCGCTATATTGAAGAAGAAGGCCTCGGAAGTTTGGTGGAGTCACAAAAAACGGCGAGAAAGAGGGCAATAAGGTTATTTCGGCCACCCCGGGGTCAATAACCTTGGGTCACCTCGGCCACCCCAGGGTCTATCACCCCGCGTAACCTTGAGGTCATTTCAGCCACCCTTGAGTCAATCACCTCGTGTCACCTTGGGGTCATTTCGGCCACCCCGGGTCACCTCGACCATCTTGGGCTCACTCCGTCCACCGTAGGCCACTCAGCACCGTTGGACACGTACCTCTGTAACGTGTCCCCTCTCTATACCTTCAAGCTCTAGATGTAGACACATACCCCCTTCATGTTCCTTAAGAGGTCTTTATAAAAGGCCACTTCATTTCCAGATCGAGGTAAGAAATATATCCCCATACGGCCATACCTATACTAGGGAACTCTCTCTATGATTAGCGCATATATTTATTCTCAACTCCATTCCCTCATCTTTCTTTTCAAGATCATATTCCTCTCCCCTCAACCCATGTACTAACTTGAGCGTCGGAGAGTGTCCTCGTCGAGATCAATCGACATAACGTTTTTGCAGGAGGTGAATGGAGCTGGCATCATGAGAGAAGTTCGAGGTGAAAGGTGGTCGTCGACTGACTCTGAATCCCAACATAAAAAAACTCGACGTCAGCTACAACCCGGCATCAACAAGTGATGAAGACGGATTTGACTTTAATCGTACGAGTGGAGAACGCATTGAGGCGATTGTCAAGCTAGCGTATAGTAGTCATGGAGCCAAGACAAGGCTATGATACCGATTTGTGGTGTCCTAGGTCGTCTCGGTGATGATTGGTAGCTGAGAAAGTAGCAGAGAAACAGAGAGAAAGGAAAGGAAAGCAGAGAGAGTAAAAGGGGGGAAAGTCGTTATTGATTTCGGGTTGGGAACTTCGGTTACGGGTCAGGTCATGTTTGGTTGACTTATTTCAGGTCAAATATTGACCCAACCCATTCGGTTTTGGGTCGGGCTACAGGTCATTTCGGGTTATGAGCGTTCTCAGAAACAATATCAAACATGCTTCATATTTTCTTAAAAAACACAAATTTTCACATATGCATGACAATAGTTTAATTAACACATGTCAATTAACATATTCTCAAATCCTCCCACGCTAATGAAATGAAATATAAATTGCGCATGATATTTGATTATCCTTAAACTCCAAACATGTCATTCAAATCCTTGTGATTTTTTTAAACATCTCACCAATTTATGAGTGATTTTATCATATTTTGCGATTAATATATTAAATGGAACGGGTCTAACGGGTCGACCCACTAACCCACCCAACCCGACCCAAAAAATTACGGGTTATCGGGTTCGGGTCATCCAGATTTCTGGTTACAAAAAAATCTAGTTTTCGGGCGGTTTCGGGTCGGGTCAACGGGTCAGTTTGTAATTTGGCAGGTCTACGCATAGCAGTTAGGCTGTTACAGAGCGAGATTATATACCCATTGGGAAAATATCAAGAATGGTCCTCTATTTTTCTATTATCTATACAATCTATTTTTATTTATTTACAATTAAGGACAAGTGTTACAGGTTCTTCACAATTATCGTCCCCCTCCATCCCTTACATATCATTGCTTGGTGTTTTATGGAGTTGTGCAAGAAATTAATGGAATTGGACGGAAAGTGACCAAACGTGAACGATTTAATAAACTAAAGTACCACCAATATATTTAAATATTTCGAGTGACCAAATTTGAATATTTTTTTATAATCAAGTGACCAACCATGCCATTAACCCACAAATATATTAATCCTAAACTTATCATTCTATTTCTAACCCCTACTCCAAATATCATCTATCTATCTATCTATCTATCTTCTATCTATCTATCTATCTATACATAATATTATGGCAATTCAAAAGTAATTATTTGCCACCTAAGCACTTGGAGAGTTCACAAATTGCCAAGGTGGACAATATTTATACAAAAAGAAAAATAGTTATTGATATATTTATGGAGCTATCTCTCTCTTCATTTAAATTTTTATTTCTCTTTTATCCTTTTTTGTATTATATCAATGTACACAATAATAAATAATGTATGAAAAGTGACATATATTACATTTGTTATCTCTAACTTTTTTAATATTTATTTTTATTTTCCAATACTTCTTTATGTTTTTTTTTACTTGCATTGTATCGATGTACGCAACAATAGACTAATGTCTTTGAGTCACACATATAACTTTTTTCTCAACCAAAAAAATATCTTATTAAAGCTCACTAAGTAAATTTTTAACTCACTTTTACAATAATTTACAAATATGTTACATTTTAATGAACAATATATACAAACACACATACATAATAACATTTTATCGCGAAAATATAAAGATGGAAATTAAAGAGAGAAAACAAGAAACGCTTGAATAGAAACTTGGCCAAGCAATAAAATCTATTTCTTGAACAAAAACCTTATTCATTCTGATTAAGTGAAGACCTATGAATCATAGGTGCAATAATTTACAATGTATCCTAAGTTCAAATTACTAATATTTTGCATTTTTTCTCTAGATCGTGTTAATTGAGCAAAATCTACTGAAGTTTTACGTCATATGTTAAGAAATTTAATTTTCAAACTTGGAGTAATAAATTTTCAAGGATTATAAATCAAAATTTTTAAAATGACTTCGGTATGATTGTTTATGAACTTGACTTCATATCTTAAGATGAGACACGAGATACATTAAAAAATGATACATCTGAAAGTTAGATGAATCGTTGCTAAACTGTATGTTAAACATCATGTGTTCATCAACCACTGACCTATGCATTAATCAAATAAAGGTTTAAAATCTATCTATCTGTATATCTATCTATCTATGACAATTCAACAATAGTTTTTTGCCACATAAGCACTTGAAGAATTTACAAATTATCATGGTTGACACTTTTTTTACAAACACAAAAGTAAGTTAATGCTCAATTTATGTAGCTATCTCTATCTTCATTTAATGTTTCCTTTTGTTTTTATTTAATAATTCATTTGTACTTTTTGTAGTATATATGTGTAGCAGCAGTATACTAATGTTTAGAGGCTAACATGTATCGCGATTGTTTAAAAAAAATATTTGAATAAATCTTATTAAGAAAATTTTCAGTTTACATCATATGCTAAGTAGGTGTTAGGCCATTACCTTTTGATTTTTCGTTAGGAGAAGAAATTTTGAGTGAAGGAAAGCAAACCAAATAACGGGTGTTAAATGCAATAGAGAGTGGAGATACCCGAGTAGACGAAACTAACTATGTCAACAATTTGGTGGCGCATGTGAGAAATGGTGCAGGAGGACAATTTAAAATTCAGCTGGCGATGTTACTATATGGGGCCGTGAATTGGTGGACAAAGGTGAGGATTGGACAGAACAGATCTGGTATAGAACTTCAGTAGCGGTCGTGACAAAATGTAGGAGGAGACAACTTAGCAATTGATACATATAGAGTAAATAACATTTAAATAGCTAAACCTTTCAGTTTTTTTAAATTATTAGCCAAACCTTTTGATCTTCAAATGATTAGCCAAATATTTTGTATCACATCAAAATATTAACCATTTTTTGTTATCATTAATAATCTTTTTAATTAAAATACTAAATTGGATTATAGTCTATAGACCGTCACGTGTCTCTTCCAACTCATCATCATGTTGTTGAGTCAACATTACTAACAAAAATGCTAACGGGGAGTTAACGTTTGGCTAATACTTTGTATTTTGAATTTTTTTTGAAAGATTTGGTTAATAAAATGTATTTACTATGTTATATAATATACTAAATTTGGGTCTCTTGATAGACATATGTTAACATAAGATCGTTAGGAGACTTCATGAACATCCAAATGAAAATGAGGCAAGATTAGAGAAGTTGATCATCGGTGTGATCTTTCTTAGCAAACACATGCATTTTTTTTTTGCAATAAAACACATGCATAACTAATAATATATTTACGAAATAAAATAATTTGATAAAAATTCAATGGAGGAATCACCTCATTGGATAAATGAAGATGATAAGTAAGAATAACTTTTCTCTCACTTATAATGTGTACTTCCATCCCTTATTTTCTTTTATAATTGTTCATATTTCCCCTTATTTTATTAACATTTACAAATCCCGTTAAAAAACAAGTATTAATTACACTTAAAAATAATTAAACTCTTTTTAATATATATTCTATATATTGACAATAAATGTGGCCATACAAAAAAAATGCATATATTAGTATAAGTAATGAAATTTTTATTTCTAAAAAAATACCAAACATAAATGAAGTTTAGAAAACGAAGGTTCTACAAGTTGTAAAATTATACACTAACGCACCATATTAAGATCAAAATCCGTATGTGGGTATCTTGGATTGAGATTCTAAAATAATATATAAATAACGATAATGAGTCTCAGTTAGTCCAAATTAAATTTCAGAAATTAACAATTGATACATATTGTATAAGATACTAAATACAAATAAGATCTTACAGTAAACTTCATGAACATCCAAAGTATCAACTTTTAATTGGGATGAAGAAATTTATCCAATAATGAAGTATATGTACAAAGAAACTCTAACTAAGATGTCCTCATCTGAACAACATGGATTCATATAAGATAGAAAAAATTGTACATGAGACGTGGTATACCTTTGTGACATGGTTTATGATTAGAGAATTCAAACATTATAAGTGAATGTGCCAAATATTGAGAATTTTCAATATATAGACACACCGCATACTCACTTATCAATACAAAATATAATAAATTTAGAAGGTCCAAAATAGTTTGAACATATAAATAAATTAAATTAATGTCAACTATAAAATGAAATTTTCCGGCGAACGGGCCGGGTGAAAATTAACCTAAATAGAACAAGAGCGAGGGAGTCGACGTTCTGTGGGGGCAGAGATGGAAACCACCAAGGGCGGTGGGGCTGCGAAATCGGACATGAAGAAGGTCTCCCAGCATGAATTCGGCGGCGAAGATGCGCCCCTCTCCATCTCAATTATCGAGGTGATTTGTTTTCTTTGTTGAATCGAGTATACACAGTTGAATTCGACACTCTTGAGAAGATGTAACGGAGGAACTTGTTCAGAACATGAAAGAGGAGTACGGGCTGTTTGTCTGGCCGTGCAGCGTAATACTGGCCGAGTATGTTTGGCAACAGCAGCGGCGCTTCTCCGGCGCCAGAGTGTTGGAGGTGATTTCCGGCTCCTCCTCCCATTTTCTCTCCGCTTCTTCTAACTGGTCCCACCTCAATTTTGATATTGTGGCAGCTTGGGGCTGGGACGTCACTGCCAGGATTGGTGGCCGCTAAGCTGGGTTCCCATGTCACTCTCACCGACGACGCCAACAGACCGGAGGTTTGTGTGTGTGTGGGAGCGAGTTGAGAGAGATAAATTCTTACATTTCAATTTCCCCGCCTTTTCAGATGAAGTAGCAGTTCCAGTATTTGAACAGGTGCTGGACAACATGGGGAGGGTGTGTGAGCTTAATGGAGTTGATTGCAAAGTAAGCCCATTCCCATTTTTCAATCTCTTGCTCGCTCCTCTTTTACCAAGAAAATTTTAGGAATTGGTAACGGTTTCCTCCCGTAGGTGGTAGGACTTACATGGGGAGTGTGGGACTCGTCTGTTTTCGATTTGGAGCCCAAGTTCATCCTAGGAGCTGATGTTCTTTACGAAACCACTGGTAATCTTCTTCTTGCTTGTTGATCCACTCTATGCTGTTAGCCCTTTTGATTGGAGCTGAGTTGTGTTTTGGTTGGTATTGGTATAGCATTCAATGACCTCTTTGCGACTGTGGCATATCTGCTTCAGAATTCTCCAGGCTCTGTGTTCATAACAACTTATCATAACCGGAGGTATTTGATTTGTATGGCCCATCGTTTCTGTCTGTCTGTCTGTCTGTCTGTCTGTCTGTCTGTCTGTCTCTGCATCTTTGGTGGCTCTGCCGTGTTATGTTTGTGCATTAGTTAGCCAGGGACTAATTGGCTTTTCTGGGAGAGATGATGTTTGCAGTGGGCATCATCTAATCGAGTTGTTGATGGCAAAATGGAGGTTGAAGTGCTCAAAGCTTCTGGACGGGTTCTCATTCATGCCACCCCACAAGGCATCTGCTTTAAGTGGCAATATTCAGCTGGCTGAGATAGTGGCATTAGACTGATATGTGAACAGCAGCATCCAATACAAGGCTAACGATCGAGTCTCAATTGCACAGACAAGAAGAATCAAGAAAACACTTGTAGAATTCTCATTTCTCGGTTCGCCCCGCTGAAATCTTCTTTGGCCTGGGTCGAGTTGTTCAGTTCACGTAGTTTCATTTCTCAACTAGCTTGTTGTCCGACCCGTTGGTCGGAATGTCATTTGAACCCAATATATTTATGATGTGTATTTAAATTTTTTAAACTAATTGAAATGCGGAATTTCGTAGGTGACATTAAAATTATTTTTCTATTTCCGAAATTCTTATAACTTTTCATCAATGCTGAACATTGTAATCTTAATGGTTATAACCAAAGTTGTCAAACCGGTTAAAGTCGTTGATTCGGTCAAGCAAGTGGTTTGAAGTTCAATGGTTTGATTGATATCCAACCCGTTTGAGTTGTTTTACACCTTTTCTAAATATATTTACAAATTATATAGAAATTTAGTGATTGAAATAGAAAGGGTTAATACCTTAGTTTGGCCCGAACTATAGACAAACTTTCTACTTTGGTCCGTGGTATCGGAAATTGCTATTCTAGCCTAAACTATGTAGCATACTTACTTATTTGGCCCGAAGGTGGGTTTGACCGTCAAATTAGGCGGTCAACCGAGTTTACCGTTAGTCAAAGTCCACCTCACTTGCCAAGTCAGCTAGCAGGAAATAAAAAAAAAATTTGAAATTTTGAATTTTGTTTAATTTCTAAAATTACTTAAAAATAATTTGGAGAGCTCTATTAATTATTTTTTTTAGTTTATAATTTTGATTGTTAGAAAATTCAAAAAATTCAAAATTAATAAATTATTTTCTTATTCCCTGATAGCTGACGTCGCAAGTGAGGTGGACCTTGAGTAATGGTCAACTCGGTTGACCGTCTAATTTAACGATCAAACCCGCCTCCGGGCCAAATAAGAAAGTATGCTACATAGTTTAGGCCAGGATAACAATTTCCGATACCACGGGCCAATGTAGAAAGTTTGTCTATAGTTCGGGCCAAATTAAGGTATTAACCCAAATAGAAAGTACTAACTTATATCTATTAAAAACTCAAATAGTCAAATTTCATAGGAAAAACATATCTATCTCAATATCCATCCACCAGTCGCCTGGTAGAGGTGTCACAACCTTGGTTATAACACTTGTGAATAACTATTCATAACTTGTTACTTGTCTATTTAATGATGTAGTTACTTAGTTGCCTATGGTTGAAAAGAAAATTGACATAACAAAAAAAGAGTTTGTCTGAAAAAGCGTAGCATAAATAGGAAACCTATGATTATAACCTTTAGTCAATATTTATTTCTTTTGCTTGACAAACAATACATATATAGCAATATCTAAACCTTAAAGTATTCTGCACAATACAATAACAAAATTAGTAAGAAAATAACATTTTCCATCCATACTCTGTGCAATGAAAAAATTAATTATCAACCAAGATACTCTAAATTTAGTTGAAGGATAATCTTATTCACTCAACAAAAAAAATAAAACATAACTTGTGGTACCTACCTTGCTAATGCACATGACCCCATCAACGCGTCCATGAAAACTCCAACCCGACTTCATGATTCGTCTTGTACTGCGTTATTTCATACTAAACTAAGTAACTATAAATGATACATCTAGTTAATTACCCTATTGAAATTATCTATAAGAATTGGTATTCATAAATTGTGTTCTTTTAAACTCACCCATTTTTTCAATCATGCCATATTATCAAGAAATTTAGGATTTAACGACTAACCAAACTAAAACTTTCAAAAAATTGGTCACTTATAGTTTGCATAACAATGTCGTTGCATTAATAGTTTTAAAAATTAATACCAATTTAAGAATTTTACATCACATCTACACATTCGATATGCAATATTCGAATCAATGATATTTGGGTTGCAATATTAAAATTATTCTCCATTTATAAGAGGACATAAATTAAATTTACTATTAATCTCAAATTAAAATAATCAAAATATGGAAATTAAAATATCAAATTCCAAAGAAAGTACTTTTGTGAGAGTTAGTGGGCAAGCTTACAATAGTGGAAAAGTCATACAATTTTTAGATTTTAGGTTTTCAGATTTTGTATTTAAATAGATACAAAATATTTCTTTAGTGTAACTGGTAATGATTGTTGTCTTCGTTTGAAAAGACCATGGTTTGAATCTCGAGATTAATTTTTTTTTTCTTATGTATGAAAAATAGATAATGATTGTCAAGACACAATTACCCTTCATACTTTCGCTCTCATTGAAAAAAATTCTAAATGCTGAAAAACTGCCCCAAACTCTGCTATAATATATTTGTAGATTCTCCAAACTATACATCTTTTTCTTTTTGTTTCGTCGGTAGGTATGCGAACAAGCCTATTCATCATCTCGTGGCTACACAGTCCCTATAGTTATCTCATCTTTCTTTAAGCACACCTGGACAAACAATCAGGATATCGAAAAATACAAGAGGCCGCATAGCACCAGGGTTCAAACCAATCTAAACATTGGAATTGAACCGACAACAAAAGACGCCACAAAGGAACCCCTGGCAGCCCTCTTTCTACACAAGATAAAGAGCAACAAGGACACAAGCAGGCTATTTCCAGAACGAGAAAGAGACATCAAAACCCCAGAAGAACTGAGTAATGAAAAATCGGTTCAACTAGAAAAATCTCCTACCGGATGCTAAATCGATAGATGATATATAGCGGTATGAAATGATTGAGCAACTTTTTCAACATAAAATATTCTATCTATGATTTTTCGATACAACTTTCGGTACGATTTTACAATCATTGTCCATAACACCACTAATGAAGCTATGCAAATCAAGCGTGAAAAATCCTTCTACACCAAGGATGCCACGCAACTTAAAAGACGTTGGTGTAATCTTAGTTCGTACAAGTCAAGTAAATAAGTTCCAAACGCAGGCCCAAGGTTAATTTGTGAGATGCTTGGTAATTTGGGCGACATTTCTTTTTATATCAAACGAATGCAGCGACACCCTATCATTCATTCAAGACCACCCGAGGTTCGGAAATCCTCTGACCAAGAACAGCTCCGACTACATAGTCACTCACATAGCACATCAGTTCAAATGGGAGAGACCAATCCGGAGTCACCATGATAGGTGCATGAGTAAGCTTCTCCTTCAATGTCTCAAATGCAGCTGTGCACTCTGGAGTGAAGTGGAATGATACATCCTTCTCTAGAAGTTTGGTCAAAGGCAAGGTGATATTCGAGAAATCCTTGATGAATTGCCGATAGAAGCTTGTATGACACAGAAGCTGTGGATCACCTTCACAAAAATAGGAGGAGGTAGCTTACTGATCGTCTCTATCTTCGCCCAATCTACCTCAATCCCCTGCTAGGAGATCTTGTGCGTGAGCACAATTACTTCCCGAACCATGAAATGACACTTCTCCCAGCTGAATGTCAAGTTTGTCTCCTCGCATCTCTTTAGGACAAGTTCTAGGTTATGGAGACAATGAGAGAAGTAGTCTCCATAAACCGAGAAGTCATTCATGAAGACTTCAATGATCTCTCCAACCAATCGGTCGAAGATAGCCATCATACACCGCTGGAAGGTCGCCGGTGCATTACAGAGACCAAATGGAATCTGCTGGTATGTAAAAGTTTCGAAGGGACAGGTGAAAGTGGTCTTCCCCTGGTCCTCCGGTGCGATCGGGATCTGAAAGTACTCGGCATGCCATCCAGGAAACAGTAAAACTCATAGCCCGCTAGACTCTCCAACATCTGGTTAATGAAAGGGAGCGGGAAATGGTCCTTCATGGTGGCATCGTTCAGACATCGATAGTCGAAGCATACACACCACCCAGTCACAGTCCGCATCGGGATCAACTCATTCTTCTCGTTCGGGACCATAATAATCTCGCCTTTCTTCGGAACCACCTGAGTGGGGCTGGCCCATTTGCTATCAGATATAGCAAAGATGATCTCGACATCCATCTGCTTCACAATCTCTGCCCGGACCACTACCTCCAGGTTAGGAGTCAACCTCCGTTGTGGCTGCATGACTAGCTTGAACTCATCCTCCATCAGAATTCTGTGGGATCAGAAGGATGGGCTAATGCCTTTGATGTCAGTGATCTTCCACGCCATGGTCTGGCCATAATTCTTCAACAAAGCCACCAGACTGCTCTTCTGCTCGGGGGTCAGTTCCGAGCTAATGATTACCAGGAGCTTATTCCCCTCCCTCAGAAATGCATACCCCAAATGAGAGGAAAGGGGCTTAAGCTCCAGCTCTGGTGGCTCCTCCAATGATGTAGCGATCCAAGTTGAGACATAGATAAGTTTGAATGGCTTCTCTTTCCCCTCGATCCCGGCTCCATCCAACTCCGCCAAGCTGCTTCGCCAACTGTAGCTCATGTGATGCCTGATCCCGTAGCAAAAGACAACGCTCGAGGAAATCATTAGTACACGCATTCGTGATGGCGAGTGTGGTCTCATAGTCAGCAACCACATCCCAATAATCAACATCATCATGGTGCTGGGGGTGCTTCATATTATCATAAACATAAAAGGTGATTTGTTCACCCCCCAACCTGCAAAATTAACTTGTCATCATTCACATTAATGAGTGCCTTGGCAGTGGCAAGAAAAGGTCGACCCAGAATCAAGGGCACATCCACATCCTCATTTATATCAAGAATCACGAAGTCAACACGATATGCTAATATCCCTACAGTGAATATCGAATCCTCCGCAATACCCCTAGGATGGACAATAGATCGATCAACTAACTGAATGCTCATGCTAGTATTACTGGGTTCACCTATTCCTAACTTCTTAAATAGTTTATATGGCATGACGTTTAAGCTAGAGCCTAAATCCGTCAAGTACTTTCCTAGGAGTAGACACCTATTTCTCCTTCTCCATTTCTTCATCATCTTCTAAAAGTGTTGAAGCAAGTCTCTCTTCCCCCTGTCTAGCCTGTTAAAAGTGGTGAAGCATGTCTCTCTGTAACATCCGTACTCATTCGAGTTGATCAATACATTAATTTTTTTGAAGACTAATTTAGGAGTAGATTTTCAACTAATTGATAATGTCGATCGATCAAGAAATTGCTGAGTAAACATTCAAATTTTTAAAAGGATGGAATCCGTTCCTATAAAATTAATGGTTTGAGGCATGATTAGTATAAACGAGATCTTGATCACCCTTTTAAACATAGTATAGTTATGTTGGTGAGTAAAAGGAGAGGATTTCACCAAATAATTTTCATTTGATTGACCATGATATGTAACTAATTTCCTTCTCCCCACTAATTGGATAGAAACAGTTAAATTGCTTTTGTCTTTTCTTTCTATACCTAGGTCACCGTTAACCAAGTCCCACATTCCAATCCTTTTTGAATTTTCCATGCCAATTTCGTCACTTATGGTTACTGTGGAAGTAAAAGGGTGTAATAAGTAGCCAAAGCCAGGGTCCGGATCCTATCAGTAACCGACCTATCAGTAACCGTCAGTAACCGTCCATCTGACCGTCCATCGCGCCATCTTCCCAGCCGTCAGATCATGGCAATTAAATACCCGCGGGGGCAAAAAGGTAATCACACCTTCTCTCCTTCTGACAATTTGAATTGCAGACGTGACCGCGACAACCGTCCCGCCTTCTCTCCATTCTTCCTCCCGTTCCTCAATTCTCTCACCAAAATCGCAGCAAAAACTTCCAGAAAAAACTTCAAATCGAACGATTTTCGCAAAGCTTTTCGAAGAATCATTCAACGATACACTGTTCTCGCTTCTTCGTCGAAAAACGAAGGATTTCCAACTTCAACGAGTCTCAAAAATCGTTTTCGCACAAAATATCAAGGTAAAACCTCACTTCTTTCTTCGAAATCCATAGAACAATAGAAACAATATTTCAGTCACTCTTCATGTGAAAATTGTAGTAAAACTTGCTACATTACCGAATCGTTAGCATGCATTGCTGAACTGGTGTAGAATCTGTTGTGTTTTGCTTCTTTACCACATGGTATGGCGTGGTAAACTATGATTGCACGTTATAAAAAGGCAAGAAACCGTAACTCCTTCTGTGTTTTAGTTTGTTACCATATGGTAATGTGTGGTAAGCTATGGTTTCATGTTGTAAAATAGCAAAAAACCATAAGTTCTTCTGTGTTTTAGTTTGTTACCATATGGTAATGTGTGGTAACCTATGGTTTCATGTTGTAAAATAGCAAAAAACCATAAGTCCTGCTCTGCTTTAGTTTGTTACCATATGGTAATGTGTGGTAAGCTATGGTTTCATGTTGTAAAAAAGCAAAAAACCATAAGTCCTGTTGTGTTTTAGTCTGTTACCATATGGTAATGTGTGGTAAGCTATGGTTTCATGTTGTAAAAAAGCAAAAAAATCATAAGTGCTGCTGTGTTTTAGTTTGTTACCATATGGTAATGTGTGGTAAGCTATGGTTTCATGTTGTAAAAAAGCAAAAAAACCATAAGTGCTGCTGTGTTTTAGTTTGTTACCATATGGTAATGTGTGGTAAGCTATGGTTTCATGTTGTAAAATAGCAAAAAAACCATAAGTCCTGCTGTGTTTTAGTTTATTACCATATGGTAATGTGTGGTAAGCTATGGTTTCATGTTGTAAAAAAGCAAAAAAATCATAAGTGCTGCTGTGTTTTAGTTTGTTACCATATGGTAATGTGTGGTAAGCTATGGTTTCATGTTGTAAAAAAGCAAAAAAACCATAAGTGCTGCTGTGTTTTAGTTTGTTACCATAT